AACATTAGTAAATCAACTAAGGTCTCTTCCAAATTCTAAACCTCTAATCTGTCATATCAAATAGAACTAGATTTAAATTTTTAACCCCAAAGACATGGCAGACATTTGAAAAGCCTCCATTTGATGAATGCGCCTTGCAACAAGCAAGGAGCTATTCACTGCAGTATCTTTCAAGGACTATGCAGTTAAATCTATGCCTAAATGGGTGCCTGGAAAATGTTATAACCATGGTTACTTACTGAAATTCTGTTAGTCTAGTTTGCCATGGAAGAAATCCCATTATCAATTGTGCATCACCAAACTTCAAAGCAAGTTCTGGGTCTGGTATTCCACACGTTGCTACAATAAAGAACATCCCCATTAGAAGCTTTGCTTCCTATGAAGGTAAAACTTTGAGCATACCTCACACTCTAATTAAAGTAAATAGTCATTAAACAACTTTGAGCTCAGGGATCTTATCACTCAAAAACAGTGCTGAGTATATGATACTAACAAAATAGAGATTCCATTCAATGGGAATTTTAAAAATTCCTGCATCATCCCAAGACAGAATTTCATTGCAATTCTTAACATGTCAAATGTCCAAAAATAACTTTAAAATCAATGTCCACAACACTTCACTCTGAATACTTTCAAAAGGAAATGATTATATTGATTTATCAGACTTAATAACAAAAATTTCATGAAAACTCAGCTTCTTATATTTGCAATGTAAACTTAATTAAATTGAATTTATTCATATTTATTTGTTTATTTTTTCAACATTTTTTTTTACTCTTTTTCTCTAGTCTTTCTTGTGAGCCATTTGTATTTGTATATAGATAACATATGCGTAACCACTGCTTGCCTTGACTAGCTAATCTGCTAACTACAGGCGGTGGATATTGCTATCTGTAATATTTGCCATAATAAAGTTGGAAGTTGAAAGTAACACTTCATGCATCACTCATAAACAAAAAAAATTCTCTAATGCCATTCAAGTGATCCTGATAAATAAAAAAAAAAACTGCTCTACAATTTCAAACGAGGAAGAGAGACTGATTTGTTAACACCTCAAACATAACCCTATCCCTGACTTGCAACCAAGTCTTTAATTGCTGACACAGAATTATTATGACAAATAAAATCCTGATCTTTTATCCTTTAACTCCCAGGATTTGATTGCTAATTCTCCCTTCTAGCTACTACAGATTTCCTTTTAAACTAGTTATGATAATTTGGTGTTACATCAAGATAAACTTCTACGTGATAGGTTTGAGTATTCTCATCACCAGTTTTCTGGACAATGCACACGTGCTTCAGGGAGAAGTTGCATGTTAATCACTTCTGGGAGTTGAATGGTTGATGCTACCTCCCACCTACTGTGCAAATGATCAAACAGTGATTAAATTTCCTTTCCTTTCCTTCCACACCACTTACCTTTAAGAATACCATTGAAAATGTCTGGCTCCATTTCTTTAGGTGTTCTATGCTTCAGTTGGACTCCCTTGCAAAACTCCCTTGCAGCATCAACAATGTCTCCCTTTCCATCCTGCTCAGACAGCAAGCTGATACACACTTGTGTTGGTGCTACAGAATGAATGGCAACAAAATAAACTAAGCCACTAAGTTTTGACCCTAGATCAAATAGTGTCAACAACACTGCAGAAAATTTGGGGAAAGATAAACATGATCACCAATAAGGAGGCACTGACACAAACTCATAAAATATGATAACAAGGACTATAAAAGTTTGAAAACAAATTTAAAGTGACAGACAGGCTTTAATGAGAACTTTCTCTTACATAACCGAAAAAAACACCTATTAGATCAATCTCCTCATGGCCAACAGTGGTGAAAATGATACTGTCAAGAGAGACAAACCTAAAATGGGACAGTGTGTAAAAAATGTAAAAACAATATTCTGAAATTAAAATGTCAGCTTCAGCAGTTTTCTATACAAACAAAAACTGTGCAAACGAATAAAATAAATCATGTGATCCTTAAAATTGAAAGAAGAAACCCCAGCATGGTAAGTAGATTTTAACCACAAGGTACACCCAGAATAGCAAGGGATGACAGGATTTTCATGATCTTTATTTGTCAGCTTCTGTATCTGATATCCTGTCACATGCTTAACATATGACAAACCTTTCTAGGGGTCACATAATTAACAAAACAAATGAAAACCGAATATAGTCTGGTCAACTTGTATGGGATTTGGACCATGAGATGCTGATAGCTGTAAAGTTCAAAGAATATAGCTCCTCCTCTTCTCTACACAACAAAAATGTCTGATGTATGAGACTGGAGTCACAGCATGAGATTAAAATTACACTCTGGTTTTGCTAGTAGGATTAAACCGGAAACACTTCATTAATTGGCTATTGTGCAGGGGAGGAAATAACGTAATAAAGTTCAGAGTAATATGAGAAACATGTCAATCCGGACTTAGGACCCCAGGGAAGAGTTCAATTTTTAATACGTAATACGAAAAAAATAAAATAAAAAACAATTTTATATATCAAAGAACCATGCTTATACAAACCCAAATAAAAACTATCGGCATCATATAACCTTACAACCTCACAAATATACATTGCTCTGACTTACCAAGAACCTCACAATCGAATTTAACATCTTTTGTTCTTAGAACAAATGTACATTTGCTGGATTCATCCATAAAAACTTCTTTTTGCTTCCGAATGATTTCACTTGAGAGGGCTGCTACATTCTTCTTAAGAGTACCTGAGAACGAGGAATACTCTTTTTACAACCGATTCTAAAAACGCATCGATTTTTCTAAAATTTTAGGGTAAACCAAATTGCATCCTGCTGGGTATATACAAGTAAGTTGAAATTGTACGACCTACCTTCTCTGTCGTAGACGCTGATGTAAGGAATTCCCATAGCCATCGACCAGACAATAAGTTGAGCCAGGTCTACAAAACTGATATCAGACTCTAGAACCATGAAACTGATGTGTCTTGGAAGTTTCATGAGGTTTAGTGAATCGTTCCTAATATTTCCATGTGTACACGTTCTCGAACTGATCGAGAAATAACTCCTAATTTCGTCAAATAAAATAACTATGATCCATCTTATGTACAACAGTAAATGTATAAAACTGAGGAAACATTTACAGACCCACATCGTGGGTAAAATACTAAGTAAATCAGGGTTACCACCACTCCATTACTATTTTGTAGAACGTTTCCTAAACCACCAGTCAAAAGTGACGGCGTGTGAGCATGCGTCAAAGCCCAATATGCCCACGTTCAACCTCAGATGGCATTTCAACACCCGTTGCGTGACAAAATGTGTACTTGCTACAGTGAGACTACAAGTGTCGTACATGTGAGCCCCAAAATTACATCAAGATCTCCGAACTTGAAGGAATAAATTTTCATTTTGCTCTTTAGATCAAATGGGAATGATTTCAAACCAGCAAATTTGTTCCTTTTCGTTTCCACGGTGACAGTTACACCAATAAAAAGATTTTCTCGATGTGTCCTCGTGGCACAATATTAACTGAAACTTTTAGAGTTTTGGTTAAAAGAAGTGACTTGATACTTGATGGGAAATGAATGAATGGAAGTTTGAGTATTTTCCCTACGTTTTGTCTCTGTTTTAAACAAACAATCTAGTAATACAAGAAATTTAAAAGAGCGTGAGTTTGAAACATCCCTGTTGCGTGTAGGTCAGTTGCCACTTCAAAGCTGTCCATTTTCACTTTTTCATAATCAAGTTCAGAAGAAGTCTGAATTTTTTTTGACGATTTAATTGAGAAAACTTTTTACGAGCAAAACTAAGGCGGACTTTTTTCATAAGTCCCAAAAAAAGAAATGGTAACATTAGTTATTTTCTGATTGTTTCTAACTTGTTTCTAACTCAAACTTGAGTTTTTCTATATACAGTTGACCGATAGCACCACACGTGTTACAAAGAAAGTCGCCAAAACAGCGTTAAAAGGACTGTAAACGACAAAGCTGATACGGAAAAAAGGTAAGGAGACTTCATACGATATATTCCTCGCTTTTATTATCCTTTTCAATTTTTTCTTAATTTTTTTTTTATAACTTTTCCCTTTATAGATATAGTTGATCATGGGTAACACCAAAAGCGTTACAAAGAAAGTCGCCAAAACAGCGTTAAAACAACCGTTGGCAACAAAGTGGCTACGGAAAAAAGTAAGGAGACTTCACATGTTTTATTCCTCGCTTTTATTATCCTTTTTAATTTTTTCGTAGTTTTTTTTATAATTTCTCCTTTTTATAACGACCCACACCTACGCTCAAAATTCGATCTTAATATGTTAGGTATTGACATGATCCATCCTATGAACAACAGTAAATGTATAAAACTGAGGAAACATTTACAGACCCAAATCGTACCACGTTAGGTATTGCCGTTAATGAACTTTAGACCCCAAAATCACACATAGTACGCTTGGGTCGCTTGTGGTTTAACTCTGTATTTTTTACGACAGCCAAATATACAATTGTGAGGGATTTTCCCGGCTTATGTCGAGCGTGGTGCAGGCATAGTTTATCATGTGTTCCCACCAAGACTTCCGGTAAGCCGTGAGCCGGATGGGGGTCTGGATGAGAAACTGACCTAATCTTTAATGGCGGAAACAATATGGCGCCGGTTTTTAGAACCTGTTGTGGTTTTCTACAAATACAAACGGCCTACAGAGTTTTTAATCCTCGATTATGCCTGCAGCCAAGTTTGAATGCGGGATCTAGATACTCGTACAGATGGTCTGCCCTACAGGTAAGGGAAGTTATACGTGCCTTTCGAATAAGCATAATATTTTAAATGATTTTACGAACCGTGCCCCAAAAAATCTTTGATCATTGTAGCCAAGTGTACCATCACTCCAGAAAGACAGTTGTCTATCCCTTGCTGTATTGAATTATATATGAAGTCAACAAAAGACTTCAACGCAGCGATGAGTTATAGCGAGATTTGTAAACTTTATCCCTCATCCTCGACGATCGACTGACCCTTGACCCTTCCATGTCTTGTACTTGTTTGTCTTTTCATGCAAAAGTGATGGAGCGAGCATTGGAGGCTACTGAAAAATTCAACGTTATGTAGTTTCACGAACAAACCCTTTAAAGCACTTAAAAAATACATGTTTTAGTAGATATTATGTAATTAACTTATTACTCGATCGATCAGGTCGTCTGATCATCAACCAGAGCTAGTTAGAGTAGTATAAAGAAAAGGCATACTGTTAGTAACAGTGACTTACATCTCGACAACCTGAGCGGAAGTGATCAGCGACGAATAAATGGAGGTCCCGTCTCCTGCAGGGTTAGAGGCAGGAGACGTTAATTTCCCTCGCACGAGATTACTGTGTGATGGATGTCCTCCCATGGGGTGGGATGGGTGGGTATTTCTTGCTAAGAATCATCGCATAGATGGAGAGCAAGTATTAGGAAAATCATTAAATTTCTAAGTACATTCTGTATAATTTTTTCCCAAGGCTAGTGAGTTATCTGGTCTAGGACTCCTTTATAGATTATCTCTTGGCTTTTTTAACATTTACTTGAGATATTTTTTATTTTGAATTCACATGTAGCTCACATGTAATAGAGTGCCATGAATTTGAATGTTTCAGGAACAAAATTAATAAACTAATGATTGGAATTTTGATTTAAGGGCTCTCGTGGACACCATATAAGACCCAAGCCAGCTGCAACAAAGATAATACCTTCTCTGAGCAGTAAATTTGCTTCTTGTGAGGTAAAGTCATTATTTTAATCAAATTTTTTTATTTGCAAAGTAGTTTTAATTGTAGCCCTGTGTGCCTAACCTTCTTTTGAGAGGTTGGCATTCCCGTACGGTAAGAGCTGTAGGAATGTTAAGGTTTCAAATGTAGCTTAAAGTATGTTTGAGTGTTGCTTCTTCCCATAGATGGGATTTTAGTCCATTGCAAGTTACCCCTAGCATAATTTTTATCTTGTTTCTTTCACAGTTTGCTCATATCCATTTTTGCTCCTGGGTGGTTAGAGGCACTTTGAAAATTGAGGTTTTTGCCCAAAAAAACACATTGGTTTCTTTTGTACCCTTCTTCATAAAATGTGTTTAAGTGGAGGTCCTGGTTTTTTGAAAGTTGGATAATGCAATCTGCTGGTTACATCTCTATCCAGTGGATAGCACATTAGATTTTGTCGATACCTATCCACTGGATAGGAAATTGACCTTTAGATAGCAATATTTGCCCTTTGAAGTAGGTGCTAGTATGATAACCATAGGGCCACTTTCCCATCAGAGGGCAAAGTAAGGTGAGAACAATATTCCCAGAGCTGCTAAGGCACTTTAAAACCCTCTCACTCCTGTGAGTGACCAAGACAGAATTTCTCCTCACAAAATGAATACAATATCAAGAATACAAGTGATGAGAATGAAGAAAAATATCAACCAGTGGATTATTGGTTGATCAGATACCAAGTTCTCTAAAGGAATATCATAAGAATTGTATCACAGACAGTAAGGAGATTTACTAATGAGATCTTGGGAGTGAAAGGGTAAATAAAGATGGTTTTTTAATTTTTTTTAAATTTTTAAAAATTTTTTTTTTTTTAATGAGAATGTTTAATTTTGGGGCTCACAGATTTAACATCAAATCCATGAGCCCCAAAATTAAGCATTCTCATTCTAAAATTAAACATTGCACATTTTTAGCGTCACGCAGGATTTTAGTCATATCCTGCACCTAATATTTTTAGAGTGTTTTTTTGCTGTTCACACCCTTGTTGGAACGTGATTTGTACCACAATGATTAGGTATAAAATAAGTTCCTTCACTATCTTGTTCATACTCCCTGACAAAGTCTGTGTTATTGGATGAAACTGGTTGGAGAAAATAAAGAAGTTGACAAGATCTGTTGCTGTGTGCTGCTCACTAGAGTATATTTAAAAAAAAAAGAAAAATTACAAAAAAAATGTGTTCTGTGATCTGTTGATATACTGGGTATCACTTGATTAGCTCATTTAACTGATTTCATTTTACAAACAACATTCAAATTGGATATGTTCTCATGAAGATTTCTATGTCACATCTTCAACAGCCAGGACTCCTCTTTGTGAGTAAGCGACAACAGCATGGAGGTACCAATATCACATCAAAAAGCCTGAAAAATGTATCATCCACAGATAGCTTGTCAATAATTAAAAGAATGTTAAAACATGTTTGGCCCAAAGACAGGCCTGATTTGAAGAGAAGAGTAGTTGCTGCAGTAGTTCTGCTTATTGGAGCCAAGGTACGTAAAGTTACACGCACCAGTGAGTTCTTACCATAAGATTTTATTAATAGTATACTTCAAGGCTTAGGTACAAGGGCAATCTTATACACAAACCTTAACCATTTGACTGCTAAGATTACTAACATTTGATTTCTCAAACATTAGGGTCACAAGTGTAAAGGAACTGATCATGCTTTTTATCAAATAAAACAAATAGATTCCATGTTGCCATGGGTTTGTATGTAAAAAATCACAGCCTGAAGAGTCAAGATGTGGTAAGAACATCTCTCAGCTGTAACTCAGTTGTCATATTTTAGTTCTTGCCATATTCTAATGTTATCTGCAATCTATTGCTGAACAGATGCACAGCAGCATGGAATCTATTTGTTTGTTTGTACACAGTCAGATAACATGTAAGGCGGTTAGTATTAAATACCAATGTTGCTTGCCAGATGACTACTGTCATGTGTGGTGACCATCAGATTAACATCATTGTAACTTATCAAATGTTACTGTTTGGACACATGAGATTTACCACCAAACTTTGTGTCCTTCAGCTGATGAATGTACAAGTACCATTCTTGTTTAAGTATGCTGTTGATTACCTAAACAACATGGACTCAGCTGCCTTGGTTCAAACGGCAGGTGGAACTGTCTTTACAGCGCTGACAGCACTGCTGTTGGGATGTGAGTAGTGCTCCTTTGGTTAAACAATTATAGAAACTAGCATTCAGGAATCATCTTCAAGTTTTAACATTTTGATCATTAAGGCAGTGGTCTGACTATCAATGAATAAAGGCTGATAGTTTTGAAAGAAACTGTTTGGGGCAGCGTCGTTGGGAGTAACGAAATAACTTGGATATATCAACAAAGTTGAAATGGTAAATTGGCCACCGTAACGATTACAGAAGCTAACGTTTCGAGCGTTAGCCCTTCGTCAGAGCGAATAGAGGAATTGTGGGTTGTGTGTGCTTTTAAGGGCAGAGAATGGAGCTACGTTATTGGTGGGAACATGGCAACGAGAAAAACTGACTATCAAACATGCAAAGAATCTCCACACAACTGACTACTCACCTCAATCACATTGATTTCCAAAGCATGATCATTAATTTTGTTATTCGACCTCCCAACAATAAAAACAGAAAGTAGAAATTGTTTTTTATCAAGATAACACCCTTTAGTTGATGAAGTTGATAAAATCGTCTGTTCATTTGATTGACCTAGCTGTCAACTTTCTTGTTATCTCCTTAATGTTCAGATGGAGCAGCCCGTACAAGTGCATCTCTTTTTAATGAATTAAGGAATGCAGTCTTTGCAAAGGTTGCTCAGGGATCCATTCGCGTTGTTGCTAAGAGGACATTTCTTCATCTCCATAACCTGGACTTAACCTTTCATCTGACCAGGAAGACAGGTGCTTTGTCCAGGGCCATAGACAGAGGAACAAGGTATTGTTTTATAAAAACTGCATGGTCAACTTCCTCAAACTAAATAACAATGTAAGTTTTTACCATAAACATTTTGTTTTTCATTGAATTTTTTCAGAGGGATCAATTTCATTTTAAGTGCTTTGGTGTTTAACATCTTCCCAACAATATTTGAGGTGTCACTTGTGGCTGGCATCTTGGTGAGTCGGTGAAAATAAATTCTGTTATCATTTGAGTTGCTTGTGTGTGTTGAAATAAGGTTATCTCACAAAAATTTTTCTTGCAGACATACCGATGTGGTAAAGAGTTTGGACTAGTTACACTGGCCTGTCTAGCAACATATGTTGCCTTTACACTGTTTGTCACACAATGGAGGTACAAAGTTTTTTATATTGCTCATTTAATATAGTGAATGTAATAAATAGCTCCATATCATTGGCTCTCAGCAGTGTGATTAAATTTGCCACTTGCTGAGTTTATAGGACCAAACAAGGCAACCAATCTGTTTGGGTCTCAACAGTGGAATTTATTGGAGTAATATTTGTATTGTTTGCTCTGATTCACATCTCTTTCGCCTTTCTTCTACATTTTTTTCTAACAAACCATCTACCTGAATCTGGTGGGTTCTGCCAGGTACCCATAATTTATTCATCTGAGACCAATAATGTATTGGAACCCACCAAAATCTCAAAAATTGTCTGTAAATTGCACATAACTGGATATAGTTAAGTGAACTGTGCATAACTGGATAAATTTTTTAGTGAATTCATGCTATTTCTTGTGATTTCAAACCTAACCGCTGCTGCAGCTTGTCCAATCATGCATTTTGTTGTTTCTGTGAACTGTTTTAGAACCAAGTTTCGAGTGCAAATGAACAGAGCAGATAACCAGGCTGGCTCTCAAGCCATTGATTCACTGATCAACTACGAGACAGTTAAGGTGTGTATGGCCCATTATTTTGAATACCTGACTGGCAGAAAGGAATCACAGTTACACAAGACTTGTAGTGAGTAGACATGGTTTGATGCTACTCTGGTTCAAAGTTTTAATGAATGTAACTGAAATTACAATTCATAGACCCAATGTTTGGACACTCCTGTCTAGTGCCTTCATCAGGGGTGATCTGATCGTTGCAAGAAGAAGCCCTTTTATATGCTCACTAATTAGCTGCGGTTTTTTCTGACGAGGTGTAAATGGGCATCAGGTAGTAAGCCGCCATCATCACGATTTAAAGGAGCGTGGGCGGAGTTGATATGCCAAGCTTCAAAACAAAGGCGCTGGTGGTAGTGGCCACTAGTGGTGATAATTTTCGAATTATCACGCCCAATTGTATGGCTAGGCACGTGTGCTCCAAGAGAGCTGAATTTTCTTGTTTGCAAAAGACTAAGAGTATTTTAACCCTTTGACACCTGAGAATGACTAGCACCTAATTTCTCCTTACAATATCTCCCCTGAATCAAACATTAAGGTCAGGAGAATAAAGGAAATGATCAACAACTAAAGAAGCTCTTGATGGTCAGTACCTTAGGTAGGAAATATATGGAGGGCGGTATAGAGAATATGCATACTGTTGTTAGGGTGTAAAGGGTTCTAATGAGGTTCAGAGAAACTGAGTAAATGAACACAGTGGTTTAGAAGGAGCTTAGAAGTCATGGGCCCCTAAAATCTCCAAAATATTGGGTCATCCTCGGTGTAAAAACCTGACGAAGTTTTCTTTGTTTCGTGAGGTATTGTTTTGCTGTACGCTATTTTTTATAATGTTTTGTTGTCTTTGTTTTACGTCACTCGTGAGCTTCACAGGTTTTTATACCAAGGATGAGCCAAAATATTGGAAATGCGATGATTTTGTATGATCTGTGACAAAGTATCTTCAATTCTCTTTAAAACTCTGTTGTGTTTCTGGGTTCCAAAGTGTCTTCAAAGGAGCCAGTTAGGACCCCCTCTCTTTGACGTCCTGTGTGTCTTCATACATTTTTTTTCTATCTTTTCGTTTCAGTATTTTAACAATGAAAACTATGAAGCCAAGAGATATGACGAACTCCTTGCAGATTACGAGAAAGCGTCCCTTAAAACCACAACAAGTTTAGCTTTGCTCAGCTGGGGTCAGAATTTTATCTTCAGCGCCTCTTTGAGCGCAATTATGATACTGGCCAGCAGGCAAATCATGCAAGGTACGTTTGAGTTTAGTCTACTTGAACTTTGATGACTTAATGCCATTTATCTTAAGTTTATTACTTTTCGTCGAATTTGCCAAGCCCTCTATTTCAAACTTCTATTCTATGATCAACACATGCGTGGAGATCATTCGATTTCAAAGCAGAAGAATTGCTTTTTGAGCGCTCAGAATACAGTTGGTCACAGCTTAGAAAAACTTTACTAAGTTACCTTACGTTCAGCCTCCCTCCTTTAAGCGCAAGAAATTTGGACTGCGAGGAAAAAAAAGGGATTGCGTAAAAGCGTTGCGCCCGCATAGGCCATGGTATATCCATAGGGATTTTAGTCTCAGTCTCTCTCGTTTATCCTGGCTTGCGTAAAGCCTGCACGCGAGTAAGTCAAAATGTTCTTTTGTTCTCTGGTCAGGCACCATGTCTGTCGGTGATCTAGTGATGGTGAATGGTCTGCTATTTCAACTCTCGGTGCCTCTCAACTTCCTGGGTTCTGTGTATCGTGATATAAGGCAATCACTTGTGGACATGCAAACATTGTTTGATCTTCACAAGGTCTCCTCGGCTATCAAGGTAAAGGCAGTTGAAACTTTTCTGTGTTGCTTTTTGTAGGCTATTTTGAAGGTTTAATACGGGAAGGTTTAAGACGTTTTGAAGGTTTAAGACGGGAAGGTATAAGAAAGTTTAAAACGTTGTAACGAAAGGCAACGTTTTGGTAACTTGTGGAGTGGTATTTTAATCATGTTTACAAGGTTGATTTTCCTGCTCTCTTTGACGCGCGTCCGGGGTGGGCGCAGAGTTCCGCGGGAAACCGCTGACGAATAAGGAGCCTTTCCGCGTTCTTAGCGACAGATTATCAAGACGGTGATCTGATTGTAACAGTATGCCTTCAATAGTCACATATGCCCTTCAATTCCTCGTGAGAGACGCAGGTTTTTATTAACTAAAGATTATATATGATATAAGCAACATATTTCCTATTACTTATTTCTTTAGGTCAAACCTGGTGCTTTTCCACTCGTTCTGAAACCTGGTGATGAAAAATCACACGTTATATTTGACAATGTGGTGTTTGGCTACCTGCCAAACCAGAATATCCTTAACGGACTGACATTCACTGTTCCAGCAGGAAAGAAGATTGCTATTGTAGGAGGCAGTGGCTCGGGGTAATCTTATTGAATAACAAACATTTAAATCCAAGGAATCACTAAACACAGAGTGAAACCCACTCGTTACCAGATCTTTCTCCATAGATATACTGGAAGCAGTACGTCACTTATAAAGCCGCTGAAATGCGACGCTGGAATTAGGTCAATGACATTTAAGCAAAAGTTTTTACAAGTTGTACTTTCATTTATTTATTTTTGTTGTTCTTTTTACTAGGAAATCCACCATTGTCCGCTTGCTGTATCGATTTTATGATCCCTCAGATGGTCGTATCCTTATGGCTGGCCATGACATTCGAGATCTTACGATTGATTCCTTGCGACAAGCTATAGGAGTTGTACCGCAAGTATGGCTACACTTTGTTAGACACAGCCCGGCTCATTGTCTTTACTTTCTGCAACTTAAGACCCAAGCTTTTACGTTGTATAACTGTCATCTGCACATGAAATTTTTTTTCAAGGTTAAATGTTCGATTCAAATCAAATTTTCGTAGTTTTTGTTTACGATCATATGTAGAATGACCTCGCATAATTACTCGCTTCCCAGCCGTCAAGTGTTTTTTTTTTTTTTTACTCCATTTAGCAGTAACGTCGCAACTGATGTGATGGGCCAATTTGCCGTTGTTGATAAGAGCACAGACAACGCTGCTCGCATCAACGTGTCACGCAGTGGTCACGCATTGAAAGAATCGTTTTATTTGATGTCGATATTGTGGTAAAAACAAATAGACAGTGGTTTGGCGTGGTCTGTACCCTTATCGACAATGATATTTGTCATCACAGTGGTAAAATTTGTTGCAGACTCACTCGGCGCATTTTGTCCACTGTGATGACGAATGTCGTTGTCGTTAAGACCACGTTGTCGATACAAACCACGCTAAACCACTGTCAAATTTGTTATTTTTTTTTTCTGAATCTTTAGAAGAATTAAGTGTTAGATTAAGGTTCATCCCGTCTTTTCTGGTTTAAGTACCAGTAATTGTTTATACTCTGTTGGCGACGACTGATTCCCCCCTGCGTCCCCCCTGAAAACCATGTGATCCCCAGGAATTCCCCCCCCCTTTTCCTTCCAGGTGACAGAAAAAGACTGCTTCCTAGTATTATGATATTGTTTAGAGAAGTTGCACGTTTATCTTTTCTAGTCGTTTAAGACAAACATTAACTTTTTCCTCATCAGGACACAGTTCTTTTTCACAATGACGTATTCTACAACATAAACTACGGGCGCATTGAAGCTACACAAGATGAAGTTTATGAGGCAGCCAAGATGGCGGAGATTCACGATGCGGTACAACGCATGCCCAAAGGATATCAAACTCAGGTCGGCGAACGTGGTTTAAAGCTGTCCGGCGGCGAAAAACAAAGAATAGCTATTGCTAGGACTATCTTGAAAAATCCACCTATACTTATGTACGACGAAGCCACTTCCTCGCTGGATTCTATCACGGAAATGGTAAGATTTAATCAGAAGTTTTCCACCCATAGCGCCAGGGCGTAGTAAATAAGCACCCTTTACGCCTCACTGCAACCCATTACACGGTAACATCAGTAAGCATTAGTTTTTAGTCTTATCCGTCGGTAAGCATATTCTCCCTACTTTTCTCTATGTTTCTTGTGGTATTCACAAGTAGAATTCTTCTTTTGTTGGTGATCATTTCCTTTATTTTTAAAGCCTGTTCCAGGCATTCTGTTGGCAAAGCGAAGCGCGATAGTAAACAGTACTTATAGTAGCAGAATAGTGATAAAACGATGAGGTCTGGGTCGAGTCGGGTAAAGAGCGCCTGTTACTTTTTGTGACCTTAATGTTTGATACAGTACTGATGTTGTCAGGAGAAATAAGACGCTTGTTACTCTCACGGGTGTTAGGGGCACATAAAGAGGCCGGCTGATGCATCCCGAACTCTGATTATCTTTCATCATACGAGATGTGTCTTAGAACGGTTTTCCCTCTCTCACCCTAGATGGAATTTACAGTAATTTGCCAATTGAATATCAGCCTTAGCAATTTTTTCAAGCTTGCGAACTGGTGTTTCACTTCTATTCTTGTCGGACTGAGTTATTGGAAGCAATTTAATCACTGAACATAGAGTTAACTGCCACGGCCTTTCAGTTTTTATCCGCAACAAGCACAGGATTGGTGCCATGTAGATTCTGAAAACCTTGGCTTGTGGTGAAGAGAGAGCAGACTGTTAAGAGTTTAAAGCGTTGAGAGCATTTAGCTCGCAAGCACTAACACTTTGTTGCAAATTACACTTTAGAATATTCTGGATAGTCTTAAACGTGTTACAAAAGATCGTACCTCTATCTTCATTGCTCATCGACTGTCCACAGTGGTAGACGCAGACGAAATTCTTGTTTTGGAAGAGGGTCGCGTGCGTGAGAGAGGTTCTCATTATTCACTCATCACAGACTCTAACAGTTTATACGCTCATTTGTGGCACAAGCAACACGAGGCACATAGAGTCGACATTCACAGAACTCAGGTCGATGATACGTCAGCTGCCGGGATGTAATGTGAAGGAAACTGGAACTAGCGTGGAAGCGAGGTGTTTGATATTCGATTTTCATGGTCATTTTGAGGCAATGTAGAATGTTTCAGACATGAGCATGCAACCAGAAGTCTCTTCGTAAACACAGTTTGCAATTTTAAGTGCATTTTTTAGAAAGGCAGTCTGTCCATTTGACGATAATTTTATTAACGTAACTGTTTTTAATGTTGGAAACCCCCAGAGATATGCTCTAGTTGCTACTGTTGAAAGTGAGATGGCAAATGAGTTTGTCGCGGAAAACGCGGGAAAAACTTGGACCAGTGCTAAACGCGGGAAAAGGTGTTGCTGGTGGAAAACGTGGGAAATTATGTCACCAAGCAGGTGGAAAACGCGGGAAAAACGTTTGCACAGCGTCACATGCGGGAAAACATGAACGGAGTTACTTGCGGAAATTGTGGGTAAAAATGTTAAACCAGGCATTTTACCGGGTGATGTCAGACATGAATTAACAAAGAACTTGAGCGGTCAATAAGTTTACATGTGTTTATTTGTTAGAACCACACCATCATCTCTCTACTGCGCTGACAAATAACTTGGTAGGATATTTTTTTCTGTGTACGCAAAATTTTGTTCAAATACTTACATTTTAATTATGGACAAATTCCAACGGATGATTTTAATCGTTCTTGATTCAAAACCACATGATATTGCTTCAATTACTAATATTCGGACGAAATGCTGCGCTGGCAACTGCAGTGTAATTTCTGAAAAATAATTATTTAGGAAACAAGCAATGGTTTCTTCGTCAAGACCTCGACAAGAACTAAGAAACCTATCTATTTCAGTTAAGATATTTCATGAAACGTTTACTTAGCAAATCGCACCCCCTGCACCCCCTCCCATAGATCCGCTCCTGTTACGTAATGGCAACAGGATTAAAGTTGTAACGTGTATTCAAATTTAGTTTTGTTTTTGTGCTCGCTCCTCCTTTTTCCTCCCATTTTCTGTATTTTTCTAAGAATTCATCCAACTCACGGTATGATAGGAATATTTCGGACCAAAATCTGAGGTTCCAAATATTGAAGAGCTTTCGTTCTCTTGTGATGATTGTGGTTGGGTCTGGCTATCATCCGTGTTTTGAATGTCGAGGTCTACAGGACAGTACGACATGCCGCAGTATCTCTGAATTGTTCTCTTCATATTCACTTGGAATTTCTCGGTAAACAGGCAGAACATGAGAAAGTTGGTAAGACCCTGTGCACTTTCAAATACTCCCTGAAAAAGTATTGGTAATTTTGTAAACGTTTCTTCATTTACCGCTGAATTGTTAACTTGCTAACGAAGCTCGATTCATTTACTCATTTGATATTTGTTTGGTTTCCCGCGAGGCAGAAAATACTCGCTTGTTACTATTAAGGTCTTGGAGTTGACTGTGTCTTTTTTTTTTATTTTTTTTTTTTTATTTTCATTTATTTTTTTTTCAGCCAGCAGGTAATTTTCTGGGCTCTTACTTTAAAATTATGTGTACCCGCACCGTTATCTCGGGTCGTCGCGCAATCCCAAAGATGGGAGCGCTGGGCGACCAGTGAGAGAAAATTAAGTCCATGTACAGAGAGCAGATTGCTTTTAGGTTAAGTAATTACCTCTGAAAATGACGAAGTTGAGTTTTGGAGGACTTAAAAAAAACTGGGTGTCTTTAGACCAAAATAGTAATGACATTGAGTTTCTTAGGATCCCTCCGATTCCCAAGAAGTCTATCCCTCTCCCTAATCTTCTCACGGTCGCTTCACGCATGCTCTTCTCCACTCCACTGACGAACACACAATAAAATCATACCGTTGGAACACTCACCTGGAAATATATCAAGACTTCTTGCGCATTTCGTACTGATTGTGATTCGTGCACAGACGAACTCAAATAAATTGCGAAGCGCATCATTCCCCAGGATCGTAAACAGAGAAAAATAACAGGAACTAAAGTCAGTTTTTTGTCGAATCTCTTTGCTGCTTCCAGAGATTTACATGCAATATAGCTTCTTTCGTTTATGTACACCTAAAAATAGACGTAAAAAAACATTAGGGTTTAATGTTCCACAGCACTTCAGCCAGGGATTTTGTTTATCACATTGAGTCAATATTTTGTTACCAATGAAAATAGGAATTCAGTTAAAATAACTTATTACGTAAATGGCGCTTTTTGGAACGTGAGAGCACCCTGACAGTCCGTATGCATAAAGGGCTAGAGGAAGGTTTAACAGCATGCGCTGATATTGCGTTACGTCAGAGAACACATGTAATGTGCATGTACAACTAGACGATCGCGTGATACATTCATGATCGAACGTGCCACTTAGATGCGTGTGCGTGTCCAATCATGAACCGGAAAGCGACGGTCGCAATATATTGTAAGAAAGTACGAAGCAATTGTTCATTGTTTAGAAATCGCAGTAAGAGTAAACGTCTTTGAAGGTCATAACCTCTTTATGGTCATTTTATCAAATAATTCAGAGATGAGAAAAATCCTGACAAAAGTTAATGCACGTAATTAAACTACAGTGTTACCAATTTACACTAAAGTCGTCTTTACGAAGTAAGTTCTGTCTTGTGGTTTTGAAGGCTTGAATATTATTTTATTCAATATCTCGATTTCAAGGATCGTATGCTCCGCAAGAGTTGGTCATGTGGTAACGCTTAACATAACATGTGATAAACAGTCAATTAACTTCATCTGATGCAAAAAATATACATATTTTGCCGCAGTCGAGTGGGTCATTGGGGTTATCGACAGACACATACCTCTTGTCGAAGATGACATTTTACCAGCCCGTAGAAAATAAGAATAAGTATAAAGACCAATATTTCCCACGCTTTTCCTGTGACAAGCATCCACATGATGTAACTATCCTTGACATTTTTGCCACTGTCCTGCACCTTGATCCAACACCAAGCTGAGCTGTAAATATCGCGATCATTTCCAAGCACGTCTGCTTGCAGCGCTAAGCAAGCAATTAGCACAGGCACTCCCCATCCAATAGCATGAAAAACATAGAACATTTTGTCAGCCAATTTAGGTTTTTTCCTCGCTATCGATACGTACAAAAAGACAGCCATAAATGTGGACCAAAAGATGGAGCATAGGTTAGATGTAGTGTAGAACAAACTCTGAGCTGTGCAAGAGGGAGAGTTAGTGTTCGGAGGTAAAAATGCACCGAACATAAAACTCTACACTACAACACAGTCAGCGACAGAAATGTAGACAAGAATTTTTCTCGAGTTCGATTGCATATCCTTCCATGCATAATATGTTATAATGATAACTATGGCTCCGATTAAAGACAAAGCTGAGGTCAGAACAACCAAGGTGCGGTTTAAGGTTGTATTTCCAATGGCTCCAAAGCCCAGAGTAGTTGGTATATCAAACGTTGGTACTGTGACATCGGACATGTTATCGACCTACTAACGGGCTACAACCAAACTCAGCCTTTAAATTTCAATGATGCGATGTTGAAAAAAAAAATCACGTGAGTCACACGAAGTCAGGCTACACGGATAGTTACAGTACGTCATTTAACACGCGTTTGCATCAGACATCACATGATTCTATTATTCAAGTGATTTTCTGTTAAAATAGATCTGATTGTTAATTCTTCCTTCTAGCTCTTGCACATTTCCTCGTAAATTAGTTATGAGAATTTTGTGTTAGATGAAGACAACAACTCCACCTGTTCAGTTTGAGCCTCATTACCTGCTTGCTATATGTTACGTAAGGCTGTATTAGGGAGATAATTTGAATATATCAACAAAGTTGAAATGGTAAATTGGCCACCGTTGCGGTTATAAAAGCTGACGTTTCGAGCGTTAGCCCATTCGCTCCGACGATTAGGGGCGGAACGATAAAAGAAGGAAGTCTGGGTCGAGTAGCGACTCGACCCAAACTTCCTTCTTTTTTTCGTCTACCAGACCCAGATTTCCTTCTTTTTTTCTACCTGACTTCGTCGCTACTAAACCCTAGTAAGGCGCCTTTACTGGCACGCTCCGTGTAATCTTTCACTCGCGAGATCTCAATAGCAATTCTCCTTATTCATACAACTGTTCTCTTATAACATTAGTTCAGAGACTTAAGCATTGGATCAACTAATTATCCCTTAATTGATTTTTAACAATTATTCGCCGAAGGCGAGGTGAATTTCGTCGAATAATCGCCGAGACGAAGTCGAGGAGATTATTCGACAATATTCACCGAACCTGAGGCAAATAATTGTTTTAGTGTAATTTCAAAGCTGAACAACAGAGAAATTTCTAAAATCATAACATTTTAGTAACATTTATTAACATTTCATTTGAACATTTTATATAAACCGCGTGGAGCGGTTTGTATAGCGTCATATAAGGAACTGCTCGACCAATCAGATCGCTGGAAACCCTTTGCTCAGCTCTGAAATTATACTAATTTTCTTTATTCTCATCACTTGTCTGCTTGATATTGTATTGATGTAGTTAGGAGAAATTCTGTCTTGATCACTGATGGAAGTGAAAGGGTCAACTAACTTACCTCCTGGCACAGGCTTTCCGCGTAACCCCAAGCTTCATAATGCACACAGTTGTTGGAAGAAAACGATGGATTTGTTTCGAAACATTGTTACACAAATTGCGTCTTCTTCTTTTTCTTCTTCTTTTCTTTATTTTCATAAAAACTCGATTGAAACGTGAGACTTTGCTCAAATGTTGAGCCAAAACGCGAAAAGAGTGTTTGACCACAAAGTTGAAAGTCGTTCAAGCGTCGGCAAATCAAAATGGTGGACAAATGAATAGAGGCTTGGCCCTTTAATTCGTTTGCTAAGTCTATAGATTCCTTTCGAATCCTAGATGAATGATGGAAAGTACGGTGTACTTAGATACAGAAAATTACAAGACCTAGTCCAACAGCCCAGGGGAATTTATTGATGATATCAACGTGGATTACAAACGATCGTCTTTGCGTTCCCTTTATTTGATTTCTTTCTCTATATACAGTTTGCTGTCATTTAGCATAAATGTGCCTTGTGCATTGGCACTTCAAACCCCTGATACAAGGGAGCTACATCAAATAACGTCTTAATCTTGTCGCATAGCAACAAAATGGATTCAAAATCTGATCGAGTATTGTTGTAATCTATTCAGTCACGCTCGTTCCATTCTTAGAAAAAAAATTAGCGACGAGAAGACAATGTTTCGGCTGATAACCATTCAATTTAAACATATTCTGTTGACATTACACGGAGCACGATTAGATTCCAAGAAGCACCGAGCTCCTAATTTCTCGCTTTTCGTCGTAAAACATAATAGGTAAACAACTGAGCTTGGAAACGAGGCTGCATGTCAGGAATTATAAATTGTGATCACGATCTCAATCTCATCTGGCCCAAACGTAATCAGTCGAACCCTGCTTACATATCATAGGAACTAATTCAAAACAATTTTCGTGAGAAAATTAGTTAGATGCAAGCCCTCAAAATGCGTTGCGAATGCCTTTGAAAATTTCTCGCCATCACTGTATGAGGTCAAATAGACAAACCTTCCGTTCCTTCCTTGGTTCCTAACGTGTTAACTTAGATGTAGTCGAAGTTAACAAACTTACAGTGTAATAGGAATATTTTGGACCGTAGAAGTCTGATGTTTTAAATATCGCAGAGGTCTCTTCCGTGTCTGAATACTGTGAATAACGGCTGTTATTTGAGTATTTCGCGTTTAAATACTCTCCAGGAATGAATGCATATCTGTCCCGCAGACATCGGCAGTATTTGTATGCTACTCTTCGCAAATTACTCTGGAATTTCTTGGTAAATAACCAGAAAAAGAGAAAGTTGACGAAGCCTTGAGCACTGTTGCATACACCCTGAAATCAAATTAAACTGATCTTTGATAGATATCATTTCAAAAGAAAGATAACATGGATGAAACTACTGAAGAGTAATGATATATGAATGATATGCATGATATATGTTGATATATGCAAATTATACTGAAGAGTAAGTCGACCAATTCAATCATTTATTTCTTATTTATCAATCACCGAACCATTGTACGGCGCAATTCCAGAATTTCGATTACCTGAGCCACCATGGTATTCGACCTATTGTACTGTGTTAAATATAATAAGGTTTATTTCCAACACCAGAGACTCTTAGCCTGCGAGCAGGCCTGTGTTATTAGCAGAAAAGAATGGGGCCTAGGACAAAGCGAGCCCGTGAGAGGTCTGCACGGGGCTTAGCACTTATTAGTGCCAGATCCTCGGAAATCCCCTCCCTGATTCGTCTCAGATCTTCTCACAGGCGAAGAAACGAGCGTCCTGCGGGCTAAGACTCTTCCCACTCAATCAACTCACAAAAAGATACACCACACACTTACCTGAAAATAAATCAAAATTTCCTGAGCACCAAGTAATGATTGGGATTGGTGTACAGATGAAGCCAGGTAAATACAGAAACGAATCATACTCCAGGATCGCAAAAATAGAAAAATTATGGGAACAAGTGTTAGTTGTTTATCAGCCTTCCTTGCTTCTTCCAGAGAGCGGCATTGAGTCATTTTCACCTAATAAAATAAGCATAAAAGAAGTGTTTGTTATTGGCTGTGTGTGCTGAACTAATGACTGAGGCAACGTTCAACTGAAGGGAAATTATCATTTTTACCACCACGATTATTTTCAACAAGAGAAAAGACACATCTAGCTGCAGATGGTGTGACGAAGTCACGTCACATATCGTAACGCACTGATTGCGTGCTTGTCACGCACTGGTACAGTGAGCGGATTAGAAATAACAGTTGATGGCGATGAACAAGAGCGGCTATCAATTTGCCACAGCCGAAATACTATATCATACTATATCAGCCGAAAAAAATGTAACCTGAAATCGGTTATCATTTAGGTCCATCATACTTAAGTTTTCGTTCACGGCACCCCTTCACTTCAAAAGAACGATGAAGAAGATACCTCCACTAACACAAAAATTATAATGTTCCCCTTGAATTCCCAATATCTGATCATGAATTCTCTCCTCTAGCTGCTGCACATTTCCTTGTATATTATTTATGAGAATTTGGTGCTAGATCAAGATAAAACTCCTACCTGATAAATTTGAGTATTCTCATTACTAGTTTGTTGGATAATGTACAGATGTTATAGGGAGAAGTTACTTGTTAATCACTCCTGAGACTCGAAGAGTTACGATGAAGGGTGATGAGAAGGTAACAAAACATCACCTGAGAGGTATGGCCTGATTTGACACCAAATTCTCAGGTTTGAAATTAAAAGAGATTTGAGGTAGACAGGAAGGAGAATTGGTATTGATATCTCGGGTGAGAAATGATCTATTAAAAAACTGTCACTAAGAAATTCTAACAGTTTTGTTCTTGATGGCATCAGCAGCTCAGTATCAAAACAATCACCGCGAATGCACTTGATTACAATGACGTAGGTTCGGTCAATAGGTTTGTTGTTTACCTCTGTGCGGATATGACACTTCAGTAAGCCATAAAATATCAAGATAAGTACGAAGACTAATATCTCCCAAAATTTGTCTGTTACAAACATCCATATCACATCATCGTTGCCATGATCCCGTACTCGGATCCAACACCAACCAGAGCTGTAGATATCTCTGTCATTTCCAAGGGCGCCCCTCTCCCAAGCCAGAACTACAATAAACAATGGGACACCCCAAGCAATCACGTGGAAAAACCAAAGAAAATTATATGCAGGAGTTTGTCTCGCCACTGCTGCGTACAAATATATGGCCATGAAGAGAGTCCAGAAGAAGGAACAGAGATTCGCGGCGGTGGAGAGAAAACTCTGAGTGACACAGGCGGTGGAGTTTGCGTTTTCTGGTAGCAGTACTCCGAACATGTAACTTGCAGCTACAACACTGTCGGAGATGGAGATGTACACCAATATTTTTCTCGAACACGACCTCATATCCTTCCAGAAAATATATGTTACGATGATTAACAAGGCTCCTAGAAGCGATAAAAAGCACGTGATAGTCACTAAAGTTCGGTTAACGAGGGAATTTCCAATGTCTCCAAAGTTCAGTGCCGTGGTTGGCGTCTGAGATGTCGACGACGCTTCCATGTTTCTTCACTGCGTCGCTAACGAGAGGTATTTAAATTTTGATAATGACTCTTTGCATTAAAGGAATCACGCGCTAGCAACGTGACCTCTAAGGCGAACAGTGGGCGTGAAGGTACCGATCCTCCCTTTGATTGAGACGTGTCTATTTTTATCTGCGAAGTTTCGACTAATTTTAGGTTAGTTGGTTTTGAAGGTTATGCAATGAGTGGTTTCATAAATTGCCAATTTTGGCACTTAAGCAAGGTTTCAAACAGCCTTCTATTTGGTAATTCGACGTAAGAACCGGAAGTAGTACCCGTCCGCTTATTACACACCAAATATGGTAATGTAAGATTCTACAATGAAGTCCTTTCCCAAATTTGGTTAACTTTCCGTTTGTTTGTTGGTTTGCTTGCCTGCTTGTGTTTGTTTATTTCTGTGGCGCCACAGTTTCAGGGCTGACAAGCAAACGATTTTCAAGGAACGTGTCACATTAATAAGTAAATTATTGAATATTTTGGAGCGCGTGAAATATTTTACAATAATGTAAACAAAGACCGCAGTTTTCAATAGTACACAGGTAGTACAATGTTGTTAGTGGAGTTGAATGATAACCGTCAAATGGCTAAAACGTTAAGCCGTTAGGCGAAAAAATTGACAAATTTAACCTATAGTCGCGAACGTGTAGTAAACGTGGTGCATAAAACTTTGGATTCAGTCGTGAAGACTTAAAAATTTTCGATTTATCTATTTCATTACTCCTGCGTGTTATTGTTTGCTTTTCATGTTTGCCTTCAATATTGATGCGCTGACGCATACTTGACGTTTGACCGCTAAAACTAATAACGACTTTCTTACTGTGTCCTTTACATTCAGTAATGGGGAATCCCCAATGCTCATAGGGACACCTAACTTAAACTATCTAAAATGAATATATAATCGACATAGTTCTGAATGATATTTTCAAACAATATACAGGAAAACCCGGTGAGAAAATTAATTAAAATTATGAATTGCAAAGTTGCAGCCATGCACTACATCCATCTAAGATTTTACTTAATTCAAGCTTGCGTACCTGGGTCTCAAACTGCTTGAGACTGACGGTCGATCTTTCTTTATTTGATAACTTGCTCCAGAGTCTTGGGCCTAGAGTGTTAAATCTTGGTGGATAAAAATCTCTCTCCCGTAAACTGTAAGTGCGGCTGTTAGTCAAAAACATATTACAAATAGTCCGCGAGCACAAATTATGTTTAAACTTATACATTAAAATACATATGTCTTGCAGTCTCCTATTATACAATGTTGGTAGCTTGGCTTTGTCTAACAGTCGCTGGTAGCGGCTGATGGCTAAAGATAGGCTCGATTACCAGTCGCTTCTCTGGAACCGGAGCCCGCGTTCCTCGGGCCGGACTCGAGAGAGCGGCGGAAATCGAGCCCATCTTAAAGCCACGAGTTTGTTTTTACACCCATACTCTCTACATCTACTTTTTCTCCTACTCAGATCAGTTGTAGATTTTTAAAGAAAAATTGTGGCTTATTGCCCCTTGGTTTTTTCTCTTTTTTTTGTCCTTTGCGTCAGAAAAGGGAAACCCCTTACTTTTAAACATCGTTATGCATATTCCCCATAATATTCTCCATACGGTTTTGGTAGAAATTACAATATGACTCGAATCCTGCGTTCTAATTGGCTCCCTGAGTAAGCAAGATGGGCCTATCTTGCCCGCTTTGATCCCACGCATGTACGCAAGACAAAAAGCAATCTCGTTCCCAGATTCTCACATCCCCTGGGAACGAGATTGGACAAACAGGGCGTAAGGCAGACTTACAAAACACGTTCATAACTCAAAGAAAATGTCGGACAATTAAGTCGCAAAAAGCGGCAGAAGACAGTTAAAACAAAGAGAAAAAAATAAACTGACCCTCATGGGTTTATTGTATGACCAACACAGTTGGCTTTCTTTCCCGGATCTCGAAATAAACAAATCATTCTTGATTCCTATTAAAGTGAAATCTTCTTTTTTAATATGATAAGTCCTTTATTGACTAAGCTTTTTCGGCCAAGATGGCTTGACATTAGCCCTGGGCATTTTTATGATCCGAGAACTCTTCCGGTATCCAGCCATCTTGACCACACCCTTGGTCAATAAAGCTTATATAAACTATGTTTTTAATTGAGTCTTTTTAACTTAACACGGAGTAGGTATCTTTTTGCGATTCAGTACCATAAAAAAAAAAAATGACAATCTAATTTCCTTCTCCTGATTTCTTTGTATCACCCCATTAAATTTTTGTTTCATCCAGACAAAAAGGCAACAAACATTTCAAGCTTCACAGAGTGAGTTATGGTAATTAAGATATTTATCAGATACGGTCTTGATTTTATGTTAAATGAGTTAATTACACGGTGAAGAAACGTATGCTCAAAATATTTTTCAGCCCGCTAGTCAGGTTATGATATACCACCAAGAAAAAAAGGTAAGCAGCTTAATAAAATACATTTAGCTGAACCAAGAAGTAAGACTAAAGTAATTTGAATTCTAAATCTTAGAGTTTAACCCAACAATTTTAAGAGGTTCTCAATGATGCGATGGTTTTTACGGCTACGGCTAACCTATCGAGACCCTCTGTTGTGATCACAATCAAACTAATATCAAAGGTTCCCAAAACTTGCTCTAGAACCTCAGTTGTTTTGACTGAATACTCAATTCACAAACTATTTTGTCTTCTTGAAATTTCTGGCGAAACGTTGTTGGATCCCATAAATTCTCGCACACCCACATCTTTTGAAATCTTTTATCTAGTTAAGGTAAACCACCTCAGATTTAGTTCATGCTGACTGAAAGAAGCGGATACAAATTGGCAATGATTTATCTAAAACGCCAGTTAGAGATAGTCCACATGGTACATCCTTGCACAGTGTGTTCAGGATAAATTAAATTCCGTTCGGAAAGAAAAATTTACAGTGAAACATAGTTCGATAAATCATCTCATAGCTCAAACTTTGATAACCTAACATTAGTATTTATATTCTTTACACTGTTCTCCTCACATTTCTAATGGTTCTGCCGATGAAAACTTGATTTGTTTTATAGTCAGGCACTTTTTAAATCGACGGTCATTTCCTTTGTCCGCGTGACCTTTTTATTTGATTCGAAGGTGATAGGGAGAGGAGAAATCTGGAGTCAGTCATTTTTAAGGTTTATAGTTTAAGTGTAAATGGACCCTTTGCGCGTAAAATAAAAGAAATAGCACCAAATATAACTAGTTTTTTGTGTCATATGCGTTATTAATTGCTTGGGCATACATTAGTTGGATTTTGAGTAGAAGACTGACTAAGGACATGAGGGTGATTTTTAAATTAAGTTGAAGCAAAAGGACTAAATCAAAGAATCTATTAGAATTAGCGTCACGGCTTGGTGAATTTTAGCATAATCACGATTGAAATCGCTAAATGTAAAAAAAAAAATGGTCTCATTGTATTCCATTTTCAGTCCAGTGCATTCTGTTGCATATTTATGAAGTAGTTTCATACTGCGTGACTCCACGATTCGGGTTGTAAAATACCGGTAGCTTGAGTGGTCGGTTCAAAAAAATTGGATTGAGGATGGAGGGTAGGGAGGGAAGGGGCAAAAATGAAATTTTACGCCAGCCAATGCGCAACAAGGGCGACAGATTTCCCTTCCACCTCCCCCTTCCCCAACGCTCAATTTCCTTTCAAATCCCCCCGGCTGACGACTGCGGCTCGGCACTAGCGAAAACTAAAAAAGAACAGCAACGCGAAGGAAGACGTCGATTAAAAAAATGAATCTGTATATTTAGTTAGGACTTCGCGAATGGCTGAACGTGTTTACCGTCTGTTGTCACGGCGCCTCACCTCAACTTTATCATAATACATGTGAGCGGCCGTGGAGTTTCAAATGGAAAGTTTTCACGAATGACTTGCAGGCAGGAGTTCCGTTCTCAGGTCACGCAAATTCTAGTGATTTCACGCTTTTGCAGAGGACAGCTAAGAAATGTATAAAGTTTGAAAACGTACGTGCTGAGCTACTGTCTGATCTTTTGTTTTGCCACGTCCTCGTTGCCTCGTAATTGTTTCCGTCGCCGTCGTGGTTTGCAATTTTTTATTAACGAAAAACTGGCTCATTAATGATTACAGCTTACCATTAGCGAGACGGGGCTAACAAATAAAAAATCCCTCAACTCGGTAGAAATTAAAACCTGTAGAGTATCGCAAATTAACAACCAGCATAGAGCATTTATTATGAGTTAGACTCCATTTCCATAAAAGAAAACAAGGAAGAATGATTTATGAATAAACATCCAAACTTCTTTTTCATGATAATTCGGTTTTATCAACTAAGTTGAAATTGTAAATTGGCCACCTTAAAGAGTTAAAAAGCTGACGTTTCCGGAGCGTTAGCCCCTTGTCAGAGCTAATGGAGAAATTGCAGGTTGTGTGTGTGTTTATATGCAAAAAGTGGAGCTACGCTATTGGTAGGAAGCATGGTGACGAGACAAACAAGAATGATGAATTGGAAGAATGAAAAGCGTTCCTTGATACCTATGAGATTAAGAGTGCCAATTTGAAAGATAAATTTTTGTTTAAGAGTTTTGCGGCTTTCCTAGCTACCTAAATGTAAGAAAAGACCGCAGACTGCTATATGCCGCTTAGAATGATTAAGTAGATTAAAGTGTCTAGCGACTGGTTTTGATGCGTCGCGAAGGTGTTCTCGGAATCGTTCACCTAATCGTCTTCCTATTTCGCCGATGTATATCTGTTTGCAATAAATGCAAGTTATGCAATAGATGACATTGGCGGAGATGTACATGAAGGGATCGTTTGGGTCCCGATATTTTCTCAGCGTTGTGAATGAAAGGACAAGCTTTGCATTGTGCGCGAGAGCATTTAAAATTTCCGGGTTCCGGCCGGGGTCATTAGTTTGAAATGAACTTCTGACTAAAAAGTTGCCCACGTTTTTGTCACATTTGAATAAAATAAGTGGAGATTACGAAAAGATAGTGCCAGTGTCTAGATCGTTTTGAAGTAATTTAAAGTTTCTAAGAATAACGAATTTAACTGCGTGGTTAAGGTGAAACGTGAGAGCGAATGGAATGCGGTCCCCTTTATTTTTTTGATGAGTTTGATCGGAGGGTGAACGCTTATTTCGGAAGAAATGAGAGTTTGAGGATAACGCTCATTAACAAATCCAGGAAAGCTTACAGTTGGGTTAAGTTTGGAAGTGTAGTCTGGTGCAATTTTTGTCGTGGATTGATTTTTTATAATTTTGAATATTTCCAAACCCTTCTGTCGTCGGAACAAGCTTGTTGAGCATCCTTTTGCGAGGGACAACCTCTCCGGCAATCTTCCTCCCGAGTTTTTTTAGCCGTAAAAATCTTTGTGAAAAGTTTATGGTCACAGATGCTATTGGCATGTTTAGGACTTTTTGAAACACTGAGGTTAAAACACGATTCTATCTGTTTTGGAGAGAACAAGTAAAATCTTTCAAAGAGAAAACTTCTCTCCGACAGCAGATATTGTCGAATAAACAAGTTGTTAAAAGTTAATACTAATTGTAATTATTTTTCTACCGGTCCACCGTTACTTTCAATTTCGGTTAAAAAATAAATTGAAAAAATTTTCAAATACGTCATTAGAGCACTAAACTATAAAAACAGAAATGGGTAGGAGAATGGGAGAGTTTGAGAAATATTGCACTGTGTGGATAGCACGAAAAAAAAAAAAGTTTGCAAGAAAAAGAGCGAAAACGGTAAGATAGTCGAATTTTCTAAATGACAAGCAATTTTTAAGTTTTGGCTCTTGTTAAAGAACAAAAGTTACCCACATACAAAAAGTTAACGAAAAAGAACTACAACTGTGAAATATGTACAAACTTATCAGTTGCTTTTACTAAAAGATTAATGCAAAGGAACAATAGACGACCCATGCTAATTTATTTTTAATAGTTTGGACGAATGCTTTTACACGAAAACTCTTTGTAAAGAAACACTTCAAAAACCAGCCCTTTAGAGTCTTTTTAGCTGTTTTTCACCCACGCTGCGTTTTATGGCGTTTTAAAAGCAAGCGTGAAAATGTTCGAGCGCATTCTAAGACCTCTTCATGTCGCGCAGCTGGAAGGCAAATGAAAAGAAAATAATATCTCGGATCAAATAACGATCACTTTAATATATTGTTTTGTCTTCCATTTGGACACATTTCGCACTCAAATTAAACAAAAAGGAAGCTGGAATACGCACAGCTGGCATTAGAGTATAGGCTGTCAGTGTGATTTCATCTGGTAACCTCTTCAGTGGAATGGAAGAACTACAAAGAGCGCAGACAAATGTATTATCTACCTAATAATTGTTGAGTCACCTTGGGAAATATTCCCAAATTTGGAAAACCATACGTAAGATTCAATCATTTTTTTTTCTTAAGTTTAATTCAAGCTGTGAAATTTACTCGCTGCTGTTACAAAAAGCAAAATATAAGTGCTCGCCCTACCAGAGGACATAAAAAGCTGTCCGTAGATAAAGAAAAAAAGTATTCGAATAAAAGCTGATAAAGGGGGATAAGTTTGTAAAGAAACTGCTGCGTTGGTGGGGGAGTATCACAAGGTAATTTTAGTTTTAGCAACTGAGTTGATAATGCAAACTGGCGACCATAAAGAATTTAAAAGCCGACGTTTCGAGCATCAGCTCTCTGTCATTCGCTCTCTGACGAAGGGCTAACACTCGAAACGTCGACTTTTAAACTCTTTACGGTGCCATTCCAAGTTACATTGTCAACTCAGTTGAAAAAACCAAAATAACCTTGTAAAAAATATTTGGATGATGATGAGCACACAAATCTTCGCGAAAATATGCTTGCATATTTGTTGTTGAATGTTATTAGATGCGGTTACTAGACGCTCCAAGGGAGCAACAGGACTAAGAAATTATTTAATTTTTTTAATTCTCGAGTTTTCTTGCACATCAAACAGACGCACTTTACCGAATCCTCTCAGAGAGCTCATGCCAGTCTACCAGGCACCCAGCGAGACAGGGCTGTACTATTAGAAAAACTTTCATTACAATTAAAACTTTCATTCGTAAATCTAACGTCAAAGAAATGATTAGTTTCTGCGTCTAATAAAACGTATAATGTTAAATTAGAGTGGCATCTGACAAGAAAAGAAAAAGTGCTAAATGTTTACACAAGAACAAATACAATTCCGTGCGAATATCGCCTCAAAGCCAAATCAGTTTTTCAAAGCTCTCGACGCAGAATTAGACCACAGTTGGCATGCGTTGCGTGAAGTGCACTTAGTTTCCCTTTTTTTCAGACAAATTTTCACTGAATTTCATCATAATTTACATTTGAAATGAGGACCAATGTGTTGAATTGCAACGGAGAACTTTTGCTGACAGATTCAAAGTACTCGACTTGCCCTCTGTAAAGTACGAAATGAAACAAATTATAGCCTTGTCAATTTGGCATCTCATTTATTCCTGTTACCAGGCTATGGTTTTAAATGGATGCTATTTCAGTTAAGTTAAGCGCAGGTGTCAGATTTAATCATTTTAAAACACTTCCTTAGCTTTCTGTTGGCGGTACTCGTTTGCAGAATTTCGTTTTGCGGGTGAAACTCTGTGGTTGTTTCTAAGGTATGGTCGAGAAATCTTTATACGATGCTTTATGATCAAAGATACTATTTATTAAGATTGGAACTGAGATCTAGAGCTTTAAGGCAGACTCTGTCGTTAGTAGTGAAAACAAACAAACAAACAAAGCGTTTCGCCTGCACCAAACCCGTTTCTCTTCGAAGATAAATTATTCAATCATCATTTTCCTTAAATTTCTTTAAGTTACTTCGTAATTAATTTTAATATTTCGGGATCTGAAAAATTAGCTGGTTAATCAGTAAAATGAACACTCGCGGTGGAGAAATGTAACTGGAAAAATTATCAGCTATTGTGTTGGCTTTAAGACTACATGAGACAGTCACTCCTTACCTAGCTTGAACTAAGAGCCTCAAGCTATAAAGGTTTTCAGTGCTCTTCAGCTTTCATCAGTTTTAGGTCTCTTACTGTACATTTTCAACAGCAGTAACGCCATACTAGCGCATTCCCTTAAACGGTCGCGAAAACAGACTCGAGAATGGGAAAAAGAAATGGTTTTCTTTCCTTTTTTTGTTTCGAAGCCCTAACCAACGGACACTGCTCTTTTAATTCAATTTTGTTCTAAATGGTGTTCACACCTTTTTCGCTACAAATGAGTCTAAAACGTGGGTAGGCTGTAATCACATGACAGTATCTGTCGCGATATTAGTGTGTTTTATGGGAGACAGTATTTCAGCGGTATCGATATGTCCAGTCCAGATTAAGGCGATGTATACGGTTTGGCGAAACTTCGGGCGTTTATCTCAAACATCATAAATGGCCATTCATGCCAAGGATCTTTCCAACGGTAACTGTACACTGCTTCTCTTTCGCACACTTATCTGTGCGCCTTTGAAGGGTGTTCCCTTAACATATAACTCCGCGTCAATTGGTGAAGAACAACGATGATAAACGCTGAACAATCTCGTCTTGCCAACACAGTTTAATAGGTATAAAACCGCTGTTAAGAAGGAGGCCTTTATTCCTGAATATTCAAAGCAGCTCTGAGGGTCTCTTGGTCCGTTGCTTTTGTTTTTTTTTTTTTGTTTTTCCTGTTTTCTTTTTTTCATTTTTTTTTACAAAGACAATCAATTATGATAAAGGATGGCATAAGCAAAATGAAAGCGTTACTTATTATCATCTCTGATTAGCTTTATCGATATGTTGGCTTTGATAAATTATGGCGTATTAACTGCAAATGTGTTTCAGCAAAAATCAATCATGCGAAAAAAAAAAAAAAAGAACAAACTACAGTATAAATTGAATGGGACTCAGCAAAGAAAACAAAATTTAGATTGGAAAACGGAATTAATTGTTTCCATCACTGTTTTCAAAGTTCTGTTTCTCTTGTAAACTTAATAATATCATACACATACATACAGACATACATACTTTATTTAAGGTATCAAAGAAACTAACAACACTAATAATACCCTAAAAAGCAAGTTTAAGAGGTTAAGCCTATGTAAATAAACTTCCCAAGAAATAAAATTTAAAAATGTATGCTTTTAATAAACTCTAAGATGGATAAAAACCTAAGAAATACGCATGTGTAATTTAAGAGCTGTTTTGAAACGTGTTAAGTTACCTATCTCAACGACATTGGCGGGCAGGTCATTCCATTCACGAATGATTTTAACAAAAAAAGAGTATTTATAACAATTACAGTTTGCCAATTTCACCTGCAGTTTGTAATTGTTGTTGGACTTAGTACGTTTTGAAGCAAACTCAAAAAAAAAAAAAGAAGCCTTTTAACTCCCAAGATCTCACTAGTAATTCTCCTTACTCTCTGCCTTGCAATTCAAATGATATTGTTTTGAGAATTTGGTCTTGGATCAACTAGGAATATCCCAATTGATATTTTCTTTATTCTCATTATTTGTCATGCTATTGTAAGGAGTAATTTTGTCTTGGTCACTCCTGCGAGCGAAAGGATTAAGACTGAACCGGGCTTTTTCTCGCACTTCATTCTTCGTGATCTACATGCAGCTGACTTCGGCCACTTTAAGATTCGTTTCGTGAATGACGCTTCTTTATCATGGAGTCCACGAATTCTATCCATTAAATATCAGACCCTTTGCGAGAGATGTTGAAATTTATCTCCAAGGACATCCTTATTTTGGTTCCTTAAAGTTTAATATGCGCAAATGCTGGGTTCCTCTGTTTCTCTGTTTGTTTGTTTGTTTGTTTTTTTAATTCGTACAAAAATGAAATTAACTTTAATAAGAAGGCTGATAGTTTCGAAAGAAACTGTTTGGGGCTGCGTCGGTGGGGGTAACGAAATAATTTGGATATATCAACAAAGTTGAAATAGTAAATTGGCCACCGTAACGATTACAAAAGCTGACGTTTCGAGCGTTAGCCCTTCGTCGGAGCGAATAGAGGAATTGTAGGTTGTGTGTGCTTTTAAAGGGAGAAAATGGAGCTATGTTATTGGTGGGAACATGGCAACGAGAAAAACAAGAATAAATTAGTGGAATGAAAAGCGTTCGTTGATCCCTGTGGGATTTAGACTGCCGGTTTGAAAGATGAGCTTTTGTTCAAGATTTTTACGGCTTTCCCTGCCACCTAAGTGTAAGGAAAGACCGCAGATTGCCATATGTTGCTTAGAATGATTAGGTAAATTAAAATGTCTAGCGACTGGTTTTGATACGTCTCGAAGGTGTTCTCGGAATCGGTCACCTAGTCTTCTGCCTGTTTCGCCGATGTATATCTTTTTGCAATAAGTGCAAGTTATGCAACAGATTACATCGGCGGAGCTGCACGTGAAGTGATCGGTGATCTTAATGGATCGTTTAGGCCCCGATATTTTATCAGTGTTGTGAATGAAAGGACACGTTTTGCATCGTGCACGAGCGCATTTAACTAATTTATTCTTGTTTTTCTCGTTGCCATGTTCCCACCAATAACGTAGCTCCATTTTCTGCCTTTAAAAGCACACACAACCCACAATTCCTCTATTCGCTCCGACGAAGGGCTAACGCTCGAAACGTCAGCTTTTGTAATTGTTACGGTGGCCAATTTACCATTTCAACTTTGTTGATATATCCAAATTATTTAATAAGAAGTAACTGATGCTTGAAAATATGATTAAAACTTGTTCCCGTTTACTTCGTGCCAATTAATTTTTTTTCTTTTTCAAAGTTTACAGAGGTAAGGCTGATGGCAATAGCTTGGCATTGGTTTGTTACGTACTTTATGATCAGCTGGAGCATTGCACAAGCCAACACACAAGAAAATATCGTTTTTCAAGCAAATTATGAGGATCTAAACAGGGGCTGTTGGGAAGGAAGCTTTGTTTTAAACGAGTGTGAAGAACGTTGTGAATGTCGAAATGGGGAACTTGTCAACTGTTACCGTGTGAGGAAGGATTTCATTAAAATGGACATCCTTGAAAGACGTCGTTTTCTCGACGCCTACAAAATCGTTTCAACGTATCCTAGTTTCAGAAAAGACTACAGAAGAGTAGTCGCTTATCATATCATGTACACCCCTACCGAATTGCTTCACGAAGGCCCGGAAATCTTCCTACCCTGGCATCGGTGGTGGTTAGTTGAGTTTGAAAATCTGCTGCGCCGTGTTGACTGTCGCGTAACCATCCCTTATTGGAACTGGAGTCGAGTCGCCAACCACTGGTGGGGAGGGTTTGGTAAAGAGGACTTCTGGAGCCCAGGCGCGCACGGGCTGGGCGGCGATGGAACAACTCCAAATTTGTGCGTTGTCGATGGACCGTTTAGCGGGGACAAATGGAGCCTGCTGAAAATTGGGGGAGGAGGATGTTTAAAGAGGAATTTCAGTTACCTTCATCTCACCGGAGATAAAGAACATATGAAGAGCACTTTAGCTCTGCCTGTAGAAGAGTTTCTGGAATTTGAAGAAATACTACGAGAAATTTACCATAACGAAATACACTGGTATGTCGGCGGAACCATGTTTACAACCGAAGCTGCAAACGCGCCTGAAGTAGTCCCTCATCATTCCTTCCTGGACAAAATTTGGCTCGAGTGGCAGAAGAAAGGCAAAGAATACAAGAATGTGTTCTTTTACGACGTTCCACGGAAGTTCCCAAAGACAAACTACTACGGTTGGCAATGGCTTGACTCCGATAACCTTCCTGATCAAGTGAAAGTTATGTACGAAGATTGACCGACGGATACGTAACCATAAGTTAGATAGAGTCTATACAAGTGTACAGGGGGTCCGTTATTATTTATCACCGGGGAGGGGAGGGGGTGGAGAATTCTGGGAACATATGCTTTTAGGGGGGAACAGAGGGGTGATCAGTCGTCGCCAACATAATAAGAAGGAAGGGACTATAGAACATTGACCTCCAATTAACTGCCAATGATGGGAACATTGAGAGACTCGTGGAGGGATCAGGAAAAATTTATTGTGACACAACCGGAAATCCTCTAACCCACCCAAATGTGCTGGCATGACATTAAATTCAATAATAAAACTATAGATAGCATTAAACTCAATAAATAAAAAACAAGATAAAAGTTTGCGCTAGATACCTCCATTTCTATACTACTTGCTTATTTTGAGAGAAATATAAGTTGTTTTTGGATACTGTTAAGGCAATTCCTTTTTAATTTAGTGACGAAAGTTATTCGGAATGGTAATGGTTTTTCTCTTATTTACATTGTGATTGGTCCAGGAAACTCACACCAATCTTTCAACCAATCAGTGAAGCAAAACTAGAACCAACCACGACTGGTCACGTCAATTTCCCGCGCTTTTTTTAACTTTGCGTTCTCATTGGGTCTTTCGTGTTTATTCCTCTCTTATTTATCCCCACTTTTACACTGGTGGTCAGATAAGAAACTTTTCTTTTCAATCTCGCAAGAAACTAACGTCAACTGGAACTATCAGCATTACTTCTCTGTTTGAAAGAGCTTCACTGATCAAATAAATCACAAGCGAGAACTAAAACACCATATTTTGAGGTAACCAAACACGTAGAAATGAAACTACGGTTACATCTTTTTTTCTCGGTTATTCTATTTGAAGTTTTGCGTTCAGTTTTCCTAGATGCCGCTCTAAGGAAAATGAGATCAAGTCAAAGCCGGAGTGTAAGGCCTTTTTACCCCGCTCTCTCTCCATAATAGAGAGATTAAGCACCACGTATTTTTTTCCCGCGAACGGCAGAGGGTTTGCCGTTTCTACTCGAGGACATTTTTCACGTCTGTAGGGAACGCGAAAACGTGAGTATTTGCAGCCAATTTTTACCGACTATTTCTACATTTTGATCGCTTGCTTTTATAGCTAAGCTGCGTTTATCATCTTACTTCGATATGAACTGCTTGTAAAGCTAATAGAGTTCAAATTCAAGCGGAAAATACATTACTTCTTTGTATCCATTTTTCTAGTCGCAGTGAGTGGAGAACGAGAACACTTGTTCTGCCGTGTCGTCGGGAAGCTTAAACAGACGAACATCGCGGACGGAACGGCAAACGACAAGCCGACGTTCAGCGTTCGCCGTTTTTGTCTCTACATTTCCTAAGGCACTGACGAAGAGAATTTGTTTAAAAATCAAGAGCTCCTTCACTTGGTGGTCATTTCTTTTATTATAGAGACCTTAATGTGTGATTCAGTGGTAACTGTGTGTTGTTCCACCTCAAAGATATGCTAATACTGAGCTCATTACTCATTCAGTCATTCAGTCCCGTAAGAGTCAACCACCGTAACTGATATCTTTGGTTCGAAATCTTTCTTCCCGGGCATGGATGGTATTTGATTGAAGGTCTTGATTCAGTTGGAAAGTTTCCTGCGCCATTTTGATTATCGGGCAAACGCGCTTTACTGCGACTGGGGCCGAGTCGCTCAACACTAGAGAGATTTAGCACTGCGTTTACGTGAAACGGCAAACGTCACCTTGTCCTTTCACGTTTCACGCAAAATAGCGTGAACCTTGCTGCTTTAGCTTCGCGTGAGCTCACGTCATGGTGGATTTAAGGCGCCCTTGTATGACTTACAAGGAATAGTTTTAGTGTCCTTTTTCCGGCAATTAACCTCAACTCTATGGGAGAGAAAATCTTGTGTACGCAGCAAACACGAAACAGGTTACTTTCACGTAGAAACGGCTAAGCGCAACCGGCAGACGTGAAAAATGGCGGGAAAACAAGGTCACGCGGTCACTCTTGCCGTTCACGACTCACGTAAACGCGATGCTTAATCTCTCTACTGTTAGGAAGAGACCAGTAACGAGGGCTTTTGGAGTGTGGGCCACTATGGACATGAAGGAAACGGAAGACAATCTGTGTTGTGAATGGACCGTCTAGAAAGGATAAATAGCGCCTACTTGATATCACTTAAGATGAAGAAAATTTGAAAAAAATAAGCTCTCATATTATAGTTTGTAAAGTGTACCACAATGAACTACATTGGTATCTGTTATGAGCCATGGAGGTGCCTGGCCTGCTAATGCCCCTGAGACCACAAGATCATCGTTAGCGGTAAGTTTCAGCTCTTTTACATCAAATCTTACACTCAGATTCTTGGGTTCCCACTGTTCTACTACAAAAGCCTGCAGGTAAGGCAGGCAGGCCTTGTCGGCAGGATGGGACAATATTCCTCACCAGTATTCATCATCTGATTCGTCATATTCACTGCTCTCATCCAACATAAATTCTTCCATGTCCCACAAGTCCCAGTCTGTTTCAGACAGGGAATTTAAGATCTTCTGCCTCAACAAGACAATTTGAAAATCTGTCACTATTTCTGTGGGTAGACTTTGCTTTCTTACCAAACAAGCTACCTCGCTGGAATTCAAAAGTCCAAATTCTTCAACTGTGAATGAGCTCCTAACGTACACCCTTGATGCCAGTTGACGCAATCTACATGTACTCTGACCAAACAACAATAGAATTAAGCTGACTCCAAATTTCTTAAGGTTCAGTAGTGCCACATCATTTGCACTCCCCCAAGATGTGTATTCCAAAAGTTCTAGTAGGATTTCTTTGGTGGAAAAGTAACCTTTATCCACAAGTGGAGCAACTTTGCTGCAAACTACAGCCATGTCCTTTCGTCCAATCGCAGACCATGGAATGATTGATGCCAGAAGGGGAGAAATATATCTGGGATTCAAAAAAATTAGTTTGTAACCAAAGTATTACTGTTTTGCAAATGTTAAGTTATAAAACATTGAGCAGTTCTCTAAGGTTTCCCTCTGAGATAATTGTGGTACCAACTCCGATAAATTTCTTTCTTCAATTATTGGCACCAATAGTGAAAAATTGAGATCTTATCAATGCTGAGCAAAAAGATCATAGCTACCATGGAGATAAGATTGAAAAATGCACACCAAAAATGTTTCCCTTAATCAACAGTTGAGATTTAATAGCCTGTTAACCAGTGCATGAACAAAAGAAATGTAAAAAACACTCAAAAGGCTGTCAGAGAAAGCATTGCCTCTACATTGCTTTTGCTATTTCTATTCAATAGACTTAGGTATCTCCCATCCAGGAAATAGAAGAGAGAGGCTAAGAATGGAGCTAAACTAATAGAACTTAGTAATTTGGATGTATCAACAAAGTTGAAATAGTAAATTGGCCACCGTAACGATTACAAAAGCTGATGAAACGTCAGCTTTTGTAATTGTTACGGTGGCCGATTTACTATTTCAACTTTGTTGATATATCCAAATTATTTCATTACCGCCACTGACGCAGCCCCAAACAGTTTCTTTAGAAACTATCAGCCTTTATTAATAGAACTTAGGGTTGTTAACTAGCTACTTGTGGGTGGAATTTTCATGGAATTCAATTTAAAGAAATATTTATCTACTCTTTACTCCCAAGAGTGACCAAGACAGAATTCCCCTGACAATATCAATAAAATATCAAGCAAAAAAGTGATGAAAATGAAACAGAAAAAAATATCAATTAAGGGATTAAAAGATGGTCTGAAACCAAATTCTACAAAATTTTTTATTTTATTATTTTTTTCATTTGAGGATTTGTACCAAGTACAGGAGCAGAAACAATAGGACATGGGTCCCCTACGAGGTTAAAGCTACAACAAACCCACCCATCCCACCCCAGGGGAGGACATCCATCACACAGTAATCTCGCGTGTGGGAAGTTAACGTCACCTACCACTAACCCTGCAGGTGATGGGACCTCCATTTATTCGTCCCTATCTGAGAAGACTAGAATATCTAACCATTTCTTGATGTTATAGAAAGGTAGCATATTCTTCTCATTTATTTTAAGACCTTGAGTGTTGGTCCGGCCAGGGCTCGAACCCTCAACCTCCCGCACAACAGTCCAGCGCTCTATCCATTGAGCTAACCGGGAGGCAGTTAACTTGTATGGCAGACAGTGAGGAGAATTACTAATGAGATCTTATGAGTTAAGGGTTAATAATTAAGCTCATTAAAAATGAAACGGCCTTGTTATCTTACCTCCCATCAGGTCCCAAGCCCCGCAAACTTGGATCTGCTCCATGATCAAGAAGAATCTTAGCAACTTTAAAGTTACCAGACTGCATGGCATAAAATAGAGCAGTTCTACTGTGAATTCCACAGTGGTCAATCTAGATTAGAAAAATAGAAAAACATAATTTTGTATTCGTCTGTAAATTTGACTTCATCACCTACATTTTCATATGCTTCAGACTCTATGATTGGTTCAATATTTATTTCTCATCAGCTTTTAGTGATATTTTGTGATTTGCTGTTGTGATAATTTTTAGTTTTCATGACCTGATACTCAGCCATTAAAGGTCATTTCATTAATACTGTGGTAGTTAAACCTATTCTTACATATACCAGAAAAATGCAAACAGTTCAGAAACACTAACATACCTTCACATTTTCAAATGATAACAAAAAGTGAACAGCTTCACTGATGTCATGATTGAAACAAGGTCCTTGCTCAATACCATCTCGCCATGGCAATGGACAACAAAGAGACATAAGGGGTGTGTTACCATGGCAATCACTAGCCATAAGATCAGCACCACTGTCGCATAAGGCCTGTGCCATACGTAAATCTTGCGATCTTAATAGTGTTGAATGTAGTGGAGTCTTCATTTCTATGTCTCTAACATCAACTTGAGCTCCATGGCCTAACAAAAACCAAGCCACATTTACCAGTTCTTCAACTAGGTCTGCTGTTTGTTTTATGCATTTTCCATTCAGAGATAAAGCATTGTATGTGGAGACAGCTTCTTTGGTTAGTAAACTGTTGTTGGTTGTAACAAGATTGTAAAAGTTCACCACACATTCCAGTGGTGATCTTCCTGGCCCCATGTATTCTGCACCACAAGTCTAAAGAGGAAAAACCAGCACTATTTTGTAAAAACCAAAAAAAGTAAAAAAACTGTCCATACAGAGAGAAAAATCCATGTACTTATTAACTGAGTGAAAGGGCTGGACAGAAAAATATTTGGTTTGAGGTCATGATGTATGGACCGAGCACAGTGAGGTCTGAGTGTCATGAATGAGAACCAAATATTTTCTTGTTTGGCCTGCGACCAAACTCAGTCAATAAGTTGGCTCACATCAACCCCTCTAAGACCTACACATGCCAGCTTTCACTACGGTATTCTGTTGGATTGTGTACCCAGGGCTGACCGGGTCATGTGATAATACAGTATTGGTATCCAGGCAACTCACCCCCTGGACAATTAGCCCCAGACAACTCGCCCCCGATCTTCAGACAACTAGCCCCCGATCTTCAGACAACTGGCCCCCAATATGAAAACACGTATGTTGCATTGGACAACTATATTTTTATGCACATAAAGTAATAATTTCTTGAAAGAAGAAGAAAGTTTGTTTTTTAAAGTATATTAAAAGACCGAGACTAACATTTGTAGTGATCGATTGTAATGATCATGTAAACACATGAAAGTGACCATTTTGTAATCCAACTATAACATTTGAAGTTAATGCTGTTTACGCAATCATTACAATAAATATCACTACAAATGTAAGTCTCGGTCTCATAATGTACATTAAAAAACAAACTTTTTTCTTCTTTCAAGAAATTATTAGTCAATGAGCATAAAAGTCTATTTGTCCAACATAACATAAATGATAAGTGTTTTCATATTGGGGGCCAGTTGTCTGAAGATCGGGGGCAAGTTGTCTGGGGCTAATTGTCCAGGGGGCGAGTTGTCTGACATTCACAGTATTATATTAGCTAAGGTTAAATTGTGCAAAAGAATCTTCCTTGAATTTCATTACCTCTGGAATTCTCAAATTTGGATCTGCACCTTAAATGAAAAAAATAAAGAATTTGAGCAAAATGAGGACAGAGGACAGATGACCTTGAAGTTGCTATATCATGACAGTCCTCGAAATAATACAAGTTGTTTTTTTTTAGTTATCGGAGCTTAAAGCATGATCTAAGTGCTGTTGCTATGGAAACAAATAAATTTGAAAATTGTAGTATGCCCGTGGAGGTAAGGGATCTTTCTACAAATTAGTCGCGTTAAGCTAAATAATATCGCGAACTGTAGCTTGTACCGAGCTGTTAAAAGTAACTGAAACCCGCCCAGAGCCCGTTGGAGAACATAGTTAACAAGGCAAGTTTAACTTGGCTTTGTCAATTTCTATAAGTAAACGGTACTGTCAGTCAATATTTGATGAAAGTAATAGTAACAATTGGCAGTTTTATGGAATAGTTCCTCCGCAAAGTACAAATCTTACCTCTTTCTATTAATCGTCGCGCGATCTTCAAGTGAATCGGCATGGCTTCTCCATCCACCGCAGAATTTTCACCTGAAAGAACTATAAAAAGCGGAATCCTTTGGTAAAATCCCTCATCCAAGCACATTCCATAACGGCTTTCGATAAATTCTAGGGCTTCGTCAAAACGTCTCGACTCCAGAGCCCGAGTTAAAGGAGTTTCGTTAATTCCAAAAACAACATTAAATGGAACTGCGGCCGCCATGTTGTTTTGATTAAGAAAATAACCCATAATGCCGTGCTCCATTTGTTTACACGTTTTGCACCCGCACTCTTGCCATTAACTATGTGCTATCAGATCATTAGAACAGTGTTAGAACGGTTTGAGTATTTATGAAGCAGAAGGTATTTTCATGGATGAAAGTTCACTGAAGGAGAAACTCAGCTTTCACTGCATTGTGAAGTATTTTCTCTTCGCTACTAACACCGTCTTGTGGGTTAGTTTATTTGCAAAGTAGTCGGCAGAGTTCATAGAATTTAATTAACAGTTCAGTTTTCATGCAGCTTCTACTTCACTCGAAGTTGTTAAAGGTTTTTTCTACACTGCCAGAGACTTTGAAGGTGTAACTCAGAGTTCAACTTGTTGATGTAAGTTAAGGGAAATGATCCACTAAGCAACATTAAGAACCGGTCCTGAAAAGCTAGCCAATTTTGAATTTTTTTGTTGCATGGCGTTGTTCACACTCAAGATCGAGGTATCGATTGCTTTGAAGTTCACAAGGTTAATATGTCTAGAAATCAAATGAATTAATGGTTTTTGGTTAGGCACGCCACCACTATTCCTCACGTATGGCTTGAGGCCAGTCAAGCCACTGAGACTTTGGAGAAACCGGCCTTTGGGAGCCATTGCACTTCGGGGGATCAGGAAGTGATGGGGAAACTTTTGTGTAGTTTGTTCGAAACATTCACTGTTTAAAACATTTATTATCTAGATTGTCAGCATCGTACTCGTTGCAGTGGGAGCCTGGGCTCATGATGAGAAGAAGGAGTATAGTGACCTTGACAGCCTGGCCTTTGACCCTTCAGTTCTACTTATTGTTGTTGGCTGTCTGATGTTTGTAGTGACATTCTGTGGTTGTGTTGGAGCTCTCAGGGAAAATAAGATCTTGCTGCAAGTAGTGAGTGAAGTTCCACATAGTTCTATCCTGTCAATGAAATTCTGAACAAATCTAAATGAGCTCGCTAAGCTCACTTTTCTCTGATTACTTTTATTAGTTATTTTCTGACACCTGAGAAAGTATTGCCAGTTTACATATGGAAGTTATTAAGCTATGCACAAGTAAAATCCTTGGTACATTGAAAGACCCACTTGTTTATCCCATCCCAGTGATATATTTGACATAGATAGTTGATGTGCACACAGTCACTAAGCTGTTATGTTCTCGGGGCTGACTAGTGAAAAAGAGAAACACTGCATACAACTGTATAACTCCAAAGCACATGGTAGCATAAAAGTAACTACAACATACTGCAGGCTCAATATCCATATTCTGTACATTATGTCTGTTTTTCAGGGCTGGTTGTATGTTTGTGATTTTGATTCCCTTTAATTTCTATCTAGTTCATGGGATCTTTGACTGTCATCTTCATTTTGGAACTTGTAACAGGCTTTGTTGCTTTCTTTTTTGTCGACAAGGTACATGTAAGACTAGAGAAGCTCCAAATGTTTGTTAATCGTTGATTACTCTTTCTTTTGTAATGTTGATTTATGCCAAGGGCAGATACACAAGGTGTGGAATTTTTTAAGGAATCATGAGATTCTTAAAAGCTGAACTTTGGAGGGAAAAATATCAAGCTATACAAGATCACAATTTAGAAGTGGGTCGAGGGTTGATTTAGTGTTCATGTATTGAAAGGTAAATCCTGCACTATTGCTGGGGTGGTAAATAGAGGTTTTGTCATATTGCAAGTTCACCCCCTATTGCATTTGCGAGTTTGCCACCTGAAGAAAAAACAAGTTTGCCCCTACCTTAACCAGAATCTTCCAACATGGTTCTTTATGTCAAAACGTATTCTGTTGAAATCCTAATGCATCGTGAAATCTCACTGTGAAACAATAACAAAATATGACCAACATGTGAATTATCAGTTGTATTCACTAATGTGTGACTACTGCACTTTGGATACAAACTGGAGACAGTACAATGCTCTTTATCAAACTTGTTTAGCACTATTTTATGCTGAGTTTTGCAGCAAAGTGAACTCACTTTGCTTCAGGGGGCAAACTGGCAAAGGTGGAAGGGGATGAACTTGCAATAAGGCAAAACCTCCATGAACTGTTGGAGCTTGTTACAGTTTCAGCAGCTTGTAGCAACTAGCAGTGTTGTTGCAGCACTTGGACGGTTGCATCTCCCAAATCATGCCTAAGATTAGTCAGTAAGTACTGTCATTATGTCACAATTACAATCACAGCCTCAATCTACCACACCATTTCAGCCCAGTGATTTATAATTATCTTCAAGTGTTCTCCCTTTGCTCTAATAAGGGTCTAATGCTTCTGAAACTCTTTACAGTAGCCAATTTACATTCTCAACTCAGTCGATAAAGCCAAATTATCTTGTAATACCTACCATGTACAAGCACCATAGTTTCTTTAGTGACCTACCTCCCATAATCACCATCCACAGACTCGCAGTAAAGTGAAGGAGGCAACTCATAATGTGATCATGAGATACCGAAATGATCCAGACCTGCAAAATGCTATAGATGGAATACAAAAGGGTCTGAAGTGTTGTGGTGGATTTTCATATCATGACTGGGAGCTGAATGAACATTTCAACTGTTCTGCTAATACTGTTCAGGCATGCGGAGTACCCTTCTCATGCTGCCGTGAGGTGAGCAGCCAAGGCAAAAATCAAGGTTTTTCCCACAGGCACTTCTACAGTAATACTACATTCTCACACAAAATTAAGTATTTTTGATCGAGTTTTTTTTCCTTTCTTCTGATTGACCATTTTAATTACTTTGGTTTTATGAAACTCATTTGAAAAGGGCCCTGTCACTGGTAATCAATTAGAACTCAATTGTAAGTTTATACATGCAACTGGGCTGGGAGTTTGGGAAAACCTGGCTGACCAAGTCGGGTTAGGTTTATATTTGATTAGTCGAGAGCTTGAGGTGAGTTTTCACAGAGCAGATGTTATTAGGCAGAAGCAGTGCAATCCTGGTTTACTTTAGTTTCTGCATAGAACTCACTCTGACTGGTTATGTGCCAGTAGACGTGACAAAAATGTCAATTTTTCACTACCATTAAATGAAACATGCCCAGTTTGTTTCTTAACACCACATTACTTGATTGTAACTGTAATACTGTGTTATTGTTTATTGATGAACAGGATCAGATCAATACACACTGTGGATTTGCAGTTAGAAAGGAAAAACTTGTAAGTGCCGGCAATCTGGTAAATCTAGAGTTGTAGGGAGCTCATGGCATAGTTGCTGTATGTTACCTATGAATAATCTGGATATATCAGCAAAGTTGAAGTGGTAAATTGGCCACTGTAACGATTACAAAAGCTGACGTTTCGAGCGTTAGCCCTTCGTCAGAGTGAATCACCTATGAATACCCAAGTTTATCTGGTTACTTATTCTACATCTGTTTTGCTCACTTAAGTGCAAGGAATCTACAGAGATCTGACCTCTGCTTGAAAATCATAGAGCTTGGAGAAATATACAGGCCCTGATTTATGAATTCAAGAGTTAATTACATATCTTTATAACTATTAAGTACATACCTCATTTCCAATTGGTGCAAATGGTATTATAAACATTGCAAGAATTCTTGTTTATTATCTTACTTGGCTACATGTTTTGTGAACTCGGGTACTATGGTTTGTAAACAAATGGAAATCTCAAGAATTGCAATATATCCTAGCCAATAATTTTAAATCAGTGATCTAATTCTTCATTCAGTAGTACAAAAAAGGGTCCACATAAAAAAACATGTGGCATAACTTGAAGTGTTGCCAAACATACAAATGACTTGATAACAATTGACCAAGAGCAGTCCCTCCTCTTCAGTGAAGTCTGTTGGCAAATAAAAAAAAGCAAAAGGATAAAAGCAACTGATGTTAGCATGCCACATGGAACCCTGGAGGTGAGATGCACAATAAGTAGGATGCTGCAGTTTTCTTCTTTTTCACTGATTTCTTTTGACTTGCACAAGAGACTTTGCTGAAAGGAAAGGGACTGCTCCAGTCTAGGGTAACTTTGAACCTATTTACTTGCAAATGTATGGAACAATTTTTGCTCCTATAAATTTCTTAGGAGACAGAAGCTACTCAGGTGATATACACCAATGGATGTATTGATAGTCTGACAGACTGGATTAATAGCAATCTTCACATTGTGGGAGGTCTTGCATTTGGGTTTGCTGTTGTACAGGTAATTGCAGTGCACTGTGCTTCAACATTTATGAACTGAACATGGCCAACTCATATCTGAAGTTGCAATGAATGTAATTTCTTTTGAGATTTCAATGAACTTTTACCAATTTTCTCGATCAAGTTAATTACATTATTCTTTCTGCTCATTTCAGTTGCTTGGAATTCTGGGTGCCTTTAACATGATCCGGGTTATCGATGAAGTGTTAAAGTCACAGAATACTGAGACTGAGTTGAACTTTACACTATAGGAGAACCACAGGGATTTGCTTTGTTGCATATGAAGGGAAAAGTAGAATACCCACACCACAACTTGGCTAGCCAAACCGATCAATAAAGACTCATGGAAAACCAGCTATATTCTTGCAGTATTTTTGCTGGCATCACACCCCTCAACCAATCAAGAAGCCAGTATGTTACACTGTAGGGGTCATGGTAGGGAGGGGTCCTGTAGAGTTCAATAAATAATGGACTCCCATCAGATGATAAGGTTCAAGTATTTTTTTAACAGAGTACAAAGCTTCAATGTTAAAAACCTTTATTGGATCTTCCAATTGCAAATCAGCATTACAATATCAACCCAAGAATTACATGGACTTGTTTCTACTTTCTTGTTTTGATAATGAAACCTAACTTTGTAGTAAAAAATGTCAACAGAGAAAAGGGAAACATTCAATTATCACTTAGAACTAACACTGACAGTTATTGTCAAAAATCTTTGTACTGAGATGAGTTTCAATCTGAGGTTTTAATTAAGAAATCTGATTAGTTAAAAAGATTGCAATCACTAGGTCCTGTGAAAATTTGTCAAAAATAAGTTGCTAAGCAAATAAATAAATTCCCTATATTAAATAACCATTATTACATAGCTACTGTATCATAACTCAATCAAATATTATTAATAGTTATTAAGTTGAGGACTTTATAAAGTCTTTCTCTATTCTCTGAAAGGAGGTTCATTTTTCAGAGTAGCTTCATATTTATTAAAAATAATGACAAAGAGATATTTGGATGTCATTACTTCTGAAGTTTCGTGCTCTATGTGGAATGACTCTCATGCTTATTATAGTTCCGAACTCAAGAAAATAAAACTTTGCAGTGTATCTTATCCTTTAGGCACCCAAGCAAATTGGATGAAATTCCTGAAATACCAACAAAAAATAGTTCCAGCCATTCCCTAATTATTTCTGTAGTGATTGGTAATAAACAAATAGTAAATGAGTTTAATTTTAACAACTTCAAAATTTCTCTCCAAATTCCTAACACTTTTACACTCACACGCTAACTACCTACAATTATGATTGGATTAAAGTTTTCTTGCTCCATTTATTGAAAGCATGATTTTTATGAACTGCCCTCGGCAACTGATACTTAGCCGTGCAACGGCAATTCAATTCCTCAGAAAAACAGACCTTAAAACAGAAAACACTGTATTGCATGCAGATAACACCACCCAATAGATATGACCGTATCTTAAGGATGGGTTTCAAAAAAGAGCCATAATTGCTACAATGTCATTAAGTTTCTACCAGAGCAATAGGAGTCTTTGACGAACACCGCAAGCAGGGTTAACTATAAAGGATAGCTTGCTTATGCTTTCTACACTGAAGATTCCGTTTCCCCCCCTCCCAATTAGGCTCCACTCTACTCCACCCTGTCTTGCTCAGTTCTGTTGTGTATATATTTTGGCTTGGTACTCCCGTGGAGCTCCACCGTGTCTCTGCCACTCGATCTCAAAGTCACTGACAGTAATCTCAGCCCCTTTGCGCAGCGCCAATCGTGTCTCGTTCAAACTCAGCTCGCACATGTCCAGATCATCCTCCCCTGCGACTAGCAATAAGGCAGGTTTCCCGTGGTGAAGCTCCATTTGGCGCGCAATCCACTGCCCATCAAAGTGTGCAAACCTGAAGGGAAGACACAACACCTGCCTTTTAAGGAGAACATTTTTAATTGGCATTATGCAACACTAGAGAGAACGAACTGTCCCTTCTTTTCGGCGAAGTCCCCCACGCGAGTGAAGAAAGAAACAGTTGATGTCAGCGTACTGCGCTAACATCAAATTTTTTTCAGCTATTTTTTTTCGTTCTTTTTTTTTGTTTGTTTTTGTTTTAACTCGCGCGACGGACTCCGTCGAAAAGAAGGGACACCTCGTACTCTACTAGCATGTCTACCCCTTGCTGTTGATGCTAACCAAGATGCCTTTATCAAAACCAATGGGGGTTTAACAGTGCCCCCAACTGGTACAATCACGATGGACAGATTCAGGGTGATCAGCCAGATGAAGTTAGACTCCTTGTCCGCCAAGTTGGAGGTTGAACATGAGACTGAAAACTTTACCCCAGAAAAAAATTAAATAACACGACACCTAAAACAGTAACCATGAAAACATCAGTGCCAGTCTCTGGTCATCTCTTTGATCCAAGGTTTTTTAAAAATTTTACTTATCGTTCTCTCATAAATCGTTATACAATTGGAAGAAGAACCAAAAGAGCAATAGCTTGTTAAAAAAAAGACTTTATACCATTACACTTACCACCATCCCTGCTGATTGGACCGACGCATAAACGGCACACGGAAATATCTCTGCGGCCTTCGTGGGGGGAGGGCTGGGGAAGAAGTAGCCTGTTGCGGATGACCAGGGCGAGGAGGGAGGGGTGGAGCATTTTCAGCTGAAAGTAAAGTTACATCATTTGGTGATGAGAACCAATTCGCAGATCGTTAGAGTAATTGTCATAAATGGAGTCTGCCAAACTAAGCGTCAAGAGTTCGCACTGCCCGTGGTTTTGACCTTTCTGAGTTCATTCAACCAATCAAAACAGTCATCCGCAATTACCTAAGGGGTTCAACCCTCCACTTACCTGCTGCCATAATATCCTGTGGGGCCCTTTGAGCAGCACCTTCTTGGCCTGTGCCTCGCGCCTTGTTGGTTTTCTTCCACTGGTGATAAACCTTGAGCCGCCGCTGAAACTCCTGCCTGCAGGCCTCCAGAAGCTCAATGTCTGCAATTACCAGAACAGAAAAGAGTCTATTGAAGCGAGTTGTAAAGTGCGCCGATTCTGTTTTGTATATCTACGACTACTCAGCGCTCTTCAACCACCTCTGAAGAGCTCTTTTAGTCTCTAAGTTTTGCGGAAGGCCGATCTTCTTCTTCCTCCGTCACCCCTACCATCCCTACTGTTTCGTTCGCCTTCGCCCCAAGCCTTCGCGCGTTTCATAACTTCTCCCACTCACATAGGAGACGGAAAGGCCTGCCAACTAAGGAGATGTGATAAATATCTTGATGACAAGACTCTTCGATGAGGACTGCTTTCCAGTGCTGGAGCCGACTGCTATCTTGATAGCCTGTTAACTGACTGGGCTTCCTATTCACCCAAACAGGAACAAATTACCGTGCTACTCACCGCAGGACGTGTTAATTGTGTCCCGCAGCTCGGCGTATTTCCAAGAAGATAAGTCGTGTTTCTTTTTCTCTCGCGGTGGCAGCGCTCTGAAAGAAGAAAAAGACTTGAGAGATCGACAAGAATGCTAAAACATCAAGTTTCCCTGAGCGGATGTTAAAATGCCTGAATACGGCGCAAGATGCTGCCCAGGGTCAAAGTCCAAGCCGATGTAACATCACGTGATGATTTTTTTTTTTTTTTTTTTTCAGGACAAGCCGTAGTTCTGAAAGATTTCTTCATACCTCTGAAGTGGTAGCTGGGGAGCCTGCTGCACTTCTGCGTCCAAAGCGTCCGGGTCCTGTGCAAGCCGTAAAGCTAGTTCCCGGTCCATTCGCTCTTGTTTAATCATCGCGCACCTAAAAGTAAACACGATCAACAGAGAACATAAAAAAAGAACACGCGACTCGCTACAAGGAAGCTTCGTCTAATCGGTTTCCAGTAACTGAGAACCAGGTTTTCATATTTCCTTTGTGAAGAATATAGCCCGCTCTACCCATCTTAAATGTTCACGCAACTTTTTTAAAGCTTTCCATCAAAATTGAACCAGTAACTGACCTCCGTTGTTCGTCCTCCCTAGCCTTCTGTTCTTCTGCAGCTTTTAAAGCCTACAAATGAATACAAGAAACGAATATAACTCAACACTATCCTTAAGCACTCACTGACCTGCTGGGTTCAATTCCCAAAGAAACATACTCAAACATACTTATTTGAAGGAAGTGAGAGGTAGGTACATGCGCATAAGTCATACAGCCTGTCTTTCTGTGGTATTCATCTTTATTTCCGTTTGTCTTGTGTTTGTTCTTCACCCTGCTCATCTATCCGTCCGTCTGTCTGTCTGTCTGTCTGTCTGTCTGTCTGTATGTCAGACTGTCCATCAGTCTGTCTGTCTGTCTGTATGCATGCAGGTATGTATAACTTCCCTTAGTAGGTGGTCGACGAACCTCCACTCAAAATTATAAACAGAAATCCTGTAACTTATCTCCAATCAGTCACTTGAAAGTCTTGCCTTTCCCCCAAACAATGTTGATTCAAATAAGTGACCATTTTGTTTTCACCAGGAAACATTTAAATGGGGGAGAGGAGGAGATAAATAAAATTCATAGAAAAAATTAAATAAGTAGTCAAGCGTGCGAGACCTTTGCCGCTCATTGTGGTCTGACCGGCTAATTTAACTGACAGTGACTGAGTTCCCCTTAATCTGTCCATCAATCTGTTCACCTGTAATTGTCTGTCAGCCTCTTCCTTTTCTCTTTTCCTTCTTTCTTCTTCGTCCCTCTTACGTTGTTCTTCCTCTTCCAGTTTCCTTCTCACCTCCATTTCCATTCTCCTGTTTGGAAATGTTTTTAAAAAGTTATATTCGAACCTAACCTAGGGATGCGAACTGCAGCCCTACTCAATCTGTCACTTTACAGGTATGGCAAATGTGATAGGTATTCCCGATCCTACTCACATTTTTCTCTCCTCTTCTTCCTGTTTTCTCTTCCTTTCTTCTTCTTCCCTTCTCTTTCTTTCCAGTTCCATCTGTTCTTGTATTTTTCTTAGTCGTTCTTGTTCTTCTTCGACCTTTTGCTGTTCTACTCGCTGCTCCACATCCTTAAGTTGTTTGTTTAAATTACTGACAAGACCAAAGTAAAGTGCATCGATAGCATCTCGCTTCATCAAATTACCCTGCAGAAAAAAAATTAATTACAGTTTTGAACATAATCAAAGCAAGAAAAAAACGTCGACAAGCTTGAAGTATGCCATTTCCAAGGTTGGCCAAAGCGCGTGGTCAGTGATGTGTAATCAATCAAGTTGATCTTCTCAAATAAATAAATATCCTTACCACAAAAGAGTTTTAAACTGTGCCTTAATCATTTTTAGCTGGTAGAGAATAGTAAATTGTAAAAATAATTTCATCATTGTTTGTGTCGAATCTTGCCGAAAAAAAAAAAAAACAACAACAACTAAAAACAGCCCTAGTGATATAACTTTTACAGCAAGTTTACCTTGACTTTGATCACAGCATCGTCAATGGCTTGTCCGAGTTCCTTCACGTTTTTAGCCAATACGCTTTGGTCTTTCTTCAGAGATCCCACTGATACGAAACATAAAAAAGACCATGCTGAATTTAACACATGTGGTTACTCAATACGCTGGGGGGGGGGGGGGGGTAGGTCAAGTCTTACAGGCTAAGTGGCAGGACCATAACTGCCTGTTACCCATCCTCGATTTGTGAAGCAAGAAGAAGCTTTTAGTATTTCTACTCCAGCTTGTCCAACCCCCCAGCATTTGATCAGACTCCCCTAACGGTTTTTTAGTTTTCATTTCTACCCCTCAGCAGAGAGAGGCACAGTGAGAGTAAAGAGTCTTGTCCTGGAACACAACACAATGATTTAGCCAGGACTCGGGCCCAGACCTCTCGTTTCTGAGTTCAACGCGTTCACCAAAAGGCCAATACTTTTCCCACAAGTACAACTTTTACGACTTTAAATGAGGCAGCTACGAGTACCCAGAAGCAGAGAATCATTATCTTACCTAGTTTCCCAATATTATCTAGTTGCACCTGTAGTTTTCGAATTTTAATAATGCCTTGATACCTGTAAACAGTTAAAGACTATTAAACATTGAACGTCATACCGTAGAGAATGTGAACAAAGGTAGTAGACAGAGCAGGGAAATGAGGTTTGTAAAACATTCGGGTATTAACACATCTGTCACTATACAAGTAAGTGTATAACACCAGCGATAAATTACAAAATCGCACGGCGCTTGAAGAAACTCTTTATCCTTGAGCCTATTAAGCCTTAAAAGATATTGGCATCCAATTTCTCCATACAGACTCACTGCTGAATCAAACAGTAAGGTTATGAAAATAAAGCAAATGATAACAATTCAAGAAGCTCTTGATTAGTTCACAAATTCTGGTTGTCAGCACCATAAGAAATGCATAGAGAACAGTGTGGAGAATATGTAGACTGACGTTAGGATGTAAAGGGTTAAACTTTCCAAGATGATTGTCAACTGAATAAAAATTTTCATAAAACGATTCAGTAACTGAGGAAATTCCATATGAAGGAAAAGCAACAGCTAAAGCAAAAAAAACCAAACAAACAAAACAAAACAAAACAAAACAAAACAAAACAACTAAATAAAAACAACTAAACAAAAACCCCATATAAACAACCTTCACTAATCCGATAACTTCGTGACTAACTTAAACACTCCTCGACGTAGCACCTACCGAGGTTTGTGGCGACATATTGCCAGAAACATTTTAACATTTTTCTGAATGCGAATGATAGCTGCCGCCCGGAATTCAATCTTCTTCATCACTAAAGATCACAAATGGAGAAGGAATTGGTCATCGAAATATCAATGGTTTCTGGAGCAACCAACCTCAAAATAATTAATAGCAATCATAATTTACAAAGAGCTCGTCAAGATCTATGACCCCCGTCTGTTGAGCCTGCGAACAGGCCCTCGAATTTGGGTTTCACCGTACGACACAGCCGCCAATCATACCACGGCAGCTGCCCATGGAAAAGTGATTGAAACCCTTGCCTAAAACAAACTTCTCCTCAAGTGCCAGGAAAACGCTACTGAGTGACTTCAAGCATTCTAAAATTTCATATCTGACTCCCTTTAAGACAATGAAAGCTCTCCACTTTTCACTTTTCTTTGGTAGAACTAGCCTTAAGGTTATAAGCCACAAATTTTTCCGCCATGAATTTCCCAAACATCGCACGCTACCCAGAGATAATTGATTGGCAAGATAGACAAAACTCAGAACTAATATTAAATCGAAAATATCGACGACGATTAAATGTGGAGTGGACTAACAAAGGGGGAGTTATAAAGTAAGAACTTGGAAGCTTAAACACAAATTCACACTTACACTTAATGACAGACAGTGTTCCCCAGATGGCTCGTCTCCAGCGAGTTCGGATCAACCAAGTAAGAACTTTGGAGATAATATTCTTTAGGCTCTCGGGGTCTGAATGCATAATCTCGTCAAACTCTGCAAACTAGAGATGAGAGAAAAAGGAACGATGTTTTTTAAAAACATTCATCACAAATCATAGGGACGAAGGAAAACTCGAGTTCCCTGCGGACATTCCATTCTCAAGCGGTTCGTAAATTGTGGCTAAGTTCTACCGCTGGGTTACAGGGAACTCGATGGTGAGCTACGTTATAAACTAAGATCACATACAGCAAGCTTCCATGCGGCATTGTACTGTGATAAGTCGTGCTAAAGCTTCTAATGTGTCGATAGAGAAAGAAATATGGTGGAAAGGGTTGACATAGCTATACATGCAAGTATTACAGTTGCCATCTGTAGCTCAAGGAAACCGACGTTTATCGATTATCCAGATACACCGCCAAAAGGAATTGACTCCAGTTTGTTTTTTTTTTTTTTTGCTTTTGTGTTTGTTTGTTGTGTTTGTTTGTTTTTTTTTTGTATTGTACTCTTTTGCTTTTTTGTGTCTTTCAATTATCGCTATCAAAACCTTAGTCTGCAGCGCGAGTTGTAAGATGTGGTTATTTTTGCACACTGCTAGAAATCTGCACAAATGCATTGCTGTTGTGAGAAATACACCACAGTGAAAAGGTACAATGTTGTCAAAATTACACCTTTTTTTTTTACCTTGCCAGGGCGAAAAAAGATCTTAGAAAGGCCAAACTTGTAATCCTTGTCATCCATGCCAAGGGCATGAAACAAAGCCTATAAACAAACAAACCAAGAAATCGTAAAACATTAGAACAGAGTGTGTATGTATACATTTATGAACATAGTGTTTTCGAAAACCCCAACTAGCAAGAGGCAGATCAGTTGGCTAAGTGTATGCAAAAGTGCAGCAAAGGAGTTGAAATCGGGACAACCGAGAATAAATCCAGAGCACTACTTGAGCACAGGCCTTTAGTTTACTTGAGTGTCAAAAGTTATCCAAGATTGCTTTGGTTTTACTTAGCTACGCCTTGTAATTAGACTAGAAACTTGCGCCACCTTCTCAGCCAATCAGATATGTACTCTTGTTCTGATTGGCCAGTCTGATCACTTTGGTTTGCGTTGCAATGGTGTCACTTCAGATGTTCTTCGTCAGGCTCACGCGTCACCTTACGAAGCATTACGCTCGGCTGTGATTGGCTGGTTTTTAACAGCGGCGATTGACGCATTTCTCTAGAGCAGCCGAGTCAAAATCCAAAAAATACAACTATCAACCCTGTTCATTACCTACCTTGCAGAACATTCTTGGATCAAGTCGGGCAAGTCGAGGTGGTAAGTAGTCTTTGTACCTAAAAAGTGTACAGTAAAAATCATTACAAACATAGGAGGGCTAACGAAGGGCTAACGAAGGACTAACGAAGGACTAACGAAGGACTAACGAAGGACTAACGAAGGGCTAACGAAGGACTAACGCTCGAGAAGTCAGCTCAATCCTTTAACTTCCAAGATCTGATCGTTAATTCTCCCCTCTAGCAGCTATGCTTCTTCCTTGTAAATAAATTGCAAGAATTTGGAGTTAGATCAAGATAACTTCTATCTGATAAGTTTGAGTATTCCCGTTAACTGTTTGGTGGATAACATAAGGATATTACAAGGAGAAGTTATATTTTAATAACTTTTGGGTCTAAATGGGTAAAAAAAAACTTTAGAGTGGCCAATTTACATTATAAACTCAGTTGAAGAGACCAAATTATTTTGTAATAACCCCCACTGACGCAACTGAATTCACTGAAATTATCGGATGGAATCAAGATTCTGGTTCTCGCTATTCTTCGTTCACGACTAAACCATCTCTACTCACATTTGGTAAAGATCTTTGAACGGTGCCCTCGATGGCCAGCCATCTTGCATCAAGTTCAACACTGAAACCATCCCAGCACACTCCAGTTGACTCAAAATTGAACCACCTTCAAAATCCCGCGCGGTCATCTTTCCATTTGGTTTAATGCATCGAATAAAGCTAGCCCCCTAGACAAGTTCAGCAAACAAAAAAATGAACAAACATAATCAACTAAATCAGAAGCATGAGTAGAAGAAGGGAGCATCATTTTTAAGATTCCGCCTTAAGCTTAACTTTTTTCGGGAGGCAACTCAGAAAATAAATTACTCTTCACTCACCGTTTTGTTGAGTTTCTCCATCAGTTGATTCAGTTGTGTCTGTTGATAAATAAATATTCGAGGACTAGCATCAGAAAATTGGTTATTACAATATTTTTGAGGTGCCATTTGTTTTCTGCTCGGAAGGTTTAAAAATACTAAGGACATCTATGGTTGGTGTGATGGACAATCAATAATATAGTTCATTTGCCTTTCGTCTCACCGATCAAATTAAGTCTTAAAAACACATACCAGATCGTCAGTTACATTGTGCCGAAGGACCAGTCATTTTTTTTTTATCGCGGGGGGGGGGTGAAGGGGGCTGGGATCACGTGCTTTTCAAGGGAAACGGAGGGGGGAATCAGTCGTCACCAAGAAAGAACAAGGGGGCAGCAAAGAAAATTGATGAACTGCCAATATGAGGGTGAGATCATAGGAATATCACAGAGCATTGGGGGGGGGATCAAGTAGATTTTGTCGTGACACAATCAAAATCCCCCGACCTCCTTTCCCTCCCTCCCCCCGGCGATAACTATGACCGATCCCTAAGCGCTTTAAAATCAAACGAAACTTGTATCAAATGAGGTGAATCTGTAGTGGTTACCCTGAACTTATTGCCAACGCTGATGAATCCAAGTTTCCTACTGCCTGTCCGAGTGATAGGAGAACCAAACGACAACGAGCCGATGTCGTTTTTCTTGGGTGCCACACCTGGGAACAGACTCTTGAGGAAAGAATCTTTGCTGTCTTGTATCAATTCTTCCAGATCGCTGTGAAGAGCGTCGTTATCCTTCTCTATAAAATCCGACTGAAATGAAATCACAGAGCAAGGATTTCACTAAATAAAAAAAAGGTCGTTCTTGTGCAACGACACAAGAAATATCCGGCCAGAAAGTTTGTAAATAAAGGTAAACTGAACGTTTTTGTTTTATTCGCAGTTTACAAACAACGCTTAATTCATGTAGAAGCTGGCACATATTTTAACCAACCTGATATGTAAGGCAAGATAAAAATTAACTGAAAATCATCAATGATAGAATTTTCAGCACTTGCAACGCAGGTCTTAACGCTTTGTGTTACCATTCACTGACAAAAGAATCACTCTGTAGCTGCCAATGGTAGGTAACTGTAAAAACTTACTAATTTGGATATATCAACAAAGTTGAAATGGTAAATTGGCCACCGTAACGATTACAAAAGCTGACGTTTCGAGCGCTAGCCCTTCGCTCCGACGAAGGGCTAACGCTCGAAACGTCAGCTTTTGTAATCGTTACGGTGGCCAATTTACCATTTCGACTTTGTTGATATATCCAAATTATTTCGTTACCCCCATCGACGCAGCCCCAAACAGTTTCTTTTGAAACTATCAGCCTTTATAAAAACTTACTGTTTGGTAACAGACAGCACCGGCAAAATGTCTAATAAGGAAGCCTTCATCGTCTCGCATTTTCTTGTGGTAAATCAGATGAGATTTTCTGGGGAGCTACACAAGGAAAAGGTATGAACGCTCATTAGTATATTATAGTTTCATATAGTATATTATTAGTGTGTTTTAGTTTCCTTTTAATGCAACAAACCCTCATGAACACAGAACATTAATTTTACAAGGATGTGCTGTATCTAAGAGAGATTTCTACGCTGCATTTAACCCCTTCTTCGTGAAGAAAAAGTGGACATATGGACTTTAAAACAACCTGACATGCCTTTGAACACCATCGGGACGATAACGAGAGAACCGCTCACCCACCCCCCTGGAACACCCTACCACCTATTCCCCCTGATTTATTCAAATCATACAGCTTTCTAGACTATCAAGATCAACAGAGGCAGTATGGCTGGGTGATTGGCGAGTTGTCTTCTGCTGTTGGACCTGGGTTCGAGTCCTCTGCCCAACCTGAACTTGTTCTTGGTTCCCTGGAGTTCACCTCCTTAGCTGCGCTTTCCAAATAGCCAACTGATCTATCTACAAAGATAAATGAAAGCTAAGGAAATCAGTTGAGAGAATGGATAATTTGATCAGATACCCACCGCCAGCCTAAAGTGGTTCTTGTGTTTTTGGTGAAGTTCTCGTGTGAAGTGTTCTGCAGTGGGTTTAGGCAGCTTGCTCTCCTCGTCCAAAATGTCAATAATTCCCGTCTTTTTTGCTTCAATGAGCGCTGCAATTTGAAGAAACCACCAAGTCATGTGTTTAAAACTTACAATATTTACTCACGTTTCTACGTCATATGCCAGCAATGGACTTTGGAACAGAATTGCAAATTTCTTTATTGCACCATAAAACGTAATCAGCTTCAGTTGTATCCAAGTTTCGTTTGAATTTTTTTCACGCTTGTCTGCTGGGTGTGTCCATGAGCCCGTTTGTCTGTCCGTCTGTCTTAACAGCCAATCGTACCAAGGAAAGTATTACCAGGAGCCAGCGAGACCTCGTAGTAGAAACAAACGAACTGCCTGAAGAGCGGAAACACGCGAGTGACCACGTCGCGATTGGTTTTAGTTTGATTCTGATTAGTGATGAAAATGGTGCAAGTTCTCTACCAATCATATAACGAAATAAAGCAAAACCCCGACAATGCCGTATTTACTTTTGACACTTAAATAAAAATTATTCTAGCAACTCACCAATGCAATCTTGATTGTCCACAAACGTCACAGATTTTACCCCAAGACCTTCTTTATCGTACAACTCTTGCTCCTGTGATTTGAAGCAGTGAAAGCAAATCAGAATTCATTTTACGTTAGAGTAAACCTTTACAGAAAAAACTAATTTACATCTAGTCATCTCTACTTACTTGTTTCAGTATCCTATCATTAAAGAGTTGTTGTAGCTTTTCATTGCAATAGTTGATGCAAAACTGTTCAAAGCTGTTGAATTCGTAGTATTCTGAAGATAAGAAAATATTTGATAAAAAGTATATCAATTCTCAATGTTATGTTTTTGTATGAGGTAGAAAATAAAATGTAAAAAATCTTTGAGCAACAATTACAGAGCACAAACCCTTTCCATACCAAGTGATACTTTCTCATTGTCCAATTTACATTCATATTTGGCACATGTTTGCTAATATTCAAATGAATAATTATTTGTAACACTTCGCCAGTTTTGCTACTGAGCACTTTTTTTTTTTTCTCTTTTTGCACTCTTAAGAACACAGTATGTTTGAATATTAAATGTAATATAAACTGGTGTCTTATAAGGATTTCCAGCCCTGAGAAAAGCCGTAACTGCACACGTGAAAAATTACGATAAATTAGTCACATGTGTTTGATATCTCCAATCAACTGCTAACACGTCGCTCGCCTTTTGCACCACTCTGTCAGGTTGATGAATGAATGGTAAAGCGTTCACCAGTCAGGAGATATCGAGTTGAACTCCCCAAGAGAAAGTCTACACCTACGCTTGCCCGTGTATTATTCCCTATTTATCTTAAACCAGACACCTTGGGTATCATAGACTATCACGTAACAAAAGTAAGAAAGATGTGGTCTGTTAAGCTCACCAAAGCCAGCGATGTCCAACACACCAATGTAAGTAAAAGAATTCTTAAAAGGGAAGCACTGATTGACCTGGCCAACAATGTGATCAAACAGTTTGGTGTAGAGAGCTTTTGCCAAAGCATCTCTTGCAGCACAGGCCTGTTCTGGTTTCAGGGGAACTCTGTTTAATTAAAATAAACAACAACAAAAACAAATGGCCCCTGTTAGTCTCACATGTCTGGTTGAACCATTTCCAAGATAAACCCTTTCCCTCATCTGTAGTTTCTGTTACTGAATGATATTTCACTCACGAATGTCTTAGGTATGCATTCTAAAGTTTATTATAATAATTCAAGATACTTTCCAGAATCAACTCAAGATTTGCATGATTGTATGCTTTTGGTAATGATTAGATTTCAGTGGCCGGGAGAAATACTTCCAATTACCGAGTACAATTAGGACAACTGTGCATTCAAAATTCAATTAGCTTTGACGGTCATAATTTAGTTTGACGGTAGTAAATATCGCCCCAGCCTTCAACTGAAACAACTGCACCTGACAAAATACTGCTTATGGTGGATAAAGTGAATGGTCAGGTTTGAGGTAATTTTGTCATAATTTGGTGACTTTTTTCTTCAAGTAGTGACAATTGATTTAACTTTTGGTGAAACCAAAAGAAGATTGACAATAAAAGTAAAAGCACCAAGTAAAATTATAATTATGGGTGACAAGTTGACCAGGCTCCAGTTGTTCAAAGAGCAGATAACGCTGTCCAACGGATAAATCGCTATCCAGCGGATAAGTGTTAACAAAACCTACTGCACTATCCACCGGATAGAGATTTATCCAGTGTATAGTGTTATCCATCCTTCGAACAACCGGGGCCAGATGAATGTTAAGATATAGCATTAATTTCATAAGTATTGATATTAATAAATTGTTAGAATAATGTTGTCAAACTAATATTACCTGCGGCAACTGTAAATTTTTCTCTAATTTAGTGTTCATGACAGTTATTATTAAAATCCTGATCTTTTTATAAAAGAACTTTTTTCAGTGGTTTAAGGTTTAAAAATGTTATTAAATCAAATTGGAATGTTACAGCACAATATTCCTCTTCGCTGCTGTCCAGACCTCATGTTTGACCCTCCAGCAGACATCATCCTTGTTGTAAGTGACATCTTCAGCTCTTCAGATGACACATCCACCAGCTTAGCAGCAGTATTCAGTGAGTTTGTACTTTTAGGTGATACTACAGAGCCACCTTAGAAAAAAAGAAAACTCTCTAGAAAGGAATATTTCCTAAAGAGAAAAGTTCACATACCCTGGTGTTAATTATTATAATGCAAATCATATAAAGTGTAATGCTATCAACCAGTGCCTTTGGGAGGGACAAGTTTACAATCACTGCAATCTACTTCCTTCTTTTGTAACATTTTGCAAATGAACAATAAGTGGCATGTTATACCTTCAGTGTCTCCACTGTCCTCAAATGAAATATTTCCAACATGAAGCACGGCAGCAACAACTCTGAAGATGTTGGCTTTTTCCTCTTCTGAAAAGCCCACTTTGTTCATGGACTCATCCATTCTACGATAATCTGACGCATCATCAAGACTAGGATCTGTGATTGAACCCTGCTTTAAGTACTAAAACATGAAAAAAAATTCATAATGGTAAATAGCAATCTAGAGAGAAAAATGTTGTTTGTGAACTGAAACACAAAAACTTGAGAAACTGTCAAGGGTTTGTAAAACTGTCCTGTTATTCTCCTAACTCCCCTCAAATTTACAAATGAATGTAAATGATGCCGTGGAAACTTTAAAAAAAAAAATACATATCACCTCTACCATTCACTAGGATTGCCCTGAGAGCTTACAAACACTAAATTTATTATGAAGATAAAATGCTTTGCCCAGCAAAACAGCCAAGTGTTCTTGGTCTGGGTTTAAGCACAGACTAAATACCCAGTTAGCCCTTAAAAATCATTGCGGATGTAAGGAGGCAATGTGGCCAAGTGGTCGGCTTGTCGAACTCGCAATCTGCCACTCTCAGATTGGAGTCCTGCCCTGACCACTACCTGGATTTGTTTCATGGTAACTCCAGGTTCAAATCCTGGGCCATGCTTGTAACTAGCCAACTGGTTTGCCTCTGGCCAGTATGGATTCTTAATAATGTTATGTTCAATTCGAATTATTTGTTTCAGTTGTTTTCTCGGCCCCCACTAGCAGTTGTGAGCTATAAACACTTCCAAGGGTAAATTAAGGGTTTAAGGGTTTTCTTTTTTTTTTTTTTAAGAATGACTAGCATCCTATTTCTCGTCACAGCACCTTTCCTGAAATAAACTTAAAGGCGACGAGAAAGAATCAAATGTTCGCCAATTTAAGAAGCTCTTAATTGTTTGACAGATTCTCTTTGCCTGTTCCATAAGAAATGGTCAACCCTTTCACTCTCAAGATCTCTTTAGTAATTCTCCTTACTGTCTGCTATACAGTTCTTATGATGTTGGTTCAGAGAATTTGGTATTGGATCAACTGATAATCCCCTGATTGATATTTTTCTTTATTCTTATCACTTGTCTGCTTGATATTGTATTGATAATGTTAAGAGAAATTGCTTGGTCACTCATGGGAGTTAAGGACTTGTGCAGAGAATATGTACACTGATGCTATCCTGTTGAGAAACTTTAAGTTACACAATATCACTAATAACTGTAGCAAAATAGTCTGTTCAACATACCAGAAAATCTTCTGCCTTTGAAATGCCGAGCTTTGATTTCATTTGTTGAGGTGCTCCTGAACAAAGCCTGTAAAACACATGGTAGTTCCTCTCCCCTTTACTCTGCTTGCAGATTCGAGATTTCTCCAAAAGATAATGTGAAATGAACCCACCAACAACTGTAACCTGTTGATCACAAAAAAGAAAACAGCTGACTTTTGATCACAGAAAATGGATCAAAAGTTATAATTAAGGAACTGATAGCAGATTTCAAAGGTAACAGTATGACAAAACTAATGATGTTAAAAAGCAAGCAATAACACTTTATGTGAAGACAATAAATCATTTTCTATACATGGATGTATTTTCATTGAGCTGAAAGCTACATTCCCTCTATAAATGATAATAATAATACAATTACTTAAATCTATAGCACCTAATCCTAAAGTTCTAGGCCCTTTACAGAAGTCTACTGATAACAGTATTATTACATTTTTCCCTTTTACTTATCATATGAAATTATAACAGTCAAAACTCTCAAAATAAAATATTACAGTTACAAAACTGTAAGAAAATTTATTTAAAATAAAACTAAATGTGGTTTTGTACTACCAGAGGAATTATAGAGGAAGTGGGAGGTGGGGGGAGAGAAGAGAATTCTGGCACTCACACTCACTCCTCCATGATACTTCAAACACATTTCTTTAAGTCAGTTCTAATCAACAGTTTTTAAAAACAAACCTTCTCATTGAAGTGAACTTCAACATACTTTCCAAATCGACTGCTGTTGATGTTTCGCATTGTTTTAGCATTTCCAAAGGATTCAAGTAAGGGGTTAGCTGTTGGGGCAAGGAACAGAAAATCTCAGAAGATACTGATTTCACCAATTTAGCAATTTTGATCACCAGTCAAAACTATAACAAAATTCTCTAACATGATTGGTTCTCACTAGTCTAATTTGAGTACAAATTGGAAAGGGCATGTATCATGCTTGTAATTGGACCATGCAATTGGACAGTGTAAATATCACATGTGCACACTTTTGCCACACATTTTCTTGAGTTAACTGTCGTTTTTGATGTAAAGGTCTCACCGATGACTATAGTTTGTTTCTCTTACTTTTGTCAAAGTTTAAAGTATTTGCGTCACCCAGTTCAGTCCATAATCGTACTGGTAATTAACAAATCCCTCAATTGTTAATCTCTTGTATAATTATAGACCAAATTGGACTCCACTCAGTCATATCACTATTACTAAGCAGTTGTGTCAAACTTAAATTAATTGGTCACATACAGATTTTTGAAAGTTTTACCTTCAATAATCCTCTGCTCAATGCAACCTTGATCACCAGATCCCCAAGACTCAGTCAGATATCTGTGAAATGTGAAACAACACATTTATCAGTATTGTTATCAAACGTAACCTCCATTTGTGCTAAATTACCTTTGGGCATACATCTGACAGTGTAATTAAAAATGACTATAGTGCAGTATCAACAACTTTGAAACACTCAGTACCTTAAAATATACTTGGTTGATTCTGTCTTTCCTGCACCACTTTCACCTGAACAAATAATTATTCAGTGACACATGTATACAGAGTGGCTAGTGTTTTGAGTATCATATTAAAAAGTACATGATTATTTACCAAATCCCAACATTGGCTAAAATGTTCTGCCAGCTTATAGTACATTGAATATTCAAGATATAGTGGAAACTCACCACTAACAATCAGAGATTGGCTTTGTTTGTACACTCTCATATCTCTGTAAGCCTTGTCAGCTGAAAATCAAGATCATGATAACTTTTAAATTGCATTGATTTCTTTGATCTGAAAAATACCTACATAAAGACTATAGGGAGGTTAAACCTTAAATCCCTATTAAGTGCGACTAGCATCTAATTTGTCCTTATAACAACACCCCTGAATCAAAGGCACAGTACACCCTGCAACTGATTTATGAACACAAAACTTTCCAAAACAATACTTTATTTTACACTCACCAATAGCAAACACATGAGGTGGCAAAACCCCCAGTGACTTTCCATGATATTCTTTGATTCTTTCCTTTGAGTAGAGTTCTTTAATTTCATGATATGGGTTAACAGCAAGTAGAATATTGGCCACGTAAGTCTGCAGAGTAACAGGATGATGTTTGCTTTTTGATAGAGCTGAATTTAAGTCCCAAACTGATTAAAATTGATTATTTATAGCAAACAGAGATTACAGCGTGGTTCCTTTCTGGTGGCCAAGGGGTACTGGTGTAAACACACCCACATCACACGATTCAGTTACAATAGACTCAATTTCAAAATAACTCTACAGCAATTTTTTTAACATGTTATATTTATGCTACTTATACCCCATTCACACCAGAAAACTTGTTTAGTTAAACCAGGTTTAACTAAATAAAAATCAGAAGCAGAGAACTGAAAAACTAAATTTTCCACGAGATTCAACCAATTGCTAAATTGTATTTTCAATGTGCCACATTTGAAGTCAACCAAATATTGATTTGAGCAGCTTCTATGGAGCTGTTGTGTTAAACCATGTTTAACAAAACAGCTTTAAAGCATGTTTAGGCTTTGGTGTGAATGGGGTATTAGTTTCACATCTCCCTGCCTCAACTGCATCTTCAGAATTCAATAAAACTTTTGGTTATCATTGAGGCAACAAGGACCCGAGACTAGAAAATGTGTTTCTACAATCTTTGGATAATGAATATTAATGTCAAATCAATTGTTACTTGGAAACTTGTTCAAGGATGCAGAGTGCAACACAATAATAATAATAACAATAATAAGAATAATTTTCACTGCTAATCGCCATCGCAAAGTACAGCAACGACGCAGCTCAACAAGGTCGAACCGAAAGCTTACAATGGCGCCTCTGGCAGCCACTATACAGTCCATGTGTGATCTTGGAGCACAGCTTACAGCCTGCTGGAACCAGCTGTACGTTGGTTTTTGGTGAGGGAGGAAAACCAGAGAACCTGGAGAAAAACCCTTGAAGCAGAGAAGAGAACCAACACGAACTCAACCCACTTATGGCATCGGGTCCGGGAATCGAACCCGGGCCACATTGGTGGGAGGCAAGTGCTCTCCCCACTATGCCATCCCTGCTTCCAATCACAGAACTATAAATCATTATAATCACAATAGAAATATAAAACCATATAAATAGGGTCAAAATTCACCAATAACAAGTTAAGGAAGCGATCTTATGTTTCTTTATGGTTTTACAATGAAATGTTTTGCAAGATGCTCCAAAAACTCTACAGTCTCCCAAATGTTCTATTGATGTATTCAGTGATCATAATCATTATTTCAAGCTAATCATTATTTTAAGCTTTTTTGTCAGGACAAAGAGAAACTGTCTGTTTTAAGCACTTGTATTGGCAAAAGTTGATAAATAAGTCTCTAATATGTTAAGAGAACATACATATATTTTGTCTTTTTGGTATCTAATTTTCAAGTTGTGCAACAAGGTAGCTTCATTGAGGAACATCAAAGAGCCTGCAAAAAATTTAGAAAATAAAAATATCTTCAACATATCAGGTATACCCATTTATTAACAAGAGTTTGGACTGGCAGATATTTTGTACTTAGTTTCCATAACACAAAGCAGGTTAAAGTATGTGTTACTTACATTGAAGATTACAATGATCTTGTAATGGTTTCTACTTACTCCTGTCACTGTTTCTCTCCCCCCCCCCCAACCCTAACTCCCCTTCTCCCTTCTTTTAAAATCTCAGAGTCTAACACTAGTTCACTGCTAGGTATTTAAGGGCTGATTCCCTGTATATGGCTGCTGTTGTATTCAGAATATTTTCCAAAAACAAAGCATGACAAGAGTCCTGGTATCAAATTCAGGCAGGGTTTAGAGTGCTAACCTCGAGCCATGCTTTCTATGTTCCCCATGTCATTAGACATACATTTATGTTTCTACTTTGGTTAACTGGAAGGCTTGCCATGCATTAAGATTGCCCCAACCAGGGTGCCCTTTCCCATGGTCCACACAGAATGAAAATCAAAGCTCTTTGGTTATAAAAACTTGTAGTTCCATTGTACAAAAAAATGTAATGAAAATGAAATTTGGCTCAGTTTCATCACATCACAAACCTACAACAGCAATAAAAACATGACTAAGCTCTTAAATCCCAATGCCATAAAATATTCAAGAAAATTGACTGAAAACAATAGTTAACAATAGCAATAAAGTGTAGCAAGGTTTGCTTAGGTATGATCCGCAACAACTAAGTTAATTTCTAGAACTTCTATTTTTCTTTCGCTTTTTTTTTTYTTTCCCTGTGTCTTATGATGGAGTAATGTGTGGTTTTGCTATTTCTTTCAATTTTACCCACTTACCTAGCAAGTGGTCAGAGTCCTATGAATTGTTTACTGCGGAAATATTCTTTAAACTTTAAATTCTAGCAATTTCAACTCATCCTACAACTAAGCGTTAGAGATTAACATAATTGAAAACGCAGGCAGCGCACATTAAATTGGAATTTTCTGATGCAAATACTGAATTACGAAAGGAAAATTTAATTTCACTGAAAACATAGGGTAAAACATCTGCCTGAAAGTTGCGAAATTGTGATAACAAACTCACTCGCACCTTAAGATTGTGAAAATTTTATATGCCAACACACACTTTAAACTAACGGAAAAATTATTTCAAAATCGATAAACTATTTCGACTTAAACGCTCTACACTTAAAATGTAAACCCGATTTCCCATCACCGGGTTGATTCCTTAAAACTGACACCCTGGAGTTCATGAAAATAAACTTACAGTTGTCCTCAAAATCTCTTGTGTTATCCTTCTCAGATGGGAATACTCTGTCGTATGGAGCCGTTACAACCTACAAGAAAATTCAAAATATATTTTTCTTCTAATGATTTTAAACAGAAAGCATGGTTCTTCGCGGAACGTGCAAAACAATGCGTAGTCACTTGTCAACTATACAAACCTTTCCTCTTTCTCCGTCCACCTCAACACTGATCGTGTCCGATCCCAAATCGACAATTTCGCCCAAACGAAATCCATGTTCGTTGTCGGGGACCCAGACCTTTTTTCCACCATCCATAGCATAAGATAAAGTTTAAAACCCGAAATACATACGAAAATATCTAAACGGAAGTATTCTAACAACTCCACCGAAGAGCTTTACCACCAACCAAGCGACTTTATTTTTTGCCGGGTCGCTTCTGTGGTCACGTGGAAAACCATATGACGTCATAGCAACCAGGACTTACCTTTCCGGTGAAGCGTGGAAATTTCGGCTTCAGTTTCTTGGTACAATACAAAAAAAAACAAATTGATTTTAACATGTCTATTAAAAGAGAGATGAGTAAGAAAAATCAAGGACAAAATTAGCCTTTGTTAATGTTTTTATCAGCTGTTTTGAAACATGTATGGAAGGTTTGACAAACGGAAAGAATGTTTATTTGATATACGAGAAGCTTCTTTCTTTTTTTAATATGAAAGGGAGCTCAGGAATGTTTTGTTGAATTACATAACTCTGAGAGATGAGGGGATTCTAAAGAAAATTACAATAGAACTTGTAAGAATGCAAACGCACGTAGAAGACGTGACGTCACGACTGATCACAGATGAGGGAGAAGTCCGTAGCTACCTTGCCAGTTTTTTGTGCGCCTTGAGCTGAGAAAACAAGCGGCAAGGCGTCGTTGTGCGCGTTCGCAGCTCCACGCGCAGGCTACGGTTAGTTCGTTGCGTGAGACAGAAGTTTGCCCCTTTTCAAGCAATATAAAATTGCCTGACGTCGACTTTCGGCCATTTAGAAATTCTACCCTGATCAAGGCCGTTCGATTAATATACTTTGTCTCGCCCAGTTGGCCAATAGAGCATGAATGCGGGAAAGTTGATTAATGATGTCATAGCCGCTAAAAGACGAATAACATCAAAAACAACTGATTTGACGAAAAAGCCTGTTCGTTACGACGGACGGCTTATTATTGAAATGCCTCTGGGTAAGACTAAAAGACGTATGCTGTCGGATGCAACCACTACTAACTATAATGCAACTAAACTTCGTAGGTCACTTCACGAGCCTTTACAAGCGTTCATCTGACTCAACGAGGTAGGGAGAGGGGAAAAGGGATGGGGGAGAGGAGCTAGGGGAGGGGAGAGAGGTAAAACATTATCACACCTGACCATGTAACATAATTTTTTTTACTACTTGTATTATCTTTTTAACTTAAAACTTTCTTTATAAATACAGTCCTTTTCCTGATTTAACTAAAAATTTCAGAGAAATTTTGGGAACGCTTTCATAAGTGTCCTAAAGGTTGCTCCACTATTGAGTCTAATACTCTATAAAAAAAGAATTGAAAGTTAAACAAGCTTTGCTTTTATTTACCCAGAATTAAAGTACACTGCAAGCACCGTAATTCACCACGCAAGTCATCAGAAATCGGAGGAACTTTTAAGATATTCGCCCTGGCGAAATATCACTTCGTCGATTGCACTATTAAAAATGCAGTCTGCTGCTCGAGCTACTCCATACAGCCCACGTAAAGATCCATATCCCCGTAAAGATTACTTATCCTGATCAAATAAATTTAAAAAGAACACATCCACAAATTCGCTTTAAAATCGCCATTTTGGGTTTGAAAAGTAATTCAAGGCTGTTTAGCAACCCTTCTGCAATATTCGCTGTAATTTCTGAATTTATTATCTATATCTGCTTCTTCTGAGAATTTTTACCAGGGTAACAGGTATTCCACCCACCAAAATGACGTTCCAGTTGCTTCGCAACAGCGATTGACAGCCTGTCATTATTTCTTCCAGCCGCGATCTGTATGCCCAGTGGCAGTCCATTTCTATCAAGACCCAGAGGGCATTGCGTGACCGGAAGATGAAGCACGTTAAAAATAGAGGTGTAACTGAAATTGAACGGAGCAAGGGATGGGCGGTGATGTGAAAGCGCCGTACTAGGGTGGGAGGGATAAAGCAAAATGGCGTCTTCCCCGAGAAGGGTTTGAATTTGTTCCCTTAATTCGACGCCCATTTTCACGAAGTTTGATGCCACATCAGGCAGGCAGTTGGCAAAAGGCGCTCGAACTTGTTCAATCCCTGCAACCGTCAGGGTGACGTAGTGATATTTTGAATAACCCAGGAAATACTTGAAAATCTCGGTGAAAGGGTTCATTGCCAGTGCCTCGGACTCATTGCTTAAATTCTGTGATGCGAATCTGTTATTCTCAGCTGCAAGAACCGTGGCAGACCAGATGAGAGGAGAATACTGAAACAGGTTCAAGTTAGTATCTTGAACTGTCGCTTTATGGCGCTCCTGTAAGAAGGTACAGACTTGTTGTAGGGCCATCAGAATATCGGGGTCTACAGGTGAAGTCAGAAAAGGACCCTCTATGTCCAAGGTGTAGACTTTGAGAGATGATAGGTCTATTTCTTCGTCCAGTCGAAGTTCATGGAGTCGAGGACCTGCCATAGCCTTCAGCATTAAAATAAGATCATCGGCGTACCTACACATTGGTCCCATAACTAGATACTCATCGAATGCCTCGCTAGTGCCTTTAGGAAAGTGTCCTTGATTTGGGACTATGGAAGGACTGGGCTTATGACCAAATATTCCGTTGAAGAATGCGGGCATGCGCACACTTCCACCTGCAGGAGAGATGGCACTAAACTCAGTCATACAAAGACTACAGGCAAATTTGAGGATTTTGGTTAAGAATACAAATACTTCTAAATTACCTTTTGGTGGGCAGGTTAAAATATTTCAAATTAACAAGCCCTATGAGCATCATCATTCTCAAGTTTTTGTAAAGACTTCAGAAATTTGTTCCTCCAACGCTGAGGGAAAAATTAATCCATTAACAACCATGAAAGATCTGATTTTATAACATAACCAAAGTAAAGCGCGCGCTCTGATTGGTCAATTTAGCGTCCCCCATTTGCCTACGGGTGTACGCTGCTGACGTGAGCAAATGCAAAGACTATTTTTCCGCGCGCGCTTGTTTTTTTCTGGTCGCGTAAGATTTGTTAAATAAAAGGGAACTCTTTAGCAACAATGTATCAATGTTATGTTATAAAACAAATGGTAAACACCACAGCGTACACTATTGAGTTATGGATGCGCTTGGGAGGTTTGCTAAGCACTCAAGAAGCTAGAGTCGCTCTCGGCTATCGCCTCGAGCGACTCTTACGCTTCTTTCGTGCTTAGCAACCTCCCGCGTGCATCCATAACTCAATAGTGTACGCTGAGGTGTTTACCATTTGTTAAGTTGATTCCCTCCTCTAGCTGCTATACATTTCTTTCTAGAATAGTTACGAGAATTCAGTGTAAGATCAAGATAACAACTTCTGCCTGATGAGTTTGAGTATTTTCATTACCTGCTTTCTGGACGATGCATATATTTTAGATAGGGAGAAGTTACATATTAATCACTTCTGGGAGTTTTAGGGTTAACGTCTTTTGAAACGTATAACCTGGACTAACCAAACCATTTGGCATTTTTCATGCATCTGTGATAGTGAAATTCAAGCTGGCCAGAGATTTAAATAGATATGAAAAATGAATTAGAGAAAGCGATTTCAGGGACAGGATGTAAAATTATGTTTCGGAGTACAGCATGTTTAGAGAGAAAAAATTTCGCTGCTTTAATCACTCCAGCCATGAACCTTTTTTATTCTTTCTAGGATCTCAAGTCCTAACGATAAGCTGCATGATGCAAGAAAGGAATATTATGAAGAAGGACTTTCTGCTTAACTTTATAAATTTTTAAAAATAATTTACATGGGGTCCAGTTGCACTAAATTTAGAACAATTGTCAAATTTTGGGTAACTTTCCGGATTGCTGTGCAGCTACATTGGCTCACCAAGTAGCCACAGGTAGGCTTGGAGGTACACGCACTTCATAAAAACAAAGTTTGGGTATGTGGTAATAAAATCAATTAATAAGATTTCGATTGTCATGGCACAAAAGAGGTCGACAAAATACATTTGACTCTTCAAAAACAAAAACTGAAGAAGACACGCTTTGAGAGTGGCTAGACTGCAACATCTGAGAGACTTATTCTAAAGTTTAAAAGATTTCGTGTGGTTAGATAGGTGTGTTTTTTTTTTTTTGACATATCTCCAAGTTTTGAAGGCCTTGCCAAAGTTAAGGCTTTAAGATCTTTGAAACTCTAGAAAAAAAAAAAACGGTTAAGAAAGTAAGACTTCGTGAAATGAAAGAAAATGCTATCAGCTCAGTCTTTCTAGAACTTTTGACGATAGCTTTCACCGCTGGGCCAGGGCAAGTATTGCGACCGGCCGTTGGGGGATTAACACCAAAAGATTCTACATGGATCGATCATGCAATTTTTCGGGGTTTTTTTTGTCAGCTACCATGCAATTTTTTAATTAACTTCAAAGAATTATATGGTACGTCGCAAATCATCGATATGAGCCACTCCATGGATACGATGAAATTACGCAATTATTTGTAAGTTTAAAATAATCCACTTACCGACATCAGAACCAACGCCACACACAGAGCCAGCCGCGGAAATAATTGCTCCTTCTCCGCCAGAGCTACCTCCGGCTATTTTGGATGTGTCGTAAGGATTATTTGTTCGTCCATACAAGTTGTTTGCCGTCTCCCACCACATGCATAACTCGCTACAGTTGGTGACAGCGATCGGGATCGCACCGGCCCGTCGAAGATTTTCAACAACACTCGCATTTTTAGTAGCAATCGTGTTTTTACGATCCACAAGTCCGGCCGAATTAGGGAATCCTTTGCATGCAAGTGATTCCTTCACCGTTACAGGAACTCCGAGCAAAGGTTTCTTCAATAGAGCAGATTTTTCCTCGCTCGATTCGCTTAAATCGAGGACCTTATCAATATCTCTCGCTTCTTCCAAAGCTTCGTGGAATCGATCCGCTACAACAGCATTTATCAAGGGATTTACTTCATGAATCCTGCCGATAAAAGCTTGAATTACTTCTACACAAGTCATCTTTCGTTGCTTTATATACCGCACGATTACTTTGGCGGGTATTTTCAAAATCGGATTGGAAGGCCCGCCGATAGTAGCACCTTGTTTGCCATAAATAAACTCCGCTAATCGAACACGGAAATCCCAGAGAAAACCAACAGATTCTAGCGTCTTGAACGCCAGAGAAAATAACGAAAGAAATATCCTGATCAAACCCATGGCTACTTTCGTTCCTCTCGAGTACGATTGTTTACGCGGCTCCGAACACGTCACAAAAGTGTGCTTTGTTTGCTGTTTAGAGCTGTTTCAGTATATATGAATTTTAAATAAAATTTAGCATATTTAATGATTGCCGTATTTGCGGTTAGCAAATTCTTTCAATCATTGGCTCAATTTAAGACATAAATACACTCCTAAAGTTTCTCTGAACTTCCTATTCCTCTGTCTCTACGAAATTTTCCGTGATTTCGCTCCGACAAGAAACAGACACTAACGCTGAAAACTGTCTTTATTTGTTGATCGCTTATCGTAAAATTACCAAAAACACGCGACCTCTATCACGTGCGACCGTTCCCTTTCCAATTCTGCTTTGTCAGAAGTATTCCTAACTTTCTGTTACCTTGAATCCAAACAGATATAACTTAGTGCAACCACTAACCACAATAGCGTTCATTGGTTAAGTAGGGGTATTCATTCATTCACTTCACCGCAACGTTCGACATGTAAATAGATGACGTAATTAGAACCATGGATCGTCCGCGAATTCTAGGGCAACAAGACTGTAACAGTCTCATTGATAAAATGACAAATTACGCGATTGGCGACCCAGCTATTGTTTCTGCTTGGCAGAAACAATAAACTTGGAGAACACTTCTTTCGTGGTTCCCTATTTATGTAGGATGTTATTTCCCGAAAAATAGCTGCAGATGTTAAGGAAACACCTGCTGGTACAATTATATTAGTATATTCATGTCTGGTTCCCACGAACCGTTAGCCCTTCGGTCCAAAGTTTGGCTAAAAAAAGCGCAACTTGAAAAAGCTTTATATTCCTTATACTTTCTTAAAGTAAACGCTCGCCCGCTGACTGCGTAATGTGAAGTATATTTCGAAAAGATATGAAAATTACGATAAAGTTTCGAAAAACCACACAAGTTTCAAATAAGTTTTTAATGTTTCGCCACACTTACAGTGTTCATAAAATAAAATCGATAGCCTCGAATCGAAAAGAAAGACTAGCACTATTCGTATTTCCAACAACAAGCAGTCTACGAGAATTCTCAGAACATAATTTACCCTGGTACTAGCGATCTCTGCAGGCCACCGCAGGGGTCCTATATTTTCTTTGAATGACGTAAGTATGTTCAGTCTGCTACTGGAGGCTTTGATAGGTCGTCTCGGCAATCTACTGAACTGTACACAAGCACAATATACACAATGAAACATTAATGATATTTCAACTGCGTCTGAAGCAGTTACGTATCTCATGTTACATCCTGATAATTTTCTTAGGGAAAGTTGACTTTTCATAATGGAAGAGTGAGTGATATGGAGTCAACTAAAAATCATGGACTGAACTAGAAAAATAAACTGAACGATCTCAGTCGTCAAATTAAACACTGTATTGATTACTCTCATACGACACTCTTCCTTGGTGATAAAAAGTTAGATATTGGTGTCTTACTTTAAAACATAATTGTCTTATCTTTAATAAACGCATTTCAATATACATAACAGAATAAAAAAAATTAAAATACAGCCTGCCCCTTGGTGCTTCATACTCCAAACTAGTGGGATTCCATAGTCTCTGAAGTAGACCCGCATAACCTCTTCTCTGTCAATAAAGTAAATGTCTTCCGAACTTCAATCATTTTGATGATAAATGAGCCACAATTCAAGACTGAAAGATAGCCGAATTAGATGCTACATTTTATTCGAACAATTTTTGATAAACATTAGGCAAAATGCATCAAGACCTGGGTCACAGAGGCTTGGGACGTGACTAAATCGGCTTTTTGATATCGCCGTATTTCACTCATTTCCGAGGGGTAACGTCCGGTAAAAAAAGAACTATGTACGTATCAGGTTCGACGAAGCTGAGATCGAACTCCATCTAGCAACAAACCTGATTTTATTTCTTCAAGATAGACAAGAGCTTGAAAAAATTTTGTTTATGGCTCTGATATCATGCTGACAGTTGGAAGATGATTTCCTTTCTTTAAAATACCAGGTATTGCAGGGCACTTGGCGCCTGACCTCATCAGAAAAGCGATCAACTTATTCCACCTCTATGTTCGCTTTAAAATACAGTCTATACCTTAAGGCCACTCAAAATGGCTGAAGTCGATCTCTGATGGGGTAATATTTAATATAAAGATAATAACATATAATCATTCGTTAGTACATCAACTAAGGAAAAAAAAAGTTCAGAAGGGCAACAAGGAAATGACTAGATACCTTCTCACCGCAAGTCAGTGATTTGCTGAAGGTTCTTAGTCGAGCGAAATTAATCCGACATCCACACCGTATGTAGTACAGTGCTGGTTAACAAATTATCTTCATTGCCTTTCCATACCAAATATCAGTTTTACAACATTCTTGCATCACTCCGATTTTACGCTCAACAACGCTTGAGGTAACCTGACTAATCAAAAAGGGTTGAAAAAGCAGAGCCAATCGAATAAAACTCCGCAAACCATTATCGTCCATCACGTGATCTTTTTCTCTCCCTTCTTGTCAATCAACTGTTTCTACACTAGCCTGTAATTTGTTCTCTGTGCTTCCTCAAAATTTTGGACTTTTCTGATGGTCTCCATTCACAAACCACTCTGCGCATTTCGTATGAATAAATGAAAAAATACTTTCTATTCTACACAAAATCAACGTTCTATTATGAGTTGTAATAACGAGATAGGGATGTTGTTAATCTGCTTTTGTCATGAAAAATTTAAGTTCTCCTGGAAATGAAATTCACAAAGAATGGCACAATTCCCGATTTTTCCATCCATAAGACCATTGTCAAACAAATCTAGGCATCTCTACCATTTCAGGTGTCAGTGACCCACTCTATAAACAACTGAAATGGAAAAAGCCAGAACAACAAGGTTCTTGCTCATAATCTTGTTAAGACGAGACAATTTCTTGTTCTCGAGCACGGTCTGGGAAATGTTACAACACCAGCTTCGTTAAAGATAACATGAACGAAAGAACACTGAAATATAAAGTTTCTCGAACTTGAAGCGTTATCATTCAACGTTCAAATAAAAATATTCTCAATCAAGGCTACATTCTAACGTGATAGCCACGATAATTTAAAATATTTAGAAACGAGGGAGGTACATTTCCCAATATTATCCCACAACTGAAAATAGGACAACAACGATTTGTACATTTAAGGAAGCTGTCAACATACGATAATAAATACAATCAGGATTAACCACCAAGGGATTCTCCTCTATTCAATTCCACTTCTATGACTCCAAACATTACACATCACGTGGTACACGCGTCAAATATCGTCACGTGATGCATCACGTCATATACTTCATTATAGCTCTTAACGCATATAGAAGTTCAGCCTGAAGGCGAGACTCCAACAGTAAAAGGTTGATATGAACCTAATAATGAAATGAAGATTTACACGCGTTACTGTGGTGCCGTGATGAATTCCTTAGAAAATCAAAATTAATTCTTCAGTACTTGGCTGTACATGTTAGTGAATCTAAGATGAATGATAACCTCAGGAAACTAGACTATGTTCTCAATTGTTGTTTTTAATAAACGTGGGTGGTGACAGATATTTCACAGCTACCCAAATCAAGACTCACATTTGGTCTGACTCCCACCTTAATAATTGTTAGGCCACAGTATTAACAACACAAATAGAATAAAGGCCATAGATACAGTATCTGTTTGTTTGGTTCAATTTTTTCCTTTTGTTTGCTTTCATTTTTTTCTTTCCTGTCCTCAAGATTGGACCGAACATACCTTCTCTGAATGGTCCAGGTCTGGCATAAATCCCATGTAGTCATCAATGGTAACTTTTTCGGGATAGCAAGCAACCTACAAAAATATCAAAGATTATTTCTCCTTTGACTGATTAGTTTTTATTTGTAAAATATAAGAAATAAAATAAGAAATAAAATTAGCAAAACCACTAACCACTTTAATGTACTGTTTAAATGGCCTCTCCAACAGCTTGTTAACCTATGAGAAAAATAACAACAACTTGAAACTGAATTACTTGCAAAATGACCATTACTTTCCATCACTAAAATTTCAAGTCTTCGATGTATTTTTATATTTTTATATCTCACAGCAAATTAGTACAATACATCTGTCCTGGTAACAAACATACACCTGTTTTTTTTGTTTGTTTTTTTTTTCTATGAGGATAATGAAAATAAAAATTTACCTCAGTGTATAGATAATCATCATGATATATGCCAAAAACTAAATGGATATAGTTCCAAGTAGCTGTGCGAAAAGTTGATGTGTCCACATTTTCCACTTTACCCAACCTGAGATCATGACAAAATGATATTCAGCTACTGTTTTATGAAAGAATTACAAATTCTGAACAGTTTTGCTGTTAAATAAAGCAACATACCTTTTGCAAAAATTTCTCAATAAATGTTAAACGTTTCATCAATAAGTGAGTGTTTGTTCTTCCAAACATTAACTTAGTGGTAAATTTAAGCATGACATTCTTGGTAATGAAAAAGGCCAAAAATGAACTCTACTGTTACTCATTTTTCTTTTTGACTTGAGATCAAACCTGTTGAAAATGCATCTCTTGTTCATGCCAAATGCAGATATTTTCATCTTTGCCCACATGACTGAAAGCAGATTGCTAAATGTCCAATTTTTTCCATTTGCCATAAACATCATGCTGCACCTCTCAAATATCTCAGATATCATTCCACTTTACTGTGGACTTTTATCTTAAGACTGGCCCCACAGATTATTGACAGCAACTTTTCACAAAGGGTAAACCTTGCTTACGTGTTATATGTCAGGTTGAATGTGCAGCTAAATTTGTCATCCAGCATCTGACCCATGTCAGGGTAGAGTCTGTTGATAAGTGAAAAGCCATGCTCTTCCCATGAGTAATCTTGCACTCGGAAGGTTGATATATCATCTTCTATTCTGTTTGCAAAATCACGGTAACCAAATGAGGCATCTGTTAGGTATCTTGCTATACCTGGCTGGGGTGCTTCACTGACAACTGAAACTTTGTCTTTACAAGTGGAAACTAGAAAAATTTAAAAAAATAAATAAAAGAGAATGTAATAAAACAAATGATGATTACTGACACAAGAAAATCATTTGTGCTAGACACAAGCTATACAAGACTTGTCTTAGTTCACAACTCTTCAGCAATAAGACACAAACTAACAACTAATTATAGTAAATAACAACCTTGCCAGAAGTATTCCAGGCTTATTGACTTGTGCAATCAAGGCAAGAGGAAATTTTTTTTATGTGACAAAACCTACACACTATTAGCTTGCTAACAATTAACTTCTGAGGATTTGTTTGAGCTCGAGTGCTTCAGTTTTGATTACCAGCAGTTGCAAATGAGATGTATGCAAAAAGTGTACTGCATATGCACCATAAAAAAATAATAATAATAAAATAACACCATCCATAAAAGCTGGTTACACCACTAACCTGAACAGGCCTAATTTCAATTTTAAAACCAGATAGCTGGACAGCTTTAATTAATTAAAACTACTGAACTAAAAACACCTTCTCCTACCTTCTCCACTTTCTACTTTTTCAAACTGTTGAAACAGTTCCTCCTGTGTTGTCTCCAGAAGAGTATCCTGTTTTGCTTCTACCTCCTTCATTTTCTCCATCAGGTCTTTCATGCTACACTGATTGTCCACACCATTAACAGGAAGGTTATCCCCTTCAATCATTGCTTTGTTGGACTCAGAGAGTGATAGTGGTTTGTATGTATGCCCTCTGTCAAAGTCTATTTCAGGTGTTATTCCACAGCCGTATATGAAACTACACAGGCTGTGGGTATGAACTAGGATTACGATAGCCTGAACGAGTTCTGAAAGTGACCAATTGTCTTGTCCTTTGAGCAGGTTCTGAAACATGAAGTCAAAACATTAATTTTTCATGACACTGTGACAGTTTGAACAGGATCAGAGTCCTTAGTACTCCGTACTCCAAGGCTGAAAAAATAATGCAGCCTAAATGGGATCACAGTCAATGGTATAAGGCTGAAAATTTATAAATATATTTATACACACATATAAGTCATTAATGAAACTCTCAGGCCAACAAAGCTGCACCGCGCCAGGAGGATCAATAAAGATTCACAGTCCAAACCTCACAGCCAACACAAACGTAGAAAGTTTATGTGACAAAACCTACACACTGTTAGCTTGCTAACAATTAACTTCTGAGGATTTTTTAAACTTTCTATACACACACATATATATCTATATATATATATATAAATACATATATACCGTAAATGTCCATGTATAAGCTGCACTTTTTTTCACAAAATTGAAGCCAAAATTCAAGGGTGCAGCTTATCCATGGATACATCTGTGTTTGGAGTTCTCAAAAGCCTAATTAATATTCATAAAACTTCTTAAAATGCCAAGAAATAAACATAAAAGAAACTGAGAGCATGTGCTGTAGTTCATTGACTTTTTCATTGAGTGGTGGCTCCTAAGGAGCATTTGTGTCTTTGAGTGTTCATCAGCAAATCTTGCTCTCCAAGAGTTCTTTCAAGCAATTAATTTTTGCCTTACTCAAACAACTAAACACCAACATACAAGGAATCTTCATTCCTTCATGCAAGCTGTTTGCAGTCACTTCCATGCATACCTTTCCGCCACATGCAATAAAGTACCACAAAATTCCTGGGTACTTGCCAGGTAAATGGCCAACTGTTTCGTTGTTTTTTACTACCTTATGAATGGCATGGATGGCACAGATGACGACCAAATGTGGGAAGATGACTCCAATTCTGATCTATTTGCTGGGATAGATGGGGACGAGGATGTGGACTTGCTTAACGCCGATAGTTTTGAATGGCAACAAACAGAAATTGACCCAGAAAGCTATGAGAATCTCTTTGGAGATAGCAATAGTGATGACTTTTATGGCTTCTAACAATAAACACTGACTTCATTAGATGTTCACGTGAAGAACAGTAGCATCTTTAATAAATTACCTGAAGTATTGTAATATTTATTAATGAAATAGAAACTGAAATAATTGCATCAGTGCGTGTGCTTTCTATTTATGCCCAGACAATGGTCAGGCCCTGGCCCAGACTCCTCCCAACATTTAAAACTTGGCTACTAACCACTTTTTTGTTTTGTTTTTTTTTTAATGCAGAAGGAATTTCAACTTTATGGCGTGTTTCAAAGTCATCAAAAACCGCCTCCCGGTTAGCTCAATTGATAGAGCGCTGGACTGATGTGTGGGAGGTCGAGGGTTCGAGCCCTGGCTGGACCAACACACAAGGTCTTAAAATAATTGAGAAGAATATGCTGCCTTTCTATAACATCAAGAAATGGTTTAGATATTCTAGTCTTCTGGGATAGGGATGAATAAATGGAGGTCCCGTCTCCTGCAGGGTTAGGGGTAGGAGACGTTAATTTCCCATGCACGAGATTACTGTGTGATGGATGTCCTCCCCTGGAGTGGGATGGGTGGGTGTTGTCTTGCGATTATATGAGCCTCTGGCTTGGGCAATATGGGCAACCCTGCCCCCGCAAAGACATTAAACTTGATTACAGGATAGTAGCGCTTATTTAAGTTAAAGATGGTGTAAATTCCAATGAAAAAGAAGGTACGACAAATGAAATTTCGCTTTCTTTAGACTTGATAAACATGAAAAACAGCCACTACTTCTATGTCGCTTTTTCGAAACCTTGATTGTTTGTAGCAATACAACTCTACTGAAACTTCAAACTGTATTGTTTTTATTTTTTTCCAAATTCTGTGCTTCCAAATTGAAGGTGCAGCTTATCTACGGCTGCGGCTTATACATGGACGTTTACGGTATATATAATTATATATTTTTTCTAATGGCATGTCTTAAAAGGTCACCCCTTCAGTACAGTTTTCATTATCACTAATCATGTCCTTGTTTTATTTACAAAATCATAATTTTGAGGAACCAAGACTTGCTGTTTCTTTCAAGTTTTTTCTAGACTACTGTCTGACCTTGTTGGACACTTGGCAATTTAGCCAGATACAAAGAAGTGAAAAACAGTAAATTGAAGCTTTGCTGTCATCTAGTCAAAAACCAGTAAGATACATGCAGTCACCAAGATTCATGTTATCTTTAATGCCTCAATGTTAGTGTTTACCATGTTCTATATTATACTTCTCAGACTCTGACCCCAATTTGACACCAACCTCAATGTGACTGGCTTTCAGTAACCATGGCTGGTGTGCTAAGATCTTGTTGATCTCACAGAGAGCCCTTAGCTTGGCTGGAACATGGTTCAGGCCATGAAGCCATTCCTCATTTCCTTGTTGTTTCAGGAACTCTATCTCATACAATCGTACCTTCAAAGGATGGGAAATGGCAAGTTATCCCAGAATGATAGCACAGTTTCTGTATCAATTGTTGACATAATTGCCTTGAACACAGTAATCATAATGTGGAAAATTCATTTTTCTTTCAAGCCTTGACATGATAACAAATTAAACAACCTAGCAATTTGACACTTGTAAATACTTAGCGCTTTCTACATACAGAGTAATGGTGTGGAGTTCTTGAATGTAATCTGTCCATTTGGAAATCGTTAAACACATTAACTACAGAAGGGAATATATACTTTCGAAATAGGAGTTGTAATTTTAACTCACATACCAAGTAGCAACAGCGATGCCTGCTTGCTCCCTAAAAAGTAAAACCAACAAAAAGCAATTCATTTCAGTTACCAAGTTGACATTACTGAATACCACTGAGGTGGCATGCTCACAGGTGTGGACAAAACCTGGCCTAGGCCATGGCCTACCCTGTGGCCTACCGGTGGTCAGTTTTTTTAAAAGGATAGCATTGCTGGAAACCTTTCAACGTTTTCCTGAGTACTGTCTTACCAACGACTTTCTTCTGTTGTTTTGGTGGCCACATTCCGATCAAAGTTTCTTAACCTTCTGATAGAATAGAGCATTTGCATATGAAGTCACAAATTTTGTGGGAAATTTGAGTCGCTACGTCGGTGTTCCACATTTTTTAAGATGGGGGCAAATCCCCAGAGCGATTATGCGAACAGCCTTGATCCACATGTGAAGAAACGTTACTGTGAAAAGATTTCTTGCGTTGGTATCGATCCTATTTTAATTCCAGACAAAGCATATGATCCAGACTGTTTGCCACAGGTCGAATCCATGGATTTGGTATCATTTTTAGTGCTTGAGACAAGCTACAACAGCAAGGATCAATTTAAACCTTTTCAGAGTTTGCAAGCGTATAAATCAGCTCGTTTCAGGGTTTGTAAGCTGTGTGAAAGGGCACAAAACAGGAAAAAACTACATTGTCACTGGAAAGGTCAGGCACTCGCAAAGAATGAACGATCTGTGTGTTACATCGTGGATTATAACCGAGGAAAATGGTACTGTTCTCTTCCCACACTGCGTTGGATGTATGGCAGGACAAGGAGAGTGCTGCTCGCATATCGCGAGTGTGCTCTTCTACATTGAAGCATGGAATCGTATGAACGAGAAGCTGTCCTGTACACAGGTGAAATGTAGCTGGTTGATACCTAAGGCCGTCAAAGAAATTCCCTACGTGCCCGTTTCGGATATTGATTATCGGTCAGCAAAGAAACTAAAGTAAAATCTTGATCAAACTATCAACAGTTTCACAAGCAATGGAATTGCAAAGAGCAGGGAGGCAGCAAGAGTTTTGATTCCTGTGCCAGACGAGACCGATCTCAGCAATTTTCATACTGAGCTGAATTCTTGCAAACCAAAGCCTGTGTCTCTGAGCTTGATTCATCCTTTCTCTGAAACTTTTGTTTCAAGGAGTAGACATATACCAACCATTCCCGATTTATTTGACAAAAAGTACTTAGACTTAGAATATCACGATCTGTTGGAGGCATGTTCAAATGTTAACATTCAAATCACTGTTGAAGAGAGGAAACTCAGAGAGGAATGTACCCGAAATCAATCCCAAGGTTCCAGTTTCTATCATTTCAGAGATGATAGAGTTGGGGCATCAATTAGTGAAGCAGCATCTCATACCAATCCAGCACAGCCCTCACAATCATTAATAAAAACAATGTTACCAGACATTTTCACATTCAGCAATGCAGCTACAGAACACAGTTGCAAACATGAGAGCATTGCAATTAAAGCATATCAGATGGTCATGAAGGAAAAGCATACCAACTTTCATGTTAAAACTTGTGGTACATTTATAAATGAAAAATATCCCTGGTTGCACGCTACACCTGACTTTCTTTGTTATTGTGATTGCTGTGGTGAGGGGTGTGGGGAGGTGAAGTGCCTCTACTGTTTGAAAGATACAGACCTTCAAGATTACCTTGAGAAGTCTAACTCATGTTTGAAGTCAGAAAGTGGAACCACAAGTCTTAAAAGAGAACATGCATACTACTACCAATCACAACAGCAAATATTCACTACTGGATACAATTACTGTGACTTTATTGTTTGCAGTTTTAATGAACAAATTTCTTTCTTTTGTGAAAGAATTCTACCAGATATCTGTCACTGGAATTCTGTTGTACCCAAACTAAATCACTTTGGAGAGATTGTGTTCTGCCAGAAATCCTGGGGAGGTGGTATACCCAGAAAAGAAATGTGTCTCAGCCATCATCTGGCCTCAGTTCTGTCTGCTTTTGCAGAAAGAGCACTACTGATGCTGTTGTGACATGCAGCAACCAACCATGTCTCATTTCTTCTTTTCATTTAACCTGCTTGAAAGTCCAAAAAGTACCCTACAAGTGGTTTTGTCCTCTGTGCCAAAAAATGCTGCAGCCAGAAACAAGAAATCGAAAGGCAAACAAACAAAGGAAATTTTGGATGAAGCTCTCAGACTGGACTGCATATGTGTATAGAAAAGGAAGCCATTGCCTTCAGATAAACTCCTGAAAGGTCATAAGCCATTGTGTGAAAGCAGACAGTTCTTTCATTTGGCTTGCTTAAACTTCAAAAGGATGCCCAACAATGCCCTTACAACATGGGAATGTATGGGTTGTAAATCAGGGAGAAAAGTCAAGCTAAATAGCAAGGAAGGTAAAGATGCAAAGGGTTCTTTACATGAATGCAAGTTGGACGATGATGATGCCATGATCACTGAAATTTCAACAGGCCTTACTGAAAAGTCAGCATCCCTTGCAAATCTCAATGAAGAAGATTACAAACTGATTTTGTCCCCCCACGGCTGGCTTGATTGTGACATCATTCATGCAGTACATGTGTGTCTTAGAAAAATTAACCCTGGAGTTGAGGGACTGCAGAGACCAACTTTGGGCCCGTGCAGAAACTTCAATCAGGTCAATGGTGACTTTATTCAGATTTTACACACTGGGCAAAATCACTGGGTGTGTGTAGCATTGGTGGGGTGTGGAGATGGTACAGTGAATTTATATGACAGTCTATATCATAACATCATTTATAGTGAAGTAGAAGATCAGGTTATTAATCTTGTTGGACAGGCAAATTTTACTGGCATTCAAGTGGTTCCTGTTCAGCAACAGAAAAATGGCTGTGACTGTGGGGTATTCGCTGCTGCCTTTGCAACTTGCCTTTGTTTGCTCATGATCGAGCGATGCTTCTCTTTCATCTTCTATTTCACTGTTGGCTTGCCCAGCATCTGTTGCTCCATCTTGTTGGAGGTTTTCACCCATCACAAGCTCCTCTGACAAAGGTATTTCTTCAATAATCTCCCCCGGCTCATCAATTTTGAGCATTTTCTCTGTTATCGTTGTTTCAAGAAACTCAGATCGATATTGTCGTCTTTCGGCAGCTCTTCGAGACCGAGCTTCTGCTGCCTCAGAGTCTTTCAATTGTTGTTTAGAATGCCCAAGGCACAAAGTAGGGCACCAATCCATGTTAAAACGGTCCCAATCTTTGGCAGGTTCTCCTGACATGATATGCTTGCTACAAACCCGGTCATTTTCTAAAATAGAGTCAGTAACATCCTCTCTGCTGATGGCAGTAATCCACCTTCTTCTTCGTTCCGCAGTCAACTCTTCCATCTAAGCTCCTTAGTTGACAACACGCGGAACACGAAAAAGCCTTTTTTTTTCAACAGCGGGCCATATCTTGCCCGTTTTATTGCCACATCCGACAATGAGGCAAAGGACCATGATGACAAAAATTAATTTCTTCGCTAAGAATGCTATAATTTAGTACAGAATGTCCCAGCTGCTGGTTAGCACGAGTAACACGCACTTTGTTATGGAACACCAATATGGCGGATGAACTCGGTTGTCATGACAATATGCAAATGTTGTCACATGAGTGAAAACGCTCTATAAGGAAATCGAGGAACAGAAGCCGGTTAAACGCAACTTTTGGGCTAACATCATCATATCAGCTCTCCTTTCAAATTAGTGCAATACTGGCCCTTTCTTTGGAAAAGCAAGTAAAGTTTGCAAAATGTTTTGACGGCGATGCATGCTTGTCCCGGGGTGCTCGTTGCAAATTCAATACTCTAAAGCACTTGAGGGCAGTTAAAAAATTGGCCTGGCATGTAATGTTTGCGTTTTCTTACCTGGATATGTATGCTCTCCAATAAAACGCCGTTCATTACATTTTTACACCAGCACTCCACTATATGTTACCAACTGACAGCGTGCATCATAAAGCCACCATTTTATATATCCTCTGCGACCACGCAATATTGACCCCTCCTCTCCCCTCCCCATTAACCTACCATTATGGTTGAATGCTGTGATATTTGCAGTGCTTCGTTCCCTTGGACGTTGAAAATCGTGTTAGCAACCTCTTAGTATACCCTTTTCAGAGACAGATAATTGTACACCAGCATACTCTTACTGATTTTATTTTTATGTTCTTAAAAATCTGACCACCGGTAGGCCATAGGGTAGGCCATAGGGTAGGCCATGGCCTAGGCCAGGTTTTGTCCACACCCCATGCTCACCCAAAATAAAGCATCTTCCCAGCCACAATGCAAACCATAACTTGACAGAAATTGTCAACTAAAAACCCTGTGCAGGCCCCTCAAATTGTTTTAAAGCTGCCATTTGGCAACTATGTCATACAATGGTAACATGAAGAAACATTTCAATTGCCCAGAGAAAAAAAAGGATACAAGTATTTTCACAGTATTCCTAAATGTATGTTGTAAAATGCTAATCTCACTTAAAAACTTCAGACCATAAATACTAAGTAAAAAAATGTTTCAGGGTGCTACACGACTGCTAAACACAGGCTGCAAATTAATTTAGCCACCATAATTTTTAATACTTGTCACGGTGACCAATATGGTTGCACCTTAGAAGGCAACTGAAGACCCCACTGTAAACAGTTGTATTCGTTACACCAGAAAAAATTAAATGTGCCATTTAAAAACAGAACAGGACTCCCACAAAACACAAACTCCCTTTCAAAGCACAATAAATTGTTCAGTCCCTTGCCATTTCACTCAATGCTTTACAAGTAACTCCCACTGAGGGGTGATTGGAATGAAACATCTCCCACTGTCAAAACACTATTCACCAAATGGGTGGTGAGATAAAACAAACCTATCTGTCAGAGGTTGTTACTTAGATATTACATTAACATAAATTACAATACAACTACAAGAGGGATAATTATTTCTTTAACAAATAGTTACCAGTTATGGGAATGAATAGCTTGGTAGGGTCGTGTGAAGAAATATAACCATTACACTAACCATAATAGCAATGTAACATCTCCAGATAAAAGGCAGAGGACCTTCCCCTTTAAACATAGAAAACTCAGCCTTTAGGAAGCATTCCAGGTACTGAGGGTGAAGTGAAAGTAGAGAAGTGACATTTGTAACACGTCCACTTAACAGGAAGGATTCTACAAGCAAGCTAAGCACTTGCTCATCATCAGTGTCCATAGAAGGAACCTGTTAAAGCATAAATATCCTTAGTACTACAAATTATTGAATGATTGAGGTCACACATTTCATATGCAGAGTTCATATGGGATAAAACAATTCATTAGCTCTAAGATTTCTGATATTGAACCATTTACTGCAGTTAATAAAGTAATTACAGACAGGAACAACCAAAGTGTGCAGGCATTGGCTACATCAATGTTCAGTGAGGCATGATGGTTTTTTTGTTTTTTTTTTCCTCCATCAATTTTGTTGTTTCTTTTTTATTCTAACATTTACTTTTGTCCCAGGTTCTCCAGAATCTAAGTTGAATGATGTTTAAGACTTCCCAGCAATTACTGCATTGTTAAACAAATTTCATGGTTATTAATGTTCACTTTGACAATCAAGGACCTCAAATGAAATGTATGTAAGATCTAGTTGCCAGCAAACTTGGCTGGTAAATTTACAAGACTTTGGTGCTAGCTTTGTCTATCTTTAATTCAAGATGTAGCAGAAAAGGCAATAAGATTCACTGTAAAACCTTAAAACTTCATAACCTTTCTTTTTATCAACAGCAACTTAGCTGAATTCTTAAGATGGCTGATGTATCAAGAGTTGAAATTATAATGGTGACATGGAAAGCAACTTCTTAATGAGATCAAATATTAAATATATTGGTGACCATGAATCAATTTGCAAAACCACTTTGGAAGGTTTATTAGTTTATTCATACTACCATCCCTTAGGATTTTTGCAACCAGACGAGGAAAAGAAGTTGCAAATTTGTTTTCTCAACAAAATTTATAACAAAAAAACTCTGCTGTTCAACATTTGACAAAATGACAAAAAAAACTTTTCACATTTTTTTTGTTTTCAGTGTCTGAAAAAATCATTAAAATCAAATTCATACATGTCTATTATTGATGCAAATTCAAATTTAGCATTGAAATTACAGCCTTGGCCTTTCCTCAACATTTCTGATTATAAATAAGTCATCAAATATGGAGCATTACATTGTAGAATTAAATTACATATTGTGAACAACAATAATGTTAGTTATTCAATTGGGATTGGTAGATGAGAGAAGCAAACCAGGATTCGGTGAAAGAGTTGGTGGTGCACTCTCCTTTGACAACACATACTTGTATTTACTCACTCTGACAAATTGGCCACAAGGTCAAGAGATGTGTCAAATGTGATGTTTCTGACGCCAAACTGTATTTGCCTTTGAATAACATTTGTAAGAACAAAAAGTTTTTGGTGATGACTTTGCCTGACTGACTAAATTAATTGACCAAAATCCATAACCATCTGACATTTCAGAGTAAACAAGGCAAAAGGTTTGGCAGAGAGCTTAGAAAACAAATAGAAAGAGAATAAGCTCATGAACTTGACTTTGTGGCAATGTAAGAAGTAAATTGAACAGTCAAAACATATGAACAAACACACGTGACTACATAAATTGGCCAAAAGCAACAGTGAATTGACTGTTAGTCTCAAGTCTATTTCACCATGATACTGCTGCTGCTTGCAGATCAAACCAATCAGAAGAAGCCATATTTTAACCTTGAATGGTATGGTGGTTTGAAGAATACTTCATCATTTCACCAGCGAGGTCCTCTCACCTCTGCTTTTTATTCTCATCACCAATGTTTCATTGAGCTTAATGCACATAAAGATTTTGAGCCCTCTTTGCCCTTCTTTCAATCTAAAGCTTTCTTTATGATCATTTAAACCTCAAGGTACCATAACGTCTAGGTGAATCTATTTCAAGTTTAGCTTACCATAAAATGTTTCCATACCATCAAAATATTCAATGCTAATCACTTCATTCACCAAAAAATAAAAAGAAAACAAACAAAACATTGCCTTCAAACTAGAATGAGCACTTTGTTCTGGAAGGTCTCCTAAGATGACAATCAATTTGTGATAAACAAGATTTCGTTCCATTTATTACCCAAATTTTGAGCTTCATCACTCCAATATTGTCTTGTTTGATTTCAATGGTCTCCTTCTGCTACGCAGTTACCACATACGATACAATTTAGCATGCAAACGTGTTAAATTGCCTCAAACAGGAGAATATTCAAATTTAGTCTAGCTCTATGACAACTGACTCCCTCACTAGTCAGTATTATATCTACGGAAACAGCAACAATCATACTTTTGTCAATTTAGCCACGAGTGTTTAGATTGGTCACAAAACCACATGGTTCTTTCCTTCCCTTTTGCTGCTTGCATCAGTTTATTGATGGGGAAAAACCCTATTGCTTTGTTTTGTTTTCTTTTTTAATGTTCATTTGCGAGGTTCACTGCTGCGCGCTTAATGGAGAAGGGTTTTGCTTTATGAGACAGAAAACTTGTATCGTGAAAATTTCAACAGTAACTACACGGAATGAGAAATATAAATTATACACAATGTATCTCAGTCGACCCAAGTCACACAATTAGTATTAGCAGAAGCATATATAACATTAGTCCAAAGGCATGCAGGGTCTGCCTGCACGATTCTCCACACATATGCCCTAAAATAACTAACGATCTACTGCTGGATACAAAATTTCTACCTGCGGGAGGCTCCAAGGAAACACAGAGGTCCTAAAAGTAATTTTGAAATATCTCTACGCCCTCGAGCGGACATTCAGATAGAATTAATAATGTCGAATCACCAGACCGAATGACGAATACAATCCAAACTAGTGACGCACAATATTCGTGAATGATAAATTTTAAATGCTCTAGAGTCTTAAAATTGTATTTTATGGCCCTTAGAAACTAAACTTTTGATTAAATATTTAGGCGGGTGGATTTGGATGCGAAGAGTTGCAGAAACGTAATTTGCCAGCACACTGCACACCATGTGTTCAAACTCTCAAGTCTACCTGAAGTAGAGTATTCTTTTTGTATTGAAAAGAAATGTAATTAATCCATTTTCGCTATGTGGTAATATTCTTGCGGCACGCTAGGGTGTCCATGAGATAAAAAGGCATGTAGTATGGAAAGTAGAAGATACCGTATAGATAGAATAGCTACAACAGATAAATCCATTTTGCAGCGGACAAATCTCGAATTAATATTGAAAGTCTTCTGAACAGAATATCCATAACATTATTTGCAAACATTGAAGAAGATTGATTTAGTTCTCTCTTGTCGTTTTCTTTGACTAAAAAGGCAAGGTTTATAAATACCGGTTGGCCTGACGTCGGGATGATGCAACTCAAGTTTGACCTTTTGAACCAATACACGAGATTTTAGCGAGCGAACTACAGTTACTCCAAAAAACAGCAATGAAGAAATACCTTTTTAGACGGGATAAACTTCGAAGGCCCCTTGTAAATTGCTCGAGGAACCTTAATATCCTTTTCCTAGAGAAAAAATAATAAACTTTGAGCGGCCATTTCTTCAAGGGAAGTCGTAAACATGACACAAATGGCTAGATCCGATCTTTCACACGTTCCGTACCTTCACGGCGAGAAGCAAATCTGTACAACGCTCCCTGATATCCGAAAAGGGACATCTAAATGACAGTCTTAAAATACAAGGCAAAACGCTCGATGAAAAGTTTCCAAACCCATTTTCCCCATTTTCTTGTCGTCTGTTTGTCCACGCTTTTAGTGTTTTCCCTAACAATTCAAGGAATTCAAGCCGAGAAGTTACGTCTCTTGTTTGCAGGCCACACAAATCTTTGATGGTGTCTATCTCACTGGGTAAGTCCTCTTCATCGTTCATGATTCCAGGATCAATCCTCGGCAATGAAAGCCAAGACAATCCTTACAAAACTGCCAACATATCCTCTAGGATAAGAGAAACTGTTCTCCTACAGCCATGATGTGACATTTCTTCTCAGTGAAACCTATCGATAATAGCCAATCAAAACGCTTACTGGCCTTAACGTCAATGACACACCTCCACTTTTACCATATATGTTAAGAGGTAGGACGTAAAGATGTCAAGAACATGGAAATAAATAAGTGTGCAAAATAGCACGACTGACTCATGGTAAACTGACAAAGTGAGATGGAGGTTTGATATCACAAAGAATTATTAGAACTTGTAATATTTCCTTCCTTTGAGATGATAAATCTTCCGTTTCTGGTTCAAAATTGAGCGTATTATCTTCCATGTTTGAGTCGAATAGTGAAATAGAAAAGTAAATAGGAAATCTGCCATGTTTGCTCTAACAATCGGTGTATATCGCTAAAGCAAAAAGAATCCCGTTTCAAATCCCATGATCTAGAATAATCACTAAAAATTCTCTGTTCAAATTATTTTCAAGCACTTATTTTCAAAGGAAAACCAGAGATACAAATTCGCCATGCAGAGCAAACCAATCACTTTTTCGGAATTAATTACTGTCAAATTCAGGTAAATTTTTTTGTTTGACACGAGTGTAGATGGATTGTAATGAATTATTCACGTCCCTCGTAAAAGGAAAGTTCATAACTCAAGCGGAAGGGAAGTCTCTGGTGAAAAACTACACACTGTTATTTTTACGTCTCGCTTAATTGATTCCGAAACGAGCGCAACTGAAATTGAGAGGAAAAAATGCCTCATTTCTTGATAAATTGTTGTTCGACAATGGTCCATCATCTCATCAACTCTAAAAGTAAATCGTTTTTCAGGCAGGAGGGGTGTGCATTTTCCTTCGTGTAAGAGAATAGTCAGCACGGGCCAATAATCAAAATATTTACAAGTGAATGCGGGAGTTGTTCGATTCTGCCGCCGAACCGCAGGGAAAACCCTGTACAAAGATTCGTAGAATTCAATTCCTCAGTGATTCCTGGAAAAATAACATGGAATTTCTGAGAAACAACACGCCACAAGTGACAATATTAGTACGTCAGGTCAAACCACCCAGTGAAGGAAGTTGGGTTAAGACGATTAAAATTAATCGAAGCTTGAACGGAGAGCGGAAATAGTTGTCTAATGATGCAAAATCGAGCAAGGCGGAATCTTGGTTATAACACGTAATTTTTATTTATAACGGCTCATTTCATTCGCGCTAGGGAATACACATTGACTGTACGTACTTGACGATCGCATTCTTCCATCTCCGTGTCATGCACAGCCTGCGGTGTTTTAAACTACAGGTCATCCGTTCGATCTGTTCTTCAATCCTAACTCTGTGTAAATCAGTGTAAATAGTGTCACGTTCACACATTTGATCGTATTTATCACTCCAATCAAGGCTAAGACGTATCCTTCAAGGTTTGTACATGGGATTACAATCTAAGTATATGCCACTCTTGGCAGTTTTCTCTTCCTGTTCCATCTTCTAAACAATCGCTTCATGTAGACAGGTAGAGTGCTTTTCTACTCATTTCGGTCGATTTTCTCTATTTATACCAAAAGAAATCTTTTTCACCGTTATCGATTATTTCGTTATGTAACAATGCTGAAACTCTTGTCTCCGCGCACAAGATAATCGGGACTATTTTTTTTTAAAGGGAGGAGGGGACGGGTTTGGGGGTCTTTTGAAACGGTCTGACATCCCAAACTGGGACCGGCAACAATGGGTAAAGTGTTTTGGGAAATTGCATTCAGATAGAGGGAAATTGGCTGTTTTAGGCGAAAGCGCTGAGACTTAAAATAATTTCCTTGTAGCAAAGTGACGGGAAAAAATTGTTGCAGAGACGTTTCAGGAATAAAGTAGGAGACAGCTACATGCAGGCTGTTAGCGATGAAAGTTCTTTATCAGCTGGCAAAAAAAAGGCGGTCAGGTCTACGATTTGACGGCGGGGAAGATGAGCTATGACCAATATTTTATTGCAATTGATGTATTTTGTAAATGAAATAGGTAAATGCAAGCATGAATTCCACACTTTTGGCAGGAGCAAGGGAAAGCACCGAACTGGAGCAAGAACAGACAGGTACTACATATAACAGTGATATTTGAGTGATTCATCGTTGGAAGGCAATTCTTGCATTTGTTTTCCATTTCTTTACAAGGAATTTGATCACATTGACGTCTTGAATAGAATGACATGTATCTAGTAGCCCGCGTACAATTAAAAAGTTTAAATATCTTTTAAAATAACCTATTCACCAGAACAAAAACAAATGCAAAATGCAAATTACAAAATCAGTCTTTAAAGGCAGAAGATGATTTCTATTTTTCCAAGATGTTAGTACAGTGTAGAGGGGTGTATTTTCACCAGCTGAGAGTCTGTGGAGTGTACACCTACCAGCGACTTCACAAAAACTCCTTCACTAATCAGAAACCGCACGACAAGACAGCGATTCCGTGTCCTCCTACCCATAAATGTTGTTGGAGTTTACGTATATTTCTTGTTTTTCAGTTCTTCTATGAAGCACAATAGTTTTATGGCAGGTCCAAGTTTGAGGCCCATGTAAGACATAATCATTTCTCGAGTTAAAAGAAGAAGAGCTTTCCCGTCAATTTCCTGCAAAAAGAGGACGAAATAAAAATTTTCAATAACTCACAACTGTCAAAAAGCATGTTTTCCGCCTTCGCGCTGGTCACGTGTCTTCTTACCTTCATACTGGTCACTTGCTTTCCCGCGCTTGGCACTGATCACACTTTTCCCGCGCTTAGCACTGATCACATTTTTCCAGCGCTTGACGCTGATCACATTTTTCCCGCGCTTGACACTGATCATAGTTTTCCTGCGCTTGACAGGGTCAAGTATTCTCCCACCAGTGTTGCTGGTCAAACGGCTTTTTTCGGCAGCAAGCACTGGTCACATGTATCACGTTAAATTTTCCTGCTTTTGGCACTGCTTACAAGTTTAGGGCGCGTGCAGCTTGTTGCACATTAACACTGTATCCCCGCGAAACCAGCTTTCTTTTCTCGTTACTGACACGATTTTTCAAGCGTTCGGCCCGTTCGCAAGTTTCCGAGATTAGCAATGAATACAGTCTGATTGCGTTTTCCTCGAGCTATTCACTTCTGGTCAAATAGTTTCCTTTCCAAGCACTTGTAGAATTGGCAACTCAATTTTGGAAACACTTTTCATCAAGGTACAAATACTGCGGTCACCACTGCTTTCCAAAGGAGTTCGATGGAAAAATTCATCGAAAAAAAGGAAAACAGCCATAATACTGTTTGTTTTTGTCCTGAGCGCAAAACAAGAGATGCAAAACAACATCGCTTAGCCTCGCTTTCAATTAGCATTTCCACGCTAAATACCTCGCTTCGTTAACCAATCAGGATGCATTGCATGTGCAAAATAAACACAGACTGAGTTGCTGTACCAAAGCGTCTCTGTATGCATAAAAACAAATTTCCAGAGAAAAGAAAGGAGATTAACACAATAATGTAACAGGTAACAACTTACGTGTTTCCTAAACATTTCTGCGTGTTCAGCCAGTTCGGAATTCTCTATGAACTTTACCACCTCTGACACGGACCAAGTTTTGGGCGGTGAAGTTGAACAAACTTGTGGAGACTGGCTGGCATCTGTACAAAGACGGGAAGCTTGAAGTCAAAATGTTGACCAGTTTACAATTATTTCGATCAGACAACAGCACTAAGTCGAGTAACGAAATTAACAAACGCTTGACAGGGACGATAAAATGTTTTGCATTTTGTATCAGCTTCTTGCACTTGCTAAATATCTCCCTGAGTAAAGACAATTGTCGAAAGGATGAAAAAAAAAAAAAAAAGGCAAGAACAGGTGTAAGAACAAAAGACTTTTTTAGACTTTTCTAAAGAATCAACGAACCGCAGTAGACAGATTATGCAATGCGGAAATATTTCCTTTTAACGCGATACTCCTCCAGAACAAAGCATTGTATTGGCAATTCTTTTCTTTTATTAAATAATTGCACGCAGACTGAAGTATAGAGTTCTACGGAAATCTCGTCTACGATGCTTAATACAAAAATGAAAGGAAGCTTTTTCCTTCTTTTAAAACAAGAAAATAAACGTCTTTAATTCAGTCCTTTCCTCCCAGAATATCAAGTACCGTCCTACCTTCATCATCAATAGTAATCCGTGGATGTTTGGCGCTAAGTTGTTGTCGTTGCTCTGGTTCACTGAGAGCGTTTCTTTTCAATAACCCCACAGTGCTCTTCTTTGCAGTAAGTGATGGTGTCTCAGGTAAAACCGTGTTTCGTCTTGACGCTGAGGAAAAACAATGATTAAACCATGTTTACACTAAACTACTGGACGGTTTGGTAATCTTCCTTCTTCTTACTGATCTGATTTGTAAGTTTTTTTAGTTGTGAATGAACTCCGACGACCGAATGAGGAATGAGCTGTGCAATACAGCTGAATATAATCAGCAATTTATAGTGGATAAGTACGAGCATGATATCAGCAACTATCAAAACCGTATCAAGAAAAGTGGCTCAACTTTGATAACAATAGGCTTTGTTATACAAGCGAAAAACGACCCTATATGGCCATTTTTGACCAAGACCCGAGTCTTTGGCTGAGGCAGATAACACAGACACAAAGTTTGATAATTCATAACATCATGCGAAAACCACATTCACAAACTGTTTTAATATAAGGATGTTTTTACACAATCTGCAAAATAAGACAGTTCTCTCCGAGTTGCAAAGTTTAAGAAAACTACACGGATGAGAGTCTTCGAAACTAGACTTGATAAATGCAAGTCTATCCGCTGCAAATATTCCATTTATCATATCAACTTCACACACTATTGTATACTGATTGAATGCTCTGTATCAATCAGATTCTTCACAGTCAGTCTAGTGAATAATAATAACGTTTGACCGCTTAGGCAAATCATGAAGAGCCACTGCAGTGACCAAAAGGTAACTAGAGCCGTTTTCTACTCTTTCCGAGCCTTATCGGAAAAAAATCTCGTGTTTGGGGATTCAAACGCGAAGAGTCGTCAATGTACAACAAGAAAAAGAACTCGGGATCTCTGAGCGCTGTTGGTGGCTCACAAACGCCTGTGTTTAATCAAGTCAGCTGGTATCAATTCGATCTTACCACTCTTTCCACACTTCGGACAGGGTCCTGTGATGCGCTCTCCACACAGCAGATTCTCGCAACACTGGAGATTGTCAGCGAACTTCTCTAACACACGCCAGAACACAGCCACGCGATCGATAACTTGTAAGTAACAAGACAAAGTCTGCTTGCCGTCCTTAGCCGAGATCTTGATGCGACCAGTTCCTGATCTCAAGAAGCCGAACACGACGCTGGGTTCAATGGCGGCGTTCACCACAGACTGAATACAATCTCTTGTCACATTCAGAACTGTGCCTCGAAAACAGGTGGGTAATCCTGCCACTTTAGCGACACTCAAGTGAGGCCCAGCCTCGCACGCATGGTTGATAAAAACTTGAACTGTATGATTGACACCATCCTCAGGATCTATCCCGGATGAAGATGGAGAATCGCAGCCTGGGCGAGTAGAAGATGGTGTTGTCACTACAGGCGTGGGGACAGGGGAAGTTTCAACAGATGCTGGTGTAATACTAGAGGTGACCTTAATTTTTTTCTTGTCCCGTTTTTCAGGCTTCTCCGGCTTGACAGGTTTTACAGGCTTTTCCAACTTGGCAGCTTTTTCCGGCTTCACGGATTTTTCGGGTGCAGAATTAGTCTTAGCACTAAAAGGCAAACAGTATACCTCAGGCGACTTTGTACTATGAAAAGTCACCTCTTGCAACCTAATGACCGTCAACTCTTAAATCGGGATGCTTACACCATTTAAGACTGAAATTGCCACTCCAGTTTAATTCTCTAACTATAAATTTCAAAATACTAAAAGCTGCAAATTTCTTTAAAACATTTCCACTGTTACCACTGTTTTGACAAAAACGTTCAGACCGGTAATAAAACTCCAAAAGTTGAACATGACTCTTTAAAGGCCTAAGTGACTAACGTCTAAGCTAAAGAAGCTCTTGATTGTTAAACGAATTCTCCTTATAAGCACCTTAGAAAATGTATAGAAAATAATGTGGAGAACTTATCTTTAGGGTGTTAAGGGTCAAACTAAAGCAAAACTTACCTTATTTTCAACGCTTTCTTGGTTTTACCTGAGTAAACAAACAGGATTAAAAATCAATGAAAAATAAACGCTTAAGTCGATACGTTCCCTAGTCATTCAATAAAGTGTAAATGGTTTGAACCTTGGGTGGTATAAACGTAAGGATAATAGTTATAGTCTAATCGAGGGGAAAGAAGTAATCCCCAAGGGGGGGAGGGGAGGAGCTGTCCCCGAGGGGGGGAAGAGCAGTCCCTTAAACTGAAGGAAGTTGAGTCGAAGTCATCATCAGAGTTAAAAGGGTAGTAAAAATATATCTGGTAAGTAAAAAGTTACTGATTGGTAGTAAGACTGAGAGGAAAAATTATTAGTTATTGGATGACTTTCGATCTGTCGTTCAGTTCGATTCCTTTGTTGCGTTAATGTCGTTTGAAAGTTGCATAGTGCCATTCTTTGCTGATAGGAATCTGTTCTAAGTTAGTCAAACAGCTATCCAAACTTAGTCTTTGACAGATCATATCTCATTTTATACTTTTTTTTTTCTTGTCACTCTTTCAAGGCTATTGCTTACGTGTCGAAACCAAACAACAGCTGCGAAGAGTTCTCATACCTGGTGGTTGTAAGGGGTGACCACTAAGGTAACACCAACCCACTGGGAATATATCCCTGGAGTCGTATCTACACCAGTAATCTGAACCGAGATATCCATCAAAATCCACGCGGATTCTGTCTCCATCGACATCAGCCACAGTAGCCACACAGATGAGAAGAGGGTTTTTAGGATCCAGCGCTTCAAGCTTCATGCCGACCTTAAACATATTTTCCTTTGGTGCCGTCGGCTCCTGCGGGGGAAGAAGGAAAATAAAGCTTCCCTTTTGTTCACACAGATGTGATTTTCACATAACGCAAGTCATAAAAAGGTCACAAGTAAAAGTCATGGATATCTGGAAAATTTTCACGAGTAAGAGTGTGTGCCACTGGATATGAAGCAGCCTGTTTAAAGTGTCCATAATGTCAAAAAATGTTTTTCGCTCGTCTAATTCTACATTTCACCAAATGAACTTCTGCGAAAAAAAATTTCGATTTGGATAAAACGCAATTTTTTGATAATTTTTTAAAGACATTCAAATTTGCCGCCATTTTGGTCCACCATTCGCACCAGTCTTCCTCGGTTTAAAGTGAGTCGTGACGTAGGGTTCAGGAACACGTGATTTTGGGTTGTGACTTATCTGACTTGAAAACTAGTGGGAATTTGCTTCATAGTGGTCACAATATCGTAAGCTCACAATATCATAAATGACCCGCACTCGACCAGTGTATTTATATGCACTTTAAGGTCAAGTGAGGTTCCTGAACCTACGTCACAGACATCAGTCACGTGGTTATTTTGAGCACGTTATTCTTGTGATCAGCGGCAGGGGTCGACCGCAAGAAAATAGAATTTTGAACTTTGTAAAAATTCGTAAAAAAATCGCGTTTTATCCAAATCGAAAAAAAAGTTTTCACCGAAGTTCATTTGGTGAAATGTAGAATTTGATGAGTGAAAAACGTTTTTTGACATAATGGGCACTTTAATCTCGCGCTTCTTTCGCTCGTTTCTCTCGCGCGTGACGCAAGAGTTATCTGTTCCCCGCACGAGGAAACTAGTTCGAGCCACCTTAAGGTATTCAGTTGGTAAAACGGAGCAAAATGGTACACGCGAAAGTGGCGGCTGAGCGAAAACAAGGGAGGCTTGGGTCGAGTTCAAGCCTCGCTCGATTTTTTAATTCTCCGCTACTATCGCGCTTCGTTTTAATAACTGAACGTTTTGAACAGGTTACCGAGATATGAGGCTAAAAGGTGAACCCTTTCAATACCACTTGACGATTGAAAATTTCTTATCTCAGAAAGACGCAAAGAGGTTACTAACCCGTTTAAACAGCCGAACAGGAGCAAGTTCCGCACTGGCAAGAGTCTTTGCTAAAAAAGTAGAATATTTCCCAGGATCAAGGTGAAAACCTAGAAAGAAAAAATGTTACATCAGTTAAGAAAGTGGATGAAAAGGCTCGAAATAAATTCAAAAACACTCTAGGGTTAGGTTATTCACCCGAAGTTTGACCCAAACCGCAGTTTTACACAAGAAGAGGGCCTCAGGAATTCTCTATAAGAGAGTTGATTTAATTAAATAAATGTCCTTCCATCATTAGCTTTCGGCTTTCTTGACACTGTTCACAAAAAATGTTCAGATAAAAGGTAAAGGCTGTGCTCTAAGAAAAATTGAAGGGAGTCCAGTGCTCTGAAACTGTGAAATCCAGGGTGTCCAACATATACTTTTTATTAAAAAAAAAAAAGATTCCTGAATCGCCCTAGAGCAAAGGTAAGGCGCCAGAGGCCACCGGGCGCTGCTTGACCACAGCCCTTCGTTATGATAGACACGTACCTACAGGAGGCTGCAATCGTCCACCGTTCCCCTCACACCACCCCACAGGGTGGATTTCTTTAGAGTCCACCAAGTGCCAGACATCGTTAGCGCTGTCGGTGCCGTCAAATCGACACCTGATCCTTGGTCCTAGTATTCCAACCACTGTAGCAACACACATGGTATCCACTATCCGTGGATCTGCCACTTCTAACTTCATCTTCCTTTGAAAGCCATTGTATGGCGGTACTTGAGCCTACATGTCAAAAAAGAAAAAAGGCGTGCACAAAATCGATGGTCAAGTGTGATTGTTCAAGTGAGAATTGGCTAAAAAGTAGGATTACTGTCAGTGAGGGGTTTACTTTCTGACGCATGTTACTAATTTCAGTTTAGTTCGAGAAATATGATGGGTCAGATCTGCTTTGATGTTACTGGCTGTAAAAGTGAGACTCCAACAGCCTTCGTCAGTTGTGATTGGTTTGCAACATATCGCACCAGAACCACAGCGACTGAATCAACTGGGTTAAAAATGACCCCTAACAAGCTGAGAAATTCTGAAGGACGAACTAAAAAGGAATTTTCCACTTCTTCATACTTTTGTCTGTTGATAATTTCAAATTTAATTGACTTTCTCGTGAACTCATTGAAGGAAAAACAAGTAGTAATTATGCGGACAAAAGGGACGAAAATGGATCGAAAGAGCAACAAACTGAAGAATAATTTATATTGCAACACCTTCCTATAAAGGTGTAGTTTTTAAAAAGAATCCACGTATAAAACTGCCTGTCTATAAACAATACTAACCTGTCTAAAATAACTCCAAAGAGCTGCTTCAGAATTTGTCTTGGCGAGATAATCATCCCAAGAAAAGAGAACAAAACCTGAAATCCAAACAGAGAGCCCAAACGCAGTGAACTCGGCCATTAATTAAATAAGCGCTTTATTGAAAAAAAAGCTAAGCAAACAATTATGCACCTATCGATTCGAAGCTTCAACATCTCTCCTCTCTGGGAAACCCACAGGCATTTGATTGTCGTCCGTGCCCAGGGGGGGCGGGAATTTGAACTTAACTTTACCGAGGTGGAGAATTTGAACCGGAAGTGTCAAGTCTTTCCAGCGGAAGTGGTTTGCACGTTACGTCATTGCCGTCATGTTGGTGGACGTAAACAATTGATATCTCACTAGCTTCTTTTGTTCGTCCACCAGCATTTGTTCCTTTCACCATTGTTACCTGTGTCTCTAGATATTGGTTGCAAACCACCTATACGAGCGTTATATCTTTAATTATTAAAAACTGAGTAATGCAATTCAAGACTTTTTATTGGCTTAGCCATTATGGTATATGAGCCAATATACCATGATCTACAAATATGGTTAGCGTTCGCGTCAGCTTAAAATTAAAAGGGAACTAAAAAATTTGTCTAATATAAAGATTTGTCTAATATCTTAGGGGCGTTTTTACTAAAACAATTATTCCACTCGCGCTTGTTGGATACGAGATGACTATAGCCAACTCGGCGCAACGCGCCTCGTTGGCTATCTATCATCTCATATCCAACGCGCGCTCGTGGAATAATTGTTAAATATGCAGGTGTTTCAGGTAACTAGTTAACTTTCGCGAGCGAATGGCTCAGAAGCTTGGTCAATGAGTAGAAAGTCACGGTCGCTTCTTTTGCCTTTTACAAAAAAATTAGCGTGGGGCATTTGAACACAATTTTTGCCCCAAGGGTGCGGGAATTTGAACAAACCAATCTCCAAATATTCAAATACCCAAGGGGATGGGGGGGAGGAGAGAGAATTGAGACTTCCAATTGATCGACGCATCACTTTTAGAAAATAGCATGTAATGACAGTCAATGGTCTAAAAATTCTTGGCGACTCATCTACTTCCAATTTCACTTACAGTATGACGACATATTCCACCTCAATTGCTCGTACATTACCTAATGCGGGAGGAATCTTTTTAGGTGAGCTGCCACTATTCTTGGCTGGAAACAATTGAAAAATAAAACATCAACAACTTTGTTTGCATATTAAAAACCACTTTGCCTGGTGGATCAGGCTCTCTTTGGCCCTTCAATCTCAGGAGTTTCCAAAAACAATTTATGCAAATCATATAGCTTCCATAGCTTAAAGTAACTACAGTTTAGTTTATCCGTCTAGATTGCATGTAGCATTCCCGAGACAGTTTCCAGATACCCTAGTGACACTCCTGTTCTGAGTGGAGAGACACTCTGATGGTTAAATGAACAGTGAAGGTAGTCCTGAAAAGGACTGCTGTCCGTGACAGTGCCCGTCACGTCGACAGCTCAAGTAGAAGTCATCAATTAAGGGAGTAGAGCATGTAAGCTTCAATTATTAATGTGGTTGCAAAGGTTGTGTAAGTCGATTGGAAAAAAACTCCATGAACGACATGCCTAACATAGATGTAACACCCATAGAGCAACCACACGATGGCATGAATTTATTTCAACAGGTTAGTTTAGCGAGGAGCATTTGTAAAGAAGAAAAAAAAAAAAAAAACGGCCAGACAAGGGGAGAGAAGCAGATGAGTTTGTGGAGCTACAGGGCAAATGGAAATGATAGCTACTTTTGCCTGATGCCACACTTCCCCTTGTAGCTGAACGAGTCATAGGAGCAGATGGAGCTGACTTCTTTGAAACTGAAAGATAGAAACATAAAACGAGTTTTTCTCTCTCGATTATCTGTCAATAATCCATTGGAGGACAATGGTGTAAAAAACAGTCCTAGCTTGGAGCACAGATACATGTACAGGTGCCAGGTTAGCTTTTAAAAATAACATTACCCTTTCCCTTTGCAAACTCACCAGATTTATTTATTGGTGACACTTGTTGAGTGTTATTGGTGTGGGAATGATTTTCCTTGATTCCCTTCACAGCCTGTTCGAAGCACAATGCAGAGCAAAGATCCTTGCAAGAGATCTCCTTTTCACCATCACTAGATGAAAAGTTCTGCAACACATTGGACTTCTTACACCATTTACACTGGCCAAACTTTTGTGCAGGTTTCGTACTTGGTGAAGACGTGTAAGTTACTTGTACACCTTTTAACAGAGACAAAAATGAACTTCACTTTAAAAAGAACTCCACTGATCTTACTAGGAAATTAATTGTAAATAAGCCCCTTGCCATTAGCAATTCTTGCAAAAAATAAAAAAAGAAAGAAAGAAATTAAAAAAAAAAAAGACATCAGGTACAAAGGTATTGAGAGGGAACAAATTAATGCATCTAGTATGAGAGCCTTATAAAAGATTATTGATAAATCTTCTCCCAAAAATACATCCCTCTGGAAATCTGAGAAAAATTACTCTCCATAAATGTACATAAAAAAAGAATCCTCACTTCTTCTTGGCCTCACTCTGAGTAACAATACTATAGTCTGTACTCAATTCTGACATCCCACAAGCTATCATTTCAAACGTTTTAGCAAGTCTGTAGAAAAAGGATTCTCAACTTTTGGCTACTATTCAGTCACCAAAATGTCCATGCTTAAGCCCCCCCCCCCTTCAGCCACAATATCCATGGATCATGGTGGTTATGGTCACAACTTGAAAGAAAAACACAAGGTGAGCCAATAGAAAGTTTCCTTGAAAAACTGATGAACTTGAAGTTGGTGAAAGTACAGTCAACTCTTTGACGATATCCTTAGGAATTGAAAAAAAAAAAAAAAGTCATTTGGCAAAACTGTCCACCTACTGGAATTACTCCCATAAGTGGCCAACAAAGAAAAGTAGAGTGGATGTCTGCTTATGGGAATATGTTGTGTGTGACTCTCTTTATCAAATGCACAGAGAGCTTGATTTGCTCTGTCAGAGGTCATATTTTTTCTTTGGGACGTCTGCTTACAAGAGAATGTCAAGAAAAGAAATTTTCACTTTAACCCTTAACTCCCCAAGATCTGATTGTAAATTCTCCCCTCTAGCTGCTACACATTTCCTTGTAAATTGGTTATGAGAATTTGGTGTTCAATCAAGGTAACAACTTCCACCTGATAAGTTTGAGAATTCTCACTACCTGTTTGCTGGATAATGTATGGATATTAAAGGGACAAGTTGCATGTTAATCGCTTCTGCTTGTGAGAGAGTGTCCACTTATGGGAATGTGTAAATAAAGTGTTTGACTGAGAGGCAAAAATGGGAATTGAAAAGTGACCACAAGCAAAATTGTCCCCTTATGGAAGTGCCTGTTAGCAGAAAGTTGACTGTATTTCAAAACCTTGTCATTTGTTTTCACATCGAATGCAACTAACAGAAGTAAATCTTACCTTCATCTTCCTGCGGCCTAGGCAGGTCAGATGAGGTTGGTGCTTTATCTGATGTTATCTTGCTCTGAGAAGAATGTGAGTCAACATGAAAAACTGTTCAAACTGTTCACAAGACTAGTCACTTCATTTCTCACAGAGATCATACCACTGGACAACACTCAAACATATTTGCAGAATGCTACTCTTTATCTAATCCCCCCTACAGATATATTTTCAGTTGTTATTCTGTCTGTCCCCCACAAAATAATTTTTGCTTGAAAGGATAATCTACAACTGGTAATACCACAGTGACTGTGTTTCCAGGATTCCTCATTCCCTTTGACATCATATGATAATAGTTCTAATACTGAAACACTATCATATTTATCAAGCAAAATCAATAAATTTTGAATCTTTTAAATGTCCTGTATTTTCCCCTGGTTCACCTAAACATGATAAATCAACACAAACTGTAGACATAACAAGCTATTTTTGTCATCTCAAAACTTGATGACAATTTTTAAAAGTATGTATTTCTACCCTAACTTTCAACTGATACCCTTGCATGCTGCTCAATGTACATAAAACTGTACTGTAACATTCGTAAGAAAATAACTTAATAGATAATACAGTGTCTACAAGACAAAGGACAGAACACCTCAAACATGGACTAATTGGGATGAAAAAAAGCTCAGAGAGGACTGGAGAAGTTACAGAAAAGTGCCCCATAAGTTCTCTCTGAATATTTATTGCAGGTTTGATTAAAAAAAGATATACAAGGTTGCCCAAGAAATATATAAAAATGTTTTAAAAATGTTATGATGAAATGAAATGGAAAGGACTGGATGTCAGCCAAGGCCAACAATTTATCATGAGAGCTACCATTGAGTATGATGCAAGTCTTTCACCACCATTGAATCACAAATACACAAAGTATTTAAGACTAATGCATGGGACTGGTCAATTTAAAAGATTTATAACTCTCTTTCTCAGATGTTTTTCTATGCTCACAAAAGGCCTTTTGAAGATAATTTACAAGAATAAAATATTTAGAGCCCTCTATTTCCTTCTGATGTTCTAAGAGAGATGACATAATTCAGTTCATTTCTACTAAATACTGTACATGTGTTTTTCTAAACCCTTTTGGTCCCGCCAGTTATTGATGTACAACCAATAGTCTCTTTCTTCCTCCGCTGTTTGAGCCTCTTCAAATCTGCGTTTCACCTTATGCAGTTTCCTATTGCAAGCATCACAGATTATTAACTTGACAATCTGATCTGGAACAGCTGAGAAAAGTGATGGAAACTTGACCCTGTTCAATGTCTTGACCTCTTGCTGCAAATTCTCGGGGATGTACTTGTCACACATAAAACAAGTTGAACAATTGCTGTTCTTAGAGCCAGATGATGCCAACTTACTACTAATGTCTAGGCCAGTCCATATCTTTATGTGTGCAACATAGTCTCTGTCCTCTTCTAGAATACCTGCCGTCACATACCTATCACGCTGACGAGCCAATCTTTCATAGCATGTCAAACATCCTTTAACAATGCCAACACTCTCTGGTAAATTACTGAAAAGTGTAGGGAATTTACTTCTTCTGAGCTTCCCATGACGACTGTTTTTAAGCACTTGCTTTGAACAAATATAACAATCAAACAAAACCTCTGATGTGTCTGTGAATTCTGTGCTGCCATCAGCTGTGGTTGACTGCAATGCTGTCTTCTCCTCTACAGAACTAACTGTAGTGTGAGTTTCAACAGTAGGATCAGAAGTTGTGGAGGAACTATTTGTCACAAGAATTTGCCTGCTTAATTTCCCACCATCCAGTTTGTTGTCATCAGTGACTTCTACCTGAGATACACTGGTTGCCTCTTTTGGGTTCAAGTCTGCAGACAAGCCTACTTTGGAAGCTTTCAGAGTGTGGTGGCATTTTTGGCAAACAGCAGCCTGATAGAGCCAGTCAGGATGACTTCCAAACAAATGGGGATGTTCAACACGGAAAACAACTTCTGGTTTCTGATAAAAGTATTCTGAACACATGATACAGTTCCAGAACTTAAAGACCATATTTGTCTTGCCTGAGTTGTTCACAACTGGTAAGGAGGCCACAACACAGTACACTCCTTTGATGTTAGGAGGCTCGGCAAGGAAATGCGGGGCCTGGGAAAAGGAGAACAGAGGTTTCATTAACTGGCTGCAGCTGTAGAGACTTCCAATTATAATTTGCCACATGGGAGGGTACCACTGTAGGTTAACAATACCCTTACTACAATGAATGTGATGCATGCAATTGAAGAACGTCTTTGGCCTTAATTGGGTGCTCATGGGCAAAAGAAATAAAGTAATTTTTGGGTTAAATTTCAAACTTAAAAAGTACAGCTGCAACCAACAACATTGTCTACTTTCAAAACACTGCATTTGTGCTCTCTGACTGTGTTAAAACAAACAAAGCATTGCAAAACAAAACACTGCAATGTACAAGTAAGCCACACACTGAAGCTTCAAACATTTGGAAAACTTTGGCCAAAATTCCCTTGTTATGCATCAGTTTCATCACTAAGAAAAACCCATTGTTGAGTGGAATTTTAGTTGATCATGCAAACATAAGAAAAATCCAACATTGGAAGCCTGAAACAATGCTTCTGAGCCATAAATAAAATTGCAGAACATTTTGAGAAAGCCATGTAAATAACTCTTCCTCAAAATTTGGCCTGTTGGCCCTGTTGTATCTTGTATACATGGCAATCTTTTTCAGTCAATTGAGATTACATTACCATTGCTTTATTTTTACCAATAAAACTCTTCTCGCTACTGAAGAATGTGGACAGTTACAAAATTTGTTTTTAGATTTTGAAAGAGACAATGTTGTTTATTTTCAAACCTCTGTTCTCAGGAATACCTGTGCAATGAGGGAAGTGTTTCAAAAAGAAGACATTGGACACAAAATTCAGAGAAACTGAATGTTGTAGACAGAACAGTTGGTCAAACTATGATAAGTGAAACGATGCCCTTCCAATCAAGAGACATACACTCTCAGAGACAGTATATAACAAACTTCAGATGGTTCTACCATTTAGCATTTTAATCACAACAATAGGTCAAATGAAGAAACTGCCAGCAATTTATATTTTGGGCATAGATTTTAGGATCATGTTAAGCTGGTCCATGTAGCTCACTCTTACATCACAGAGTGTTTGACATGCAATGATCTTCCCAGGTCAGAGAACCTTTTAATGCCAAGATCACCTGCAGTCCACAAACAAATGCATGCACTCTGTAGAAAGACCATGAAGACCAAGCAAACTATTCTACCGCTTTAATATACAATAACTTTTGAAAACAAAAGAGAATCAAAATATTCACATTATAACAGGCAAAGGTTATTAACCATTTCTCACATGTAGTCAAATACTGTATTTCCTCAAATATGCACCCTGGGGCTTAATTCAAATTTTGGCTGAAAGGGAGGGGTACCTATTGGAAGGAGAGCACTTAACCAAGGGAGTGCTTATTATTCTCCTGTGCTGATTCTGCCAAAGTTTGAAGCTTGAAATAGAACCAGGTTTTGCTTGTATCCCTACTACTTAAAAAAAGTGAGGTAGGAGAGGAGTAGATGCTCATTTAGGAGGGGGGGTGCTTATTTGAAACTATTGCCTAAGGGTGTTAAATTCAACATGTATTTGTTATGCTTCTTCTTATCAATGTGTTGGACTACAAAATGAATCTCTGACTTTTAGGTCAAGCATGTTTATGAACGAAACCAACCATAATATTTCAATAACTCAATGATGTTGGGAAGGGGCAACTAAATCACATGTCCAATCTCTCTGGGGCTCTCATGCTTGGTCCCTTATAGGTTCAGGCCCACACAAAGGGGTGGGTGCTTATTAGAGCATGGGCACTTGTTTGAGGAAATATGGTATCTGGAACTGAATTGCAACATTTTGATAACATTCAAAAATGTTTTACAGCTAGCTACATGAATAATAAATTGTTCTGTCATCAGAAAATAGGAGGAGAAAAAAGAAAGCTTACCAAAGCTGTCCCAGTTTTAGCATTGTCATTTGCACCACTTGGCAAACTAGAAAGCTCTGGTGTGGCCTGTGATACTTTTGACAAAGGAATTACCTAAGGGATCACAACAAATCCAGTTTGAGAAGTGATGAAAATAAATTAAATTTTCACTCTAACATCCTAGCTTTACAATAGAGCTTTACTATAGAGTAATAATGAAAGACCATAGTGTGTTAACAGAATAAGAAAGAAGTGAATTTGTTAGTTAGGCAGATGTTAGGATCAGTAAGACACTTTCAAGAGAAATTCCACAAAGTCTATTATAGGATGATGTTAACTTACTTCAGTGTTCATTTCTGGCATAGGCACTACACTTGGATTGCCACCATTTTCTCCACCTGTGAACAAATGAATTATTGATGTACAAATAATATAAATCCATTAAACTAAACCTTAATCAAACCATGTGCTGATTTCTGTTTTTTTGTTTGTTTGTTTGATTTTAGCACAAACAGCAAGCCAATAAAACATACTGTTAAACACAATTCCTTAAAAAAATAATAAAACCCAATTTAATTAAAAATGTCCTTGAATTAACCCTATGAGCCCTAAGAGCAACTAGCATCCAATTTATCCTTACAATATCACCTCTGAATCACACATTAAGGGCATCAGAATAAGGGACATGATCACCAACTTAAGAGGCTCCTGATTGTTTAATAAGTTCTCCTTGTCAGTGCCTTAGGAAATGTATAGAAAACAGTAAAAAGAATATACATAAGGATGTCAGGATGTAAAAGGTGAAGAGATACCTGGTATTTGCACCACAACTGGGGCCTCATTGGGATCAAGGGTAACAGCAACAGGCTCATCACTCTCAGTTTCTGCTGTCTCAGTTAGCTTTTCAAGAGCACCATTGTTGTCTTGTTCATCATCGTCATCAGGAAGCAACCTGATTTGAAGTTCCTCTACTGCTTCTCGTGTGATTGCCTCTTCGTAACCAAACATACCCAACAACTCATTCATTGTGCTTTTGGCATAATCCTGGAAAGAATGGACACTCTAACAATTGGTGTTTGACTTACAACAACAAAGTGGCCTGATAGATGTTTATAACACAAAGTTAGATTGTAACTAAACCTTTAAACCTATTCTAGACTACAAACAGTCCTAACTTTTCAGTGGAGACTATTATACAATTTAACACGAATGTCATGAGTCAGGTATTGGATTTTCCTTGAATTGCATGATTGCATAAAAATAAGAAAAAGAGAAAACAGCAAAAATATTATTTGTTTAAATCCTGAGCATGAAACAAGAGATGCGAAACGATATCACTTAGCGTTCTTTTCAACTTGCAATTGCATGTTAAATACCTCGCTTTGTTAACCAATCAGAATGTGAGATTTTATTCAATTATGTGATTCTAATTTCAATTAAGCATAACCGATGACATTCCTTATTGTATGACTAACTCGTATCTCCAACATTAAATTAAGTCTCAATATTATGATGATCATCATAATTTTCTCACTTGCATCACTTCCTCATGCTCAGGAGACCGCAGGGAAGAAAGTTACTTTCAATAACAATGAGTGACAAAAAGTGTTTTTGTAAACTCCTAATACACATAAATTGCGATGTAATAAATAACTAACTAACCTTGACCTCTTGATCTCTACTGTAAGCTACAAACGTTCGTTTTCTCCCCTTTGATTCATAGCCCAAGGACAAAACAATTTAGTCTATTACTTTCAGCAAAGACCTTGAGCTGTTCGGAAAGGTTTAGATATCAGAGTTGACCAAATTAACTGAGTCCATTCATAGCCTTCTGCATTATTACTCTGAATTAAAAGGAAGAAAAAAGGTGGTGATCCCACGCTATACAAGCCTATTAAATTGGTCTTCTTCATCTATGAAATATGCTTTATTTAACTGCACTATTTTCAATGGTGTGAACATTTTCTTCTCTCTTCGAGCCTTGCAAGCTTTACACACTCTTCGTGTATGATAAATTTAGGAAAATTATTCTTAAATCGTACACAACATTGATCTAAAGGCTGAGAGGCCTGTGCAAACAAAGTAGTCCAGGATGACGACAATTAACAACGCAAAAATCAGCAACATTTGGTGTTAAGGCTGACTATAAGTCATTTATTTGTGTGGAAAACGCTAAAATGTAGTTTCTTCTTTTGAAAAAAATTAAGTTCCAACCATCTTGTAACAACTTTTGTGGTCATTAGAGGGACTCTTTCATGTATAGATTCGCAAACAAGCTTTCCTTGTAAGATCCATTTCCAAACTCACTGAAAAGAGTACACACATTTCCGATTCACTCACCTTCATTTCATCGTTAAAATTCTCTCCATTCTGCTTTCCAGACGCGCTTTCTGCTTCCCTTTCCGCCGACATAGGGAGGTTTCCAATAGAGCTCGAAATCCAATATGGCCGCCAAAGCACGAGTAGTATTCGTTTAGCAGAATATTACCACTAGAAATATTAATTAAAGAAAATGTTTATCAAAAAATCGGCGCCAACAAGAACTTCCTGGCTCTTATCTGTTGAGAGTGGTCATCAAAGCAATGTGCTACTCCAAGGATTCATCGTAATCCAGCCGATGCCGCTTGTGAGCGGTGCATAAAAACAAAATGGCGTACCATTTGGCGGGAAGGATCTTGCAAATTTGGGATTTTAAACCGCTTTCAACATTTGAACATCGCACAGCTAAGATTAGCTACGAACATTCAACGCAAAACGAAAGAAAAAAAAAGGATTTTCGATAAGAATTAATGGTGGTGGGACAAACAAAAACAACTTTGCACTTTTCTCGGTGTAAGCGCAACTGCCAAGTGTGATTGGGTTATGTTTCTAAAAAGTTTTTGGGGGGTACGGTAAGGTACCAATAAGTGTTTCCATTTTTTTCACCTTTGTGCCTGGTTGGTACCATAAATTAAGTCCTATCACCTCTTTGCATCTTTTCAGCTTGAAACAAATACTATTTCCAGGAATGAAACGATTTCATTCAAGTAAGATCTTCAAGCTGCATTGCTGAGAATTTCTCCTCCCTGGCTGGTAGTGTCGATAAGGCCGATGGGCTCCAAGATGGCGGCAAACGTAGTGACGAAGAGATGAGAGACAGATAAAAAAAAATTTTTGATTGAAATGTCTTCTTGTATGAACCATGGATTCAAATCGTGTTAAGAAAATAAGATGTTAAAAGTTTTGAAACTGAAATAGCAAGAAAGGTTTGCGGGTACTTCGAGCATGAAGACTTCGAAGGACCAATTTTGATTACCGACTGTTTTAGAACAGAACACAAATAAATGAGCTTTATCTTTTGTTATCAGTTATCAGATACTTACTTCAGCTGTCTTGGCAAACCGAGGCCATATTTAATAGATATTTACGAGAAAAGTCGCATAACGCAATATTACCTATCGGTCTCATGCCAGCTGGCACCGCTCTGGGTTTCAGCAAGTCGCTGACCTCGTTCAGAGAAAGGTGGCCAACAAAACTTTATAAAATTTTGTCAGATTAGTGAGAAGTGTATTCGAAGTGCAATACCAATCTGTTGATCAATGCCTATCCGGCCAACTGTAGATTTTTGCGGAGATAATTATCTCACACCAACGACGCGTACGGCCTCGCTCCCAGCCTAAGCGACCCGAATCAGTTGAATTCAAACTGAGTTATTATCAGACTTTATCATAGAATAGATGACAGCTCTTTTCTACAATCAGTAAATGGGATCTCTTAAAATTTTAATTTATTTTGATAACTAACTGCCGAACCAAGACGTGTAATTTTATACTCTCCTCGGAATATGGCGAATCGAAGCGTACAAAAGATACACACGAGTGAACAAGGAGACTGGTCGAAGAAGTTGATCGCATTCGCAGTTGGTTCATGAAACGCTTAGGCAAGAATTTCTCCACGACATTGGATTATTCTCGCTTCAGGGCTAAATAATCAGACATCAAAGCGAAAATATAGCCTTACCAATCTCTTAACGAAGCGTTTCAATTAGCTACCTCTGTACGATTTTGCATTAATTAAATTTTATTTGGAAAATAACTTAATAATTTGACTGGTAATCTAAAAGTTCTATGAACACGTTCGTTCTTAATATTCAGGGGCAATATGCATGTACTTCATCGAGATTACTCGGCTAAACGAACATTTCCCAGAGTCCTCTTCTCGATTGGTCACGTGGTCGACGAAACATGTAATTTCTGACGTGAGAATGACATGGGAACGAACTAGTCAAAAATTAATTTACTGATGGTAGTACGTTGAAGAGGTTTGCGTGGCATCATAGAGTTTTCGGATTATTTAAGCGTTTCGCGGGAAATAAAGTCATTCTAGGTTGGTCAGTCTTCTGATTGACCATTTTCTCTTTTTTCGAATTTGATGTAATTTTCATTCTCCAACTCCTTGTGAAATATCACCACATTCATTGATTTTTCTTTGTGATTAGTAGTGTAACCTGATTAGTTCACCCTTTCCTCGGGGTATTATGTTGCTACATTAAATGAGGAATACGTTTCCACATATTTTTGGCCACTTCAAAAGAGTGGTTTTTAGTGGTCCTTCGTATCTGGCTTAGCACAGGTTCTTTTTGTCGAACCCTTGGATTCAGTGTACACCTGTTGAGATCATATCAAGATGCGTATACTGCAAGACTGGCTGACTCATCCCAGATAAACTTTTCACATTGAATAACTCGTCTGAGTGTAGTCAGAATTTGAGATTTGCCACCCTTAGGAAAGAATGTATGCACGAGAAAGGTTCCGAATTTAAACACAGTAAAAGTTAACGGCGATCATACGTTCTTTTATTCGTAGAGTGTGAAAGGAATTTGTACAGGAGTCAGTGATTGAGAAAACGATAGCCTGCAATTTTGGCAAGCGAGTACCCAGTCTTTTCTTGGTGAAAGTTATAGCTGCCATCTTTCTGTAGCGGAAGGCTGGGGAGAGAAAGAAATTTACGTATGATGCACGATCCTCGCAGCAGAAAGCGCTATTTATGTAATAGCGAAAATCAGACCTGAAAAAAATCAGGCCTGTACGGGATTCGAACCACTGACCTCTGCGATACTAGAGCAGCGCTCTACCAATTGAGCTAACAAGCCAACTGGGAGCAGGCCGTTAAGTTGATTCGTAATAAACCCGTGATGATAAATCAGATACAATGAAAATATGAAGTTCATATATTTTGAACTGCGGTTGTAGATACGTATGATGCACGATCCTCGCAGTAGAAAGCGCTATTTATGTAATAGCGAAAATCAGACCTGAAAAAAATCAGGCCTGTACGGGATTCGAACCACTGACCTCTGCGATACTAGAGCAGCGCTCTACCAATTGAGCTAACAAGCCAACTGGGAGCAGGCCGTTAAGTTGATTCGTAATAAACCCGTGATGATAAATCAGATACAATGAATATATGAAGTTCATATATTTTGAACTGCGGTTAATCTCGCAAAAGTTGGCCTGATTTTAAATTCGTTTGTCACGGGCGTTGGGATGAATTTGAGACCCTTTGATAGCACGCTGACTTGGCTGTCAGATGGTTGATAGTTTGACAGGTTTTTAAAGAAATTTTCATTTTCTCGGTTTTTTGGCTGCAAGCCTACATTTTAAAGTGTTTTTACGCTCTGTGTCTTAAGCTGTTTGTTCTGCTTTCGCTGATATTAAAGCCAGCTTTTTTTAGAATCAGAGCACACAATTATATTTTTCATCTCTTTTGTATAAAAGTGAGCTCTTTGAGGTCAGAAATCTCAATCCTCAATTCGGCTATTTTATCATTCTTATTTACAATGTTCACCGAGTACTTTCCTTTGTGTAAGGTATTCTGCCAGAGAGTTGTTAAAGGTGGATATTGATCAGCTCATATGTAAAGGTGACAAAATCCGTGGAGGTTCGTAGACTTCGCTTTCCGGCGTCGAGATCGCACTGAGGACGGTTTTTCTTGTCCCTTCTCTTCTTGAACGGTAGGCACTGAACCCGACAGAATTCTTCGCCTAGATCCTTCAAAGTACACAGATCTCTCGAAACAGTCCTCCGAGAAGTGTTCCGAGTAGATCATAAATATTTCTGTCGGATTGAACTCGGCGAGGTCGCACAAATCGCATCCGTTTTTCCCGCTCTGATCTATTTGCAAGGCTCCGATGGAGAGAAATACCTGCAGCATGGTCTGCACGATTACTTCAGCTTTCAATTACGCATCGATGCCCAGTCATTTTTGTTTAGCTTTTGTAAGAATAGAGTAAAGCACTTTGTTATGTTTGCTTGACATTTTGCCATGTGAGATTTTCGCGTTGAGCCTTTGACGTCACTTCCTCTGAGTCTTGCGATCAACTTCCGGAACAAGATCAAATAATGGTGGACGCGAAATCGTTAATTTAACGGCCCGAAAAAAGATATTTCTGGTGCTCGGTCTAAACTGAAATTTCGCAGAGTAGGGGAAGGAGACACACTGAACACGAAAATGGAAAAAAATGATGTACGAAAATTTTGATCTCAGGGGCACTTGTAAAGGAAGGAGAGGCGAGGGTGGGCTTTCCACTGCTCCTTTCCCACTCTGATTCACTCTAACTCTAAATTAAACGTGGTCGGTGGAAAAAACCACCGCGCCCGTCGATCTTTTAAATTAATGTCAAAACCGAATCCGTTCGCTACTCGAAACGTAGATTTACGGAAAACGTACACTGGAGCTTTTGCGTGCTAGCTAAACAATTTTTAAGAAATCGTTCCTACGCTTTTTTTAGGATTTTTACTAACTATAAGAACGATTTTTAATCTTTTTTTCTTTTAAAACAAAACTTCGAAACAATTTTTTAAAATATTTTTTTAAAGCTAAACTTGTAGGCATCACCCTAGGAACAGTTGTTGTAAAATGTGTTTTATTTTCTGACCACATGAAATCAAGAAAGGAAAGGAGATGGGTAAAACCAGATAAATGAAGGGTACCTATGAAAATATTCGCGCCTGAGTGACCCGAATTGGAGTAATCTGTAAGCAAACCCGGTCTCCCGGCGAAAATCGAATTACAGAGTAAATTCTCTCAGCATAAACTCAGTACGGTGAACATCTTAGATGCTTCTCGACATAATCACGACTTAATTCGGAACGAAAACTATGAAGCATTACAACTAAGGTGCTGGTAATAGCCACAGACGCGATTGAAGTTGTGACAGATCAAAACCTCTAATGGTCAACAATGTTCCATAAAGATCTCTACCATTTGGCGATGCACTAAATAAAACCAAGTGGGGACGCGATGACTGAACGGATAACGCGCTGGGTTCGAGACCTGGCTGGGTAATTCTGTTGCGCTCTTGGGCAAGGTACTTAGGCCGCGTTCACACTTGGTGCTCGAGCACGGTACCCTAGTTCGATTCTTAACGAGCACCAATGCTAACACACCTTTTATTTCAAGTACCTACGCTAGAAATCGGGCACCATGCCCGAGCTCGAGTACAAGGTCAAGACTTTATACTTGGGCATTGAACCTGGTGCTGATATATCGAGTACCCAGTGTCAGAACACAGCACCATTTTGTGCCGGTGCCCTGGCACTATTGCTTGGGCAGCAAGTGTGAACACAGCCTTACTCTCGCAGTCTCTTTCTTCATTCAAGAGTATGAATAAATGTAAATGAGTAGTGTCGAACAATCATGAACGGAATGACTGATAGTAACCTGTAATGGACTGGCATCCCATCCGGGGGGGGGGGGGGGGAAGTGGCCAGTACTTCAAATCGCCTTATGCTACAAAAACTGGGATAAACTCCGGCTGGATGGAAAACTTGGCTCGAGTGCAGACTTAAACTACCTAAATAGAACAAATAAGACCAAATACATTTTCTAATGCAATTTTTATTTACAACCAAAGGACCCGAAAGCCTATTACAGTAGCCTTATGGGTACCTAGTGTGGTCTTATTTCAAACAGTCCATTCTAAACATTAATATATCTCTGAATATAAACATATTTGCATTTGCTATAAAATATCAATTTGTAATACATCTATCTTCTTGATTAAAGAAATCTACTAGATTTCATATTGAAGCTTAGATAAAAACTCGTCCACATTCAGATCTGATGGAAAATTGACGTTCCTTCCTTTGGACTTCGATCTCTAAAACAGGAGAATAACAGATGTGCACAGTAAAATCACAGCAGAACACTAAAATAATGCGTTGGTCAATTCGAAGCTTTAACATCTCCCACAGGCAGCCTCCTGTGCATTTAAGTTTAACTTCTCAATAATGGCTCGTTCAATTTCCCGCCTCCAGTCCCCCCGGGCTATAATTGCGTTCAAATGCCCCACCCAATATTGAACGATTCTTTGTGCAATCAACGAATGCTGTAGAATTTAGCGAACTCATGTGTTAGTTTTGGTGTTGCTGTTGGGTTTCTCGTTTGCAAACATCATTCTACTAAGTGAAAATTGTCTTTTTAAGCCATTCGCTCGCGAAAGCAGACTCTTTACCTTTAGATTACTTAATTAAAACACGTGGTTTAGACCAGAAAGACTTGACATTTCCGCTTCAAGCAAGGTTCAAATTCCCGATCCCCGGGCACAAATGACAGTCAAATGCTCGTGGGTTGCCCGAGGTGGGGGATGTTGAAGCTTCAAATTGATCGGCGCTTAAGTGTGCGCCTAAGGACGACATCAAAGTTCGAACAAAGGAGGGGGGAAGAGGGGTTCTGAAAAATTCAGTTTAATTTCTACATCGTAAAAAATACATCTCCGCTTATTAAACAATGGGCGCACAAAGAAGGAAGGAAACGCATCTTGTCTCACTTTTTCTCAAGTTCCCGTGCGCTTCACATTTATACGATCTTAATTGACAGTTCGCGAATCGCCTAAACGCTGTCGAAGGTTGAGGAGAGCACGACTCTCCCGTGATTTTAACCGCTAGTAGTTACGGGACCTTTATTGCATTGAACATAGTTTTGAATATACACCTTCGCAAAAATAATTTAAAAACAATGTGTGTACACTTTTCTAACAAAATGATGCAGATGACAAGTCTAGAAAACTAAAAGATTTATTGCAACAAACCTTTGAGGGTCGAGATAATGATCTTGTGTCCTTTTCCTGAAAACGAAATAAAAGAAAAGGTACATATTTGATGTAATAATCGTAGAAATTCTTCTTAAAAATAAAGGAGTTCTGTTCATTTGAGTTGTTAGTTTTGCGCTGTGCATCGTATCTTCATAATGCATGAGAGTTTGAAATAAAAGTTTGGAAGGAGAGAACAGTAACGGAAAGGTAACAATAATTGAAGGAGCCCAAGAGTCGCCGTTGGAGAAAACGAATTAAAAGAACACTTTCATTGTTTTTCGCTTTCCAGGTCAGTGACTCTGGTGCTGCCTAAATATCAGGCTGCCCCGCAAAATTAGCAACTGATCGCGTGTAATCGGCCTTAAGCGTAAGTCACGATTGGCCCTAGTTTAACATATTATTAGTTAAGAGACTGGTCCAAGCTTTTTTCATCAACTACAAAGGGTAACAAAGCTTTTTCACACTCGTCTATCTACCTTTTCCTTTTGAAGTAAGTCCCTTCGTCTTTTCCCTGGCTGCTTTAATGAGCCGCGTTCATCTGTTTCGCACCTTGATCCTGACTGTACCATCCCTGAAGAGTTTTCCTTCGTCGGATCACCACTTACTGGATTCGTTGTCAGAGAATCCGTACTTCCATTTTTGCTTTCCATCGCCTCCGCACATCGTCCTACGATAGTCACAGAATTCGTGAAATCATTCTCAGAACCATTGTGAGGTATCTCGCCATTATGTTTTTCGTTTGCCTTTCCAGTGTTTTCCTGTGATTTTTCAATGCTTTTACATGCTAAATTTTCTCGCAAAGATTGTGACTCAAGTGTTGACTCTAAAGTTCGGCGAGGCGTGGGGTTTAGCGCACCCAGAATAGTCTCTTCGACAACCTGGGTTGTTTTTTGAGTTTCGTCAGAGTTTACATGCTTTACTGCAATTGTTTGTAACCAACTGGACGCGTTTAGAGAGGGTGAAGCAACAGAAGACGCTGTTGTAGTTGTAATTTCTACGTTGGTTGTCACAGATCCAAACGGTGATGAATCATTAACATTTCGTCCTGGAGCAGTCATTGACTTTCGATTATTAGCGGACGAGTCTGTGAATTGTTCACGTAAAACACCTTGATCAGTTTCTGTTGCAGACGATGGAGTTAACGTGTTCAAAGGTTGTGACAATGGCGATACAGCTAATTTTTTGGTTGGGTTGGAGTATGCGAGATTAGTGGGTAACGACAGCTGCTTCGTGACTGAACTGGCGAGATGAGAAGAAGGGGGAGTGTTCCATACGACTGGATTCACCGGACTGGCCTGAACAGCCAAGGTATTCGACAAATGTTGGGAAGTGACATTACAACATGAGTGGGATGATGCATAACCAGTGTTTCCAAGAGTGACTGTTGATGGTACATGAAGTGATGCGCTGGTAGAAAACTTGAAGGTGGGAGGTATAGGATGAAAGGTATTCACCGATACAGGACTGCCACTCTCTGGGTTCGGATGACTGTCATGGGATTGGAAGTCTCTGCCTACTGTGACTGGAACACTGACAGGTGCAGTGAATGGATCAGTTACCAAGTTGGTACACGTGACGGGTGAGTCGCTAGGCCCTGATCCAAGAGTGACATATGTAACTGCTGCTGGAGTTGGGCAAGGAGGGGGTCCAGCCGGGTAACAAGGCTGAGGGGAGGATCTGGCCAGGTTACCATGCAAAGGGGAGGGTCCGATCAGGTTGTCAGGCAGGAGAGAGGGTCTGACAAATGAACTGCAAACAGTGTCTGATAATGCAGAAGGTGTGGTGACAGAGCTCATAACACTGGAACATGAAAGGATAGGAGACCCAAGAGGGCCACTGGGCACGACACGGACAACAGAAGAGGAAGTGAGATTCCTTGGTCTTGCGCAATTGTTTAATGGTTGCGCAGCACATGTGTTCACGCTTGTTGAAACAGTCGTAGGCACCACAGATTGTACGTTACTGTAAAAAACGGCAGAATTAGCTGACGATGACGATGAAGATCTTTTAGCTTCCACACTCCGTCTTATGTTTCTTCGTTTTTTCTTGTTTGAAGATACGTTTTTGGTTTTTTCTGCTGTCATTTTCTGCCTGGGGCTTTTCTCACTTTTACTATTTTCCTTTGTACTCCTCTTGGTTGACTCTAGTGTTCTTCCAAGATTAAAATTGAGCGCACGAACATGTGGAAAGGCTGACGTAATCAAACTGGGCTGATTGCACGAAGAACTAACTCTGGACTGTCTGCTGTTTGTAGACCGCTGTACTTGAATATTCTCCTCAGGCAGGGTTTTGGGCAACTGTTTCTCAGAGTTGCGGTAATTTGCTGAGGGAACAAAGTGTGACTGTGTTTGAGAATGAGTCTTCTGCGGGCTGCCTGCCAGTAAGAGCAACGCATCGGTGACGATACTGGTGGCTGAAAAGACAAAAAAAAA